CCCTCAGTCTGGGTTTATCTCGCATTTTCTCAAGATCAACTTAATTTAGTGGTTTATTTATTTTTTTTAAAGATTTATTTATTTATACAAGCACTGGGTACAGTCAGAAGCACGGGAGGGTGAGAGAATTCACCAGAGCCAGAGCGGGGAATAGAACAGGCAGACCGATGAATTACACTGCTGAGGGGAGAAGCGGGCGGCAGGAGAAGTCTGCACGCCATGTGGGACCCTCGCCCGGTGGCCGGAGATCGAACCGGTGCTGCAGAGGCTGCTGGCAGCTTCTCAACCCAGCGCTCAACGACTGCACCACCAGGGGGGCCCTTAATTTAGTTTTGATAGAAAGATCACACAAGGGATGTGTCTTTCATGGGGATTCACCTTGATTACTTGATTATTTGGTGACGGTATGAAACTAGAAGGAGCTAGAAGGAAAGAAACCTAAGCAGAAAACGTGAAGGAGCACAGGGCATGCGTCACCTAAATTTCTCAGGTCTGCCTTGCAGTTCTTCGGCCCTCTTATCCTGTGCACCGTCCGTACCATCTTGTGCACCTTCTGACCTTAGATACTAGACTGTCTTGGGCAGGTGGTAAAAAAAAAGAAGGAAATAAATAAGATCCTTTAGAAAGCCCTTGCTGCCAGTCTCTTTGCTCCAGCAAACCCCTCCTATTCACAGGCTGTTTTTTCCATATGCAAATTGTCTGATTCAAAACCAACTTTATAAGTTTATTTTCAAGACCATTGCTGCCGGGGTGGGGAGGACCCTGGACTGGACACATCTGTTTTCTTTTTGTTTTATTCCCAGTCATGTCCTGATTGATCTCCACTCTGATGGCAGTGATTGTCCTGTCACTCATTAGGGCACATAAACTTCAGCTTCTTATAATAAATTGGGAGTTCAAGGATTGCCAAGAGGTGGCTGGATGTCAGCCCAAGCTAATGTGGATAGCAGTTTGTGTTCTGCAAACATATCCACCCACACATTTGCATTTGGTTCATTTTTCCCTGTTAGTTTATCAAATAAATTCCTGTATTAAAGAGCCAGGTCTTGAAACCTCACTGCATCTCTTGGCAGGTGGAATAAATAAACCAGGCTGGAGAATCATACTATAGCTGAAAGGTGAGAGAAAATCTAATTTCTTTACTTGGTCTCTTAGAATCTGTCCTCCTCATGAGCTGCCACTTGGTTAGAGGGGGCGAAAAGTCACTGTTTAGACCTACCATCTTTAGCTCTTGTTAACTCTAGTCATTTATGTAATTCCCTTAAGTGATGCTCATTAAAGACTCCATCTCAGTGTTGTCACCTGGCAGAGACGGAGTTGGTGTTCTGGAACTGTGTCCTCTATTCCTTAGCTTTCCAACTCACATCTTTTGTCTGTCTGGTCACTACCAGGGTTACTGTCTTGGAGGGTCTGGTTCAGGCTCCAGGAGATGCTCTTTGGCTTGCTTACCGGCTGGTGCTCCTCCCAGGGTTGCCCGCCTTTACTGGACCATCCTGCTCTCCAAGACCCTCCCATGGTTCTAGTTTATGGGAGCCTGGAAAACCCACTAAGCAAGCCCCACACCCACACATGCAGCTGCTTCTTGTTCCCATCCCCACAGGGGGGCAGGAAACTACAGCCCCAGCCCAGCCTAGTCCTTAGAGCTTTTAGAAATGAATTGGAGGACCTCCCCTGGTGGCGCAGAGGTTGAGCGCTGGGCTGCAAAGCTGCCCACAGCCTCTAAAGCTCCGGTTTGATCCCCAGCCTCCAGCAAGGGTCCCACATGGTTCTGCCATGGCTGCTGCTCCCCTCAGCAGTGTATTTCGTCACTCTGCCTGTTCTGTTCCCCGCTCTGGTGAATTCTCTCACCCTCCCGCACTTCTGAATGTACCCAGTGCTTGTATAAATAAATAAGTATTTTTAAAAAAAAGTGAATTGGATAAAGATGTCCCTGATGGGAGATGGCTTCAACCCCAAATTACCACTTTTTCCAGATGGATGCAACAGTGCTTGACTGGAATCTGTTCATACTGATTCATGAGGTGGTTATTGTCAAATTTTCAGAAATCTTGAAAGCCCAGTTGTTAAATGTAAACATTATTAAAAATGAAACTATGTAAACTTAAAGCTAAATGCATTATGTGAAAACAATGTTTATGCTCAAAATGTATGACTTCCTAGTTATTTTACTACCTTTTGCTATCAACTTTTGAGTTTATATCTATTATATCTGTTTGGTAGAAATTGTGTACAGTGATGTCTTAGTGTTCCTCTCATCCCAACTGTGTATCCAGTAGTCCTGTTTGTAGCTTGAAATCAGGCATATTGGGAATATTTATACCACAAAAATCATCAAAGGCTGAGAGCCAGGGCTTGCTTCATTATTTCATTGTCTAAAATATAAATGCAGGACTGTAAAATATTGGTCCTCAATTAAAAATAAATTAATTAGAATAGATAGAAATGCAGGAAATGTTAAAAACAAAGATTAAATTTACAAGTGTGTTGGGTGTCTAGCCATTCCGCTATGAAAAGCACAAAAAAATGGGGAAAGATCCTTTCAGCCTTTGAAAACTATTCAGCAAGGATACTCAGGTCATTGACAAATGAGTGAGGATCCAACTAACATACTTCTCTGATGGCCATTGTGCTCTTACTCATTGACATAAGCAAAATGTCAAGCAGCATTCATGTTGGAACTCTGTTATTTACCTGTTGCAATTCTAGGTCGGTTACAGTTACAGACATTTATCAACACACCACTGAGGCAGCCCTTGCCAAGGTGCGTGACTTGCAATCTAGAATTTGCTGTCTCCACCAATCCCCCAATGCCTACTGCCCCCTCTTCTGTGCATTTTGTAGAATGAATAAACTGTGCAACCGGACACACTGATCTTACCCTCAGGGCCTCCTGCTATTGAATGATGCCAATTTTACTTTAAGGTCCTTGTCCTCATTGGTTCTTGGCAGCCAGACACTGGTCTCTTCCCAGAGTCTTAATCAAGGAGTGTATAGCACCCTCTCTTACCTAACACCTCATCTTTCTTTTTTCTTTTCCATCATCCATGAAAGGTCCACTTCTTCCCCTGCATGGCACGTTTGCCTCCTTGACCTGGTGCCTTGACTGGGGAGTCTATTTTGTATGTTGTATGGGAGAATTCCAGAAACTGAGTGCATCAAATTTCATAGTAATTTGATAAAGGAAGTAGGGGAGGAGACAGTGGGATAAAGTTATTTAGAGAATCTTCTCCAAACACAATAGGCTGGCCTGAAAATTAATTTGTTTAAATTAATATTTGTGCATCAAGCTGTATCAGAACCCCAGGACTGGCTTCATCACTTGTGGGATTTGTTGCAAAACGAAAATGGAGACTTTCTTATTCAAAGTGTCTAGGAACTTCAGAAGAGTGACAGGAGAGCGTTAATCCAAGCCTGGGGCCTTCCGAGTTGGGGACCCCATGTAGCATGCTTGTACCCCACAACACTGGCCCTGTTATGTAGTTTCTCTTTTTATTCCTTTAGAACTATTTGTGATAACTACCTACTATCTTCTCGTATCTCAGACACATAGATGCTCTGGAGTGAATCACATACTCATAATGGCAAATATGAAAAGCATATGAATACACTTTAAAAAAAGTCTTGATTATTTAAGATAACTGAATTGTGCCCAGATCTACTCCGTAAGTCTGTGAAAACCCAAACAGAAAATGGCACAATCACATTTCTTTATTCATTTAACTCTCCACTCATCATTGATTTATTAAGCACCTGCCATTTTTCCAGCATTGTCCCAGGTGCCAGAGATTCTATAATGAACAGAACTGACATGTTCAAGTGCACATGAGGCTCTTGTCCAGTGCAGGAAACACATTCTACACAATTCACATAAAATGCACAATTACAAGGCCTCCCCTGGTGGCGCAGCGGTTGAGCGCTGGCCTGCGAAGCTGCCCGCAGCCTCTGCAGCGACGGTTCAATCCCTGACCCCCGGTGAGGGTCCCACATGGCGCGACAGACCTCTCCTGCCGCCCACTGCTCCCCTCAGCAGTGTACTTCGGTCCTTCTGCCTGCTCTGCTCCCCGCTCTGGCTCTGGTGAATTCTCTCACCCTCCCGCGCTTCTGACTGTGCCCAGTGCTTGTATAAATAAATAAATAAATCTTTTTTTTTTTTAAAAAAAGCACAATTATAAACCAGGGCACAAGAGGAAGTGTGCTTTAGGAGCAGGCCCTGGGTCTACAGCACAGAAGGTTGACCTCGCCTGAATTTGCAGGGTTGGGAGTGGGTGGTTAGAGCAGCTTTCCCTAAGTGCTCTTGGGATGAGGTCTGAGTAGATGTTAAAGAACCCCAGTCCATTCTGTAAAGGGGAGATTCCAGGTTCCCTGCCCCACCCAAGGAAGGATGGAGTTGAGCTTCTAATTGTATTGAAGTTCTTTCCTACTGAAGGTTTTATACTGAGTATGTTTTTTCTTCATGTAGTGGATGGCAGAACCCATTTAGAGCAGGCAGGTTTGGGGTCTCAGGGTGCCCCTCAGTCTGCTCGTTAACAATCACAGGCAGTGGGCCTCTCCAGTGGCACAGCAGTTGAGCGCTGGGTTGCAAAGCTGCCCGCAGCCTCTGCAGTGCTGGTTCGATCCCCGGCTGCCAGGTGCGGGTCCCACATGGCGCGCAGACCTCTCCTGCCGCCCGCTGCTCCCCTCAGCAGTGTACTTCATCAGTCTGCCTGTTCTGCTCTCCTCTCTGACTCTGGTGAATTCTCTCACCCTCCCGCGCTTCTGACTGTACCCAGTGCTTGTATAAATAAATAAATAAATCTTTAAAAAAAAAAATCACAGGCAGAGAAAAGAGCAGACACTGTGACAAGGGACCAATGCTCTGCAAGGCCCCCTGAAAAATGCTTCCTGCCCAGGGGGTGTGCGCCCCTCCTAGCTGCTCTGGGATGGATCTAAGCTGTTCTTACCTGCTCTCTTTTCAGATTCTCTGACTCTGGGAACCAAAGAATTGGCAGAACAACTGAAAAATGACTAGGAAGAAGATATCCTGGGTCCCCAGCTCTTCTGGTGACTTTGTGAATGTTGGCTTTGATGTGGGTGATGAGACGATCTCGGGACTGAGCTATGTAAGTAGACAGCTGTGTCATCCAGACACCAGGAAATGGAGTGGACAGGTATTCTCAGTGGTCATCCATTAGAAAATACGTTTGGCCATATTTATTTTATTAATCTTGATTTTTTTTTTTTTTTTTAAGAAAGCTCTCAGCCTTCCACTACTAGATGAATCATCGTCCTTTGTCAGGGCTCACCTTCATGCCTCTGATCTCTGTCCGTGTAACTCCCATAATAATATAATGTGTACCTGTAAATCCTCACCAACACATCAGCTTGCCCCCTGACAATCACCTCCAGCTAACAGACTCCCCCATCACATTCTTGATTCTCCCTACTGAAGTTCTCACTACCCTGGATGTCTTCTCCCCTATCCCCCGCTACACTTTAAACGTAGTGGTATTTATTCTCTGGGAAGTCCTAGAAGTGACGTATCTTTTTATTTTAATTGCTTTCCACTTTATCAATAAAAGGAACATGGATTTTCAATAGGAAATTTTTAAAAAGACAACTTGGAAAAAAATGTTTTTCAAACTTGATAAAAAATCGTGTCTTTAAACAATCACTAAAATACAATAGCACTATAGAAAAGAGTAATATGTCATGTCTTGGAATTTACATTTCTACGTACTGACTTCAGAAGGTGGCTGGGTCTCCCCTTCTATGGTTGACTAACTACATCATCCTTTATTTTATTTTTTTTTGGTGGGACCCTCACTAGCGGCCGGGGAACGAACCTGCGCTGCAGAGGCTATGGGCAGCCTCGCAGCCCAGCGCTCAACCGCTGTGCCACCAGGGGAGGCCCCATCCTTCATTCTTTTCTCCAGTGTTTTTTGAAGAGATAAAACGCCAGGCAGGTGGAGTGACCCACCCAGAGTCACTCAGCAAGTGCCAGGCAGATCCAGGTCTGGGACCACCATGAAGTCCTGACTTTTGGCCCAGGAGTCACTCCCTGCCCTGTAGCCTCTCCCCCCACCCCACCCCCAACTCTGCCCCTACATCCCACCTCTCTCACCTCCCTCCCTCCTTCCCACTCTCCCTTCATGTTCTCTTCTCCTCCTCCTCCTAAGTTGAGATATACTCGACATATAACATATTTGTTTCGAGTGTACAACATAATGATCCCATGTCTGTATATATTGTGAAATAATCACCACAGTTTCTAGTTAACATCCATCACAACATATAGTTAAATTAATTTTCTTTTTTTTTTTTTAAAGATTTATTTATTTATACAAGCACTGGGTACAGTCAGAAGCGCGGGAGGGTGAGAGAATTCACCAGAGCCAGAGCGGGGAGCAGAACAGGCAGAAGGACCGAAGTACACTGCTGAGGGGAGCAGCGGGCGGCAGGAGAGGTCTGCGCGCCATGTGGGACCCTCCACCGGTGGCCGGGGAGCAGCCGGGGATGGAACCAGCGCCGCAGAGGCTGCGGGCAGCTTTGCAACCCAGCGCTCAACTGCTGCGCCACCGGGGAGGCCCAAAATTAATTTTCTTATGATGAAAACTTTTAAGATCTTCTCTCCTAAACTTTTAAATATATAACACAGTATTATTAACTACAGTCACTGTGCTGTGCATTACATCCGTGGGATTCATTTATTTTCTGACTGGCAGTCTGTGCTTTTTGATGCCCTTCATCCATTTCCCCATTCACTGTCCACCTCTCAAAACCCCAATCTGGTCTCTGTATCTATGAACTCATTTTTCTTTGAGATTCTATATCTAAGGTATTTGTCTTTCTCTGATTCCAGCAGCCTCTCTTTAGGAAGGCTATTAATTAATGGAGTTCATTAATTGATTTTCAGCTATTGAACCATCCTTGTGCCCATGGAATAAATCCCACTTGGTCATGGTGTATTATCCTTTTGGTGCAGCGTTGGATTCTGTTGGCAAGGATCATCATGGAGATTGGCCTGTAGTTTTCTTTTCCTGTGCTCTCTGTAGTTTTGGCATTAGTGTAATGTTGACTTCATAAAATGTAATTGGTAGTGTTCCTTTCTTAATTTTATGAGAACAAACGAAGCAGATGTGGAAAGATCCATTTTCTTGAGTGCCTGGTCCAATAAATTAAGATTTATGAGCTTCTGAATCTGATGCTCTTGGTTTTTCTTTCCCAAGAAAACTTCCACTACTGAAGACGGCTCTTGGAGCCAGCAGGCAAGGAAGCCCGAGGCCCAAGAGAGGGCCCACGCACTCACCTGTGGGAAGTACCACTCGGCCTGGAGAACCTTGATTCCCTTCCGTCCTAAGCCTGCGTGAGTCTTGAGGGGAGAGAGGGGCAGGAGTCACTAGGGTGCAGCTAGACCCTCCCGAAGGTTACCTGACTGAGCACCACACAGTCACTTGGTTATTTGCACAAGTTGCAAAAGACCCCAGGATACCATGGCCACACTTATCAATAGTTACAAACCACACAGCAAACCCCTCCAGAGTAGCCTGAGGCCATAGGAGGCACAGTCGGCACATTCATTCAGTCAGTTGTGATTCAGGTGGATTCTCTGAGTGCCTAGTGTGGCAGGCTCTGTGCCAGACGCTGGAGGATCAGCACTAAGCGAGGAGACAAAGGGACCTTTGCCTAGCATGGCAAAGAGAAAGGCAATAAGCAAGGAAACTCATAAATAAACATATGGTGACAAGTTGTTCCAGGTCAGTGCTATGGACTGCTGAGGGCTAATGGGGCAGTGATACCTGGATGGGTTCTGAGTGATACTTAAGCTGACATCTGGAGGATGAACAAACTTTGCTAGTCAAGAGCAAGGGAAGAATGATCTGGGCAGAGGTAACAGCATGTGCAAAGGCCCAGCTTAAAGGTGAAGGAACACAATGTCCAGGAACTGAGGAGGCAGCCCGTGTCCCATTTACAGTCTTGCTGAATCTGCGTAGAGCCCTTTCCATGTTTTATATAGAGAACACCTACTTTTAGACACTTGTGATGCTTGTCTTAGTTAGCATGACCCTACCATACTTTTTCTCTTTTTTTTTAATAAACCAATCCCACAGGGATGGTGTCTTTTGTCATTTCATTTTTTCATTACCACACACCGTATATGGAATCCTGAAAAAAAGTTTTTGTATATCCCATGACCATGCAGGGGCTGTGACATCGTGCTAACTCAGCCCTTGGAAATCTTGCCCTTGACTTAATTTTCTCTCTAGAGCCCGTATCATAAGGGTGACCGCATGTCTGTGACTTCACTACTAGAGTTCCCTCCCCTCACCCCATGGATGATGCTGGCCTGTTCTCCTACTTTACGGTGTCATGGATCACCCCACTCATGGTCCTGGGTTCACGGAAATGCTTGAATGAGAATACCACCCCGGAGCTGTCGGTAGTGGATGCTTCAACCCAAAATGCCAAGAGGTAAAAAAGTCTTGTTGGGAAAGCTACCAGGCTGATTAAAAACCTTGTCTTGGGGAGGTGGTGACCTGAGATGCTTAAGAGCAATAGTGGGGCCCATCCTCAGACACCCAATGAATACCAGTTCTTCATTGGCAGCAAGAGGCCCTGGTCTAGTCTAGAGGTCCTGAGCCCCTGAGCCAGGGGTTCATGAACCTCCTGATGTGGGATACATATTTATACACATGGGCTAGAGATCTTTTCTTAGCATGAGTTCACATCTTTCATTAGATTGCTTCAGGACTCCAAGAAAGTTAGAAGTGACTACTTCTAGTCCCATTTGCTTTTTTCTCCTGGATCAGGTATTTAACTGTGACGTGATCAGTATATTTTGGGTTTTTGGTTTAGTCTCTTATTCCTGAGCTAAGGTAGTTGTGAGTACATGGCTTATAGTGTCTACCTCACAAGGTCATGTGAGGGTCAAATAGGGAAAAATGAATGAGTGATTTGAAATGTCCTGGACTCATGTTGCTGCTTCTTGAGAGATTCCAGGTGTATGTAGAAGGACATTTCCACACATGTTCCATGAAATGGTCATGCCTTGTGAGCCTACCTGACAGAACTTTTAATGGTCAGAGGAGTTTGTGAAATGTCACATACTATAATCAGACCTTAGATTTACAAAGCAAATTAGTGTATTACAAGTACAGAGAAAACCTGAAGTATAGAAACTGGTTCAACTTTGACCTATAGCTCCTCAGAGTTAGTTAAAAAAAAATTGTGGCCCTCCTGGGTGGCACAGGGGTTAAGCACAGCACTGTGAAGGCTATCCAAAGCCTCTGCAGTACCAGTTGGCCAGGGGAGCTGCCCACATGGCGCAGCAGTCAAATTAAGAATGTGGGAAATTCTATCAGACATATAACTCAGTTTCTTCCACAAATAAATGACAGAAAATGCAGAGGAGGGGAAACTGTTATAGATTAAGATGAGATACAAGAGTCCTAAAAGATCTTTTTTTTTTTTTTTTAAATGCAATGTGTGGGCTCTGTTTGGATCTTGATCCAAGCAAACTAACTGTAAAAACATTTCTGAAATATTGGAGAAATTTGAATATAGACTGAGGACTAAATGCCATTAAGGAATTATTGCTAATGTGGTTATTATGGTCAAAAACACAAACCCGACTTTATCTGGAAGAGATACATAATGAATATGATGAAATGAAGTCTGAGGTTTGCATCCAGTACACCAACACCCACAAAAATAAATAAAAGGAAGAAATAGGAAAAAGTAGAGAGGAGGAGAGACAAAACTAAAATGTCAGAAAGTTGATGATTTTTAAAATTGAGAATGGTTACTTGGGAGATGCCTTATTGTAGGGTAAGGTAAAAGGATCAGGCTTTTCTGCCCTCCTGCCATTAGGATAGATGAGGGAACCCTATGGTCCTGAATGCATGCCTGATGGCGGGCACCTGGAGTGGGGTGTGGGCATATGTAGATGGCATTCACCTGGGCCAAGACTGGGCTTTTAAGGGCAGCATCATGGGGATGGCAGCAGATGAGAAGCAGAGAAAGCAGTAGAAGCAGAGAAGCAGAAGCAGAACCACGAGAGAGCAGAGCAGCAGAGATCACCAGAGAGCCCAGACAGAGTGAAGACCCCTACCTGCCATGTACCCAGTAAATCCCAATAAAAGCCTGCAAAAGCCACTGAGGGCTCCGGGACCCCTCCTTTACCCGGTCTGCTGGATCAGAAAACCTGCACTATGTTCCTTCCTGACCACTACACTTACACTCTTTCATTTTGTTATGTCTGAAAATTTCTTTCCCGAAGCTTCTGGGCTAGCAACACCTAGGATTTTGGGGTAACATATGGAAAAAGATTTTACTTGATTCCATTTTCCTTTTTTTCAAGACTTCACCGCCTTTGGGAAGAAGAAGTCTCAAGACGTGGGATTGAAAGAGCTTCAGTTTTTCGGGTGATGCTGAGGTTCCAAAGAACAAGGGTCATTTTAAATTTCTTTATGAGCAGCTGCTTCTCCATTGCAGCTGTGCTGGGGCCAGTAAGTGACCCTAGGAGGTTTGGGGGACTCACGCTTTAGAGATTAACGTGTTCAAGTCCATGCCAGGAATTAGGGATGTATTTGTCTCTTAGCTGCTGCCCCCACATTTGGGGGCCAGTAGAATTAGTAATAGTTGGGAGTGTGAATTCTGTGGTTACTGTTTGGGTTCAAACCTTGGCGCTGTCACTTAATTGCCAGTGACTTTGAGCAATTTGTTTACCTTCTCCAAGTCCTAGTTTTCTCTTGGAACCCCATGAGGCCTTCAAGCATACCTCATGGAAACCCTCATGTGTAAAATGGAGAATATAATGTTACCTGCCTGCAAAAAGCACCTAGAACGTGGCCTGACTCAGTATGTGCTGGCTTCTTTGAGAACAGCCCGAGCAGCTCTGGAAAAGTAGATGGCAGAAAATAATGGTGCCACCCACATACCATGGTGGGCATGAATCAGCTCTATTTCGTGTCCTCTGGTTTCTCAGCCCAAGATTCTGGTTCAGGGTGTGAGTCTCATTGGCCCTGGCACATGATCTCGTGGTAGCCCACAGAGGGGAGGGTCTAATCTAGATTGTGCAGTGGAGTAGGCGATTCTCCCCAGAGGAAAACTGAAGTGCTGTTACAACTAAGAGGAGAATGGATGTAGAGTCAAGAAGTAATGGAGATAAGTGGCTTAGGGAACAGTTAATGGGCTGGATAGTCTCCACTTTCCCCTTGATGCCACTTGCCACTGCTGTCCACTCTGCCCTGTCCCTTAGTGCGTGACCTTTATGGTTCACGTTAAGGGGGTCACCCTGCACTCTGGCTGCTGGCTGACTCATAGAGGAGACTCAACCTGGACACTGGAGGGGAAAAAGTGAGGTCAGGCTCTTCACCCCACCTCTGTCCTTGTCACTGGTGACCAGATTCCCCTCAGGGGCCCTTCCTGTCATGACTGGCTCCTCCTGGGTTCCAATAAGCTTCCCCTTCCCTCTCCCTTGAGACCTAGGGAGGTAAAAGTTTCTTCACCCCTTGTGTTTCCTAAATTTTGCCAACATCCACGTAAAAAGTCACTGTCATGAACTCCTGAATTGCCATGTTTGTATGTGTCTTCTGTTTCCTGTCAGGACCAGCTGTGGGGGGCAGAGTTGGGGTGCAGATCCAGGTCAGCTGAACTAAGTCTCCTGCAACTGGACCCTGACCTTCCGGAGGTCAGGGTTATCCTTGAGTCAGTTTTGATGGTTCCGGCAGCCTCTGACATTGACCCGAGGACCTCACACACATGCTTGATATTTATTTGTTGCTTGAAAGGAGGAGCGGGCGGTCTAATAACCCATCCTACTGCTTTCAGATGCTGCTGATCCCAAAGATTCTGGAATTTTCGGAAGCGCCGTCAGGGGGCGTGGTCTATGGAGTGGGGCTCTGCTTTGCACTCTTTGTTACAGAGTGTCTGAAGTCTCTAGGTCTGTGCTCCTGCTGGCTCACCAGCCTGCGTACCGCCATCAGGTCCTGCACGGCCATTTCCTCCCTGGCCTTTGAGAAGCTGATGCAGTTTAAGTCTCTGACACACATCACCACAGGAGAGGTCAGTGATTGGGACACTGAGGGGCTCCTTCTGGACTCCTTCTGAAGACTTTGCTCACATCGCCCCCACCCCCTAGCCTTTCACATCCTTCAAGACCCAGTTGACATATACTGACTCCATGATGGCATCTCTAAAGCCCACCCCTACTCCCCTGATATTGGCCCCATTCCAATCCACTTCAGACCCACTGCTCTGTCCCTCAAAAAGCCTAGCACCTGAATTACTATTATTTTTTTGAAGATTTATTTATTTTTGCATTCAAGAACTGGGGTATAAGCCAGAGGTGCAGGGGGTGAGAGGATTCATCAGAGACAGAGAGGGGAACAGAACAGGCAGATCTACTGAAATACACTGCTGAGGGGAGCAGCAGGCGAGACAGGAGAGGTCTGCTGCACCATGTGGGTCAGCTCCCTGACAAGCCAGGGATTGAATTCATGGTGCAGTGGCTGGGTGATAGCTTGATAGTGCTGTCTTTAACCCCAGTGCCACCAGGGAGGCCAGCCTAGTACCTTAACAATATTTAAGTTAGCCTTTGCCATCAAGAAGTTCTTTCTAGGGCCTCCCTGGTGGCGCAAGGGGTTAAAGTATCAGCACTATGAAGCTATCCGCAGAGACTGCAGCACAAGTTCGATCCCTGGCCAGGGAGCTATCCACATGCTGCAGCAGACCTCTCCTGTCTCACCCGCTGCTCCCCTCAGCAGTGTATTTCAGTCAGTCTGCCTGTTCTGTTCCCTACCCTGTCTCTGGTGAATCCTCTCACTTCCCCACATGTTAGGCCTGTACCTAGTTTATGCATAAATAAAAAATAAATCTTTAAAAAATGTTTTATCTAAATTCAGGTACCAACAAATGTACAATATTGATCATTATCATTATCACTGTTTTCACTTTTTGCCATCTTAGAGAACTTGCTCAGCCTCTGAAGCTGTGCGATAATAACAGAAGCACCTTGTAGGCTTGCTGCCTGGTAGGATCAGGCAGAGCATGTAGAAAGGGGTCAGTGGTTCCGATGTGTTAAATTGTATTACTATTATTATTATTTTTTAATGTATTTATCCAATTTTCCCAGCACCATTTGTTGAAGAGGCCTTCCTTTCTCCATTATATGGTTATGAGAACCTTTAAATTATTGGCGAATTTTAAAATTTTGTTGTTATTAATTTCTGTTAGGCCTTGGACATGGAGGCTGTCCTATGCTTTTCCACTAGATGGACAGTTAAAGTTGTGGCAATCTTTCTCCCCGTATGTCAGGGAAGGCATCAGAGTGATCGCCAAAGTCCTCTAAGCTACACATTAACCCAAGCCCTTTACTTAGTTAGCTTGGTCAGCCCCTGACAGCCCTCTAATGTTCCCATTGTCATAGAGAAGGAAACGTGTTCAAGGTCACGTGATTGGTAAGCAGCAGGGCCTGGCTACATGGTCCCAGCTCAGAACCAATGCATTTGCCTGCCTGCTTCGGAGACCTTCTACACCGAGGTCTAGGTATGTCCCTCTGCACCTCCACTCTGAGCACCTACTCTATGCAAGATCCAATTTCCACAAACTACATCCTAGAATAGTAAATAAGGTAACCCATTTGGAAGTGCAGATGAAGTAGTTGCTCACTGAGATTTGCTTCATCAATTTTGTTTGACAATTTCAAAACAGCTGGTCCAGGTGATAGCGTGGTGGGAGATGTACAGGGAAAACACTCTAGGGAAGAAACCAAGTACTGTATGACTCATGGGAGGAGAGCCGTGGACCTGGTGTGTCTCTCTCCTCCCCCACCCGGCCTCTGGGTCTTCCTGCCAGGAGAAGATATGGCAGGGCCGCCCGCCACTGCATGTGAAGCCCCTCGGGGTGCTGCAGAGGCGGACCTGTGCCCATGGACTTGTTGTCTTGCAGATCATCAGCTTCTTCGCCAGTGACATAAACTACCTGTTCGAAGCAGTATACTATGGGCCTCTCATCATGATCACCTGTTTATCGCTGCTTTCCTGCAGCATCACCTCCTACCTCACCCTTGGACCCACAGCGCTCATTTCCACTGTTTGCTATCTCCTGATTTTACCGGTGGAGGTAACATCTTTCTTTGCTGCCCCCTTGAAATTGGATGTTCCCCAGAATGCCAGGGCTCTAAAATCTGGAGTATCTCTGGGTGGGAATGTTGGCTCCTGCTGACTGTGTCCTGCTGACTGTTTGTGCCATTGTAGTTAAGATTCTGCTCCAACTCCTGTCTCCAGCTCCTCTCTGGCCACAGTGTAGGCCTAATTAATAAGAGGTGAAGGGTTCAAGGGGACTACACCCCATGCCTTCTGTCAGGGACCCTTTGCTTCACAGACTATCCTCAGGAAATATCGTCTCTGTAAGATTTTGTTTCTTCTCTTCTACCCGGAATGTGCTGATGTGATCATGTACATGACATTAAGCATTTGGCTGAGCACAGTATAGTGGAGGAAGGGAAGCAAATTAGCTGCTGGAGAGTTGGGGGAAATAAAATCAGAAAAAACAGGAGGTGATTATGTGTGTCCTGAGTTGTTGAAATCCAATGTTTTCCTCCAGTGCAGTTACTCTAACCAAAAAGTGACTATAATTGTTAGCAGGTTAGCGGTCCCAAAGGCAGAGGAGTCATTTTGGTTTAGTTAGCCCCTCTCTTGGGACCCATGGAGGAAGCCCCCCAGGGTGTGTGAGGACAGGACAGCTTGCTGAGGCTGCTCAGGAAAACCTCCAGTGTGGATCTGGGAGTCACAGCAGATTCAGAGTGTAGAGTGAGCCCAGGTTTCTCATCAGCACCTGCAGTTTACCTTTGGAAATACTCCTAGTTGTCACACTTGTCCAGCTAAACTCGCTCACTTTCATCAAAAGAAGCTCTTGATCTTTTTGTCTTTAATTTTTTTGAGCTTTTGTTTGATTTCTCTACATTCCACATTAAGTGAAACCATCCAGTATTTATCTTATAATTTCTGTGAGCATTATCCCTTCCAGCTCCATCCATGCTGCCACACATGGCATGTGTATCTTTTTGATTGCTGAATAGTATTCCATTGTATTTATAGACCACAACTTTTTGATTCATTTGTCTATTTTGGGGCGTTTAGGTTGTTTCCATATCTTGGCTATTGTAAATAGTGCTGCAATAAACATAGGAGTGCAGGGTTCCTTTTGAACTAGTATTTTTGTCAAAACAGGGGAGGGAATAGCCCAAGGGACTGTGGTGTCAGATCACGGGCGCTTTGTTGTGGGAGAACTACAGGAACTACACCTGAGGAAAGAAACCAAATACTGTACAAAAATGAAAAATGATGTAAGAAAGTAAAATAAACAACAGCAAAAAACAGCTCTTGCTGTTTCCGACTCCAGGCATTCCTGACCAGATGGGCCGTGAAGATACAGAAGCACACATCAGAGGTCAGCGACCAGCGCATCCGCGTGACCAGCGAAGTGCTCGCCTGCATTAAGCTGATTAAAATGTACACCTGGGAAAAACAGTTTGCAAAAATAATCAAAGGTACAGAAAACCTGGCTCTCCATTCAGAGCCTGGGGATCCAGGGTGGGCTGGGCCTTGCACCGCCTGAGGGTGTCTTGCGTGCCCCGGGGTTTGTTCTGTGCTGGGGTTCATTTCTTGCATTACCTTTTTGTCTCCTAGAGCTCCGAAGGAAGGAAAGGAAACTCTCGGAGAAATGTGGGCTTGTCCACAGCCTGACCACTGTCACCCTATTCTCAGCTCCCACAGTGGCCATGGTGATGACGTTCCTTGTACATACGTGCTTACACCGGCAACTTAGTGTGTCAACGGTGAGTGTTTGGTCTGCCCTACCCCCCACTGTATCCCTGATTGTGATGGGGAGTGTTTGCCTGTTTTTTTCCCATGCCCTTCGAAGGCCTGGAGGTTTTGCAAATGGATATTACACATTGATTATGTTTTTCCAGATGTTGAGGGAACACGAACTTTCTTCTGTATCAACTCAGTTGAGAAAGTGACATCTTTATAGGGCAGCTATTGGAGGGAGAGGCTCCGGAGTTTTCTGGGGGAGCAGGGAGGTGGATGTGCCGTTAAATCCCCAGTGATTCTGAGATGCATCTTGAGATTGAGAACACTACATTAAGAATCTTCTTTGATCCCAAATTAGGGCCCTGAAAATGTGCTTGAACTAAAAAGGCATATCTTCTTCTCTCTTTCTGTTTGATGCCCCATAGTCCTCAGAAGCACCCGTAGCCTTTTAGGGTTAGGAATCCCAGTTCTTTGGGGAGAACCAGGGAGGGTGCTGGTTTGGAGAGGTTGGGATTTAGCCAGTGAGACAGGAGACTGCACCCCAAGCAAGAGCAGGGAGTATTTTTTTTAATATTTTATTTTATATAATTCTTATATCATTTTTCATTTTTGCACAATGTATGCATTTTCATTTTGGTTATAGTGTCCATACAATTGCACCCCTTATTTTGACCTTAGTCCTTCCTCTCTCCACCCCTCCCCCCGCAGTGTGTCTCTGGTTTATAGTTGCTTGTTGATTTTGATTTTTACTTTGTATTAATTAATCTTTTTCCTGGTCCCTTATATAGGTTTTCTAGATTCCTGTTATGAGTGAGACCATCCGGTATTTTTCTTTTTCTTTCTGGCTTATTTCGCTGAGCATGATCCCGTCCAGCTCCATCCATGTTGCTGCAAATTGCATGTGTTTATCTTTTTTGATTGCTAAGTAATATTCCATTGTGTATATGTACCACATCTTCTTGATCCAGTCATCTATTTTTGGGCATTTGGGTTGTTTCCATAGCTTAGCTATTGTAAACAGTGCTGCTATAAACATAGGGATGCAGGTGCCCTTTGGAATTAGTGTTTCTGTGTCATTTGGGTAAATACCTAGGAGTGGAATTGCTGGATCATATGGAAGCTCTATATTTAGTAGGTCCAGAAATCTCCACACAGCTCTCCATAGTGGTTGGACCAGTTTTCACTCCCACCAGCAATGTAGGAGAGTTTCTTTTCTCCACAACCTCAAGAGCAGGGAGTATTTGAAGGTCAGCAGTTTGGGGCTGGTTTGTGCTCCAGACAGTGGCCGTGTCTACCTGACCCAGGCACATGCCAGAGAAACATCCCTAAGAAGTTTGAGGGTGGATGGAAGTGGGGGATGTGTATGGAAAGCTTTTAATGGGACTTTAGGATCTTGCTGATCTAGCATCAGTCTGGACAAAGTTCCTGCTCCTTATGGAGTTTATCTCAATTAACCTGGAATGAAGAAAGGGATGGAGATGAGCTTGGGTTAGAGACCCCCCCCCCCAAGTACCTCCGGGCAGTGATTTACATCTGGATCCCAGGCGCATGCTCTAAGTAGTTAGGCTATTAATTTTTCTTTTTGTTTTATATGAGAGCTTTTTGTTTTTAACTACGAAGCTTATTACTATTAATTAACACGGGTGAATGTTACTTTCACAAAATAATTTTTTATCATTTAGATTAATACTAACAAGGCTAAGTATACAACAGAGAAATTATTAAGCTCAGCAGTCTATTAATACACAGAGTTTAGTAACGTTTCATTGAATCAGCCTAGTTATTAGATTTCGTATGTTCTTTTTTAATCGGCAAACCAATGACCTTTTAAACAGAGAAAGAGAAAAGATTTAGAGAGACAGTTGTATTAGAATAAAGTTTGTGGGTCTAGAGAAGGTGAGATAAGTTTCCCTGCGGACAGCATTCCTGTAGTGGCTCCGTGGTCGTTATCTTTTTTTTTTTTTTTTAAATATTAAATTTTATTTTTATATTCCCATACAATTGCAAACGCCCCATTCTGACCCAATCCTTCCCTCCCGCCCCCCCCCCCCCAAAAAGTGTCTTTGGTTCATAGTTTTTTGTTGATTTTGATTTTCACTTTCTTATATTCATTTCCTGGTCCTTATTAAGTTTTCTAGATTCCTGCTATGAGTGAGACCATCCGGTATTTTTCTTTTTCTTTTTGGCTTATTTCGCTGAGCATGATCCCTTCCAGTGCCATCCATGTTGCTGCAAATTGCATGTGTTTATCTTTTTTTGAATGCTGAGTAATATTCCATGTATATATGTACCACATCTTCTTGATCCAGTCATCTATTTTTGGCATTTGGGTTGTTTCCAAGCTTAGCTATTGTAAACAGTGCTGCTATAAACATAGGAGTGCAGGTGCTCTTTGGAATTGATGTTTCTGTGTCCTTTGGGTAAATACCTAGGAGTGGAATTGCTGGATCATATGGAAGCTCTATGTTTAGTAGGTCCAGAAATCTCCACACAGCTCTCCATAGTGGTTGGACCAGTTTGCACTCCCCAACAGTGCAGAAGAGTTCCTTTTTCTCCACATCCTCGCCAACATTTGTTGTTGCTAGTTTTTTAATATGTGCCATTCTCACTGGTGTGAGATGGTATCTCATGGTAGTTTTGATTTGCATTTCCCTGATTACAAGTGATGTTGAACATTTTTTCATATGTCTGTTGGCCATTTGCATTTCCTCTTCAGAGAAGTTTCTTTTTAGCTCTTCTGCCCATTTTTTGACTGGATTATTTTCTGTTTGTTGCTGAGTCTCATCAGCTCTTTGCAGATTTTGTGATCAGTCTTTATCATTAGTGTTGGGTGCAAAAATGTTCTCCCAGTTGGTGGGGTTTCTCTTTGTTTTTGTTATTGTCTCTTTTGCTGTGCAAAAGCTCTTTAATTTGATGTAGTCCGCTGTTTATCTTCTCTTCACTATCACTGCTTTGGTGATGTGTCTGTAAAGATGTCTTTGATGTGCAAATCCCGTAGTGTTTCGCCTATATTTCCTTCTATGTATTTTATGGTTTCAGGTCTTATGTCTAGATCTTTAACCATTTGAAGTGATTTTTGTGTATGGTGTGAGGTAGTGGTCAAGCTTCATTCTTTGCATGTAGCGACCCAGTTTTTCCCAACACCATTATTGAACAAACTTTCTTTGCTCCAATGCATAGTCTTTGCTCCTTTGTCAAAGATTAGTTGACCATAAATCTGTGGTTATTTCTGGATTTTCTATTCGATTCATTGGTCTGTATGTCTGTTCTTGTTCAATACCATGCAGTTTTGATGATTATGGCTTTGTAGTATAGTTGAAGTCTGGTAGTGTGATGCCTCCATTTCCTTCTTTTTTCAGTAGAGCTTTGGCTATTCGGGGTTTGGTGATTCCATATGAATTTCATCAATAATTGTTCTATTTTCTTTTTGAAGAATGCCATTGAGATTTTTGATTGGAATAGCATTGAATCTGTATATTGCTTTTGGTAGGAGTGGCCATTAATAATGTTTATTCTTCCATCCATGAGCAGGGGATGTCTTTCCATTTCTTTGTGTCTTCTTCTATTTCTTTTACAGTGTTTTATAGTTTTCTATTGTATAGGTCCTTTACCTCTTTGTTAGAATTTATTCAAATATTTGATTTTTTTTGTTTCAATAATAAAAGGGTGGTTTTTTGATTTCTTCTTCTTCAGATTTATTGGTTTATGTATAGGAAGGCTACTGACTTTTGCGTGTTGATTTTGTTCCTGCCACTTTACTGAATTGATTGATGAGTTGAATTAGTTTTTCTGTGGAGATTTTGGGGTTCTCTATGTATATTATCATATCATCTGCAAATGTTGATAGTTTTGACTTCTTCTTTTCCTATTTGGATTCCTTGGATGTCTTTCTCTTGTCTTTTTGCTCTGGCTAGGACTTCCTGTATGGAAAGCTTTTAATGGGACTTTAGGATCTTGCTGAGCTAGCATCAGTCTGGACAAAGCTTTCCTGCTCCTTTGGAGTTTATCTTCAGATTAACCTGGAAGAAGAAAGGGATGGAGATGAGCCTTGGGTTAGAAGACCACCCCCCCCAAGTACCTCCGGGAGGTCACCTCTGGGATCCTGAGCCCGAAATGCTTCACCATACTCTCAGAAGTTCTCCCAGAAAAAGTGAGAGATGAAGATTAAGCACGAAGCTTAGGGAGATTTGTGTACAAGAAAAGAACATGCAAGGAAAAGAAAAATAACTGTGATCTTAACAGCAATCATAATAGTACATAATAGTACAAACATAATAGTACAAAGCTCACTTACATGTGAATCTTCAGTGTTTCTCCAACTTTATTCCTCGGCAAACTTTAGGATTTTTGCCCCTATGCTAATGGGGAAGCTTGTGGTGGTGGGAGGGGGAGCAGGAAAGCAGACTGCTTAGAATTACCCAGGGGCTAAGCTATAACAGGAATGTGGCTTTCAGACTCAGACTTTAAGATAAGCACCCTTTCTCCTTTCTGTCCAGTCTCCCCTAAATGCCACTTAGCCTCTGGCAAGTGAAGCACCTGCTTGTTGGAAGCTGCAGGGCGTGGCTTTGTGGCTTGAGGTTCAGAGCTGGGGCTCAATGTGTGGAGGGAGCTGGACAGAGGTGCAACCCTCACCACCTCCTCCCCTCCTTACCTAGGCCTTTGCCACGATGGCCATCTTGAATTCCTTGAGGCTCTCAGTGTTCTTTGTGCCCTTCGGAGTCAAAGGCCTCACCAACTCAGAATCTGCAATGGAGAGGTTCAAGGTAAGTGGCCAGGGCACTGGCTACACACCTCATGCCTGGGTGTTCATTTGCCCCAGTTTGTTCGGGACTTGACCCCTGGCCAAGGCAGAGTCCAGCCGAGGTGAAGGGATTGACTAACTCAGTGAGCTCTGTGCCCGGGCTGGTGTGGGGCTGGGCTGACAGAAGGATCAGGCTCACTTGCAGGACCTGAGAGCTCTGGAGAGGGTGTCTGACCCTCTCCAGGTGTGTGTGGGGTTGCCCTAGTGTTTTCATTAAAAAACAAAACAAACCTTAAAAAAAAACCACACAAACCTATTACTTGCATGTAAAAATTGAGAAATTTTATATGAAAACTCAGATTTCTGAATTCTCTTGAATAATCAGGAAACCTGGCAACACTTGATTCACATTCTTCCTTGGGCACCTGGAGTAAGGTGAGAGCTGCCCTGTTTGGAGGGGTCATTTACATGCGGTTTGCTGCACACCCCACTGTGCCCTATTGCACCTCCAAAGCGGGAGCTGTGTTTTAATTACCATTTTTCATCTTAGCAGTGGGTCACTTAATTTACATAGGTCTTCTTCCCACCAGAGGCACCTGAATTTAAAAACCAATTTTAAACTCAGTGACCCAAATTTACTATCTTTTGTAATCTTACTTAAATGCATGCAATCTCTGACTCATTCATTCACTCAAACAATATTTATTGAACACCAGGCACTGAGAATACCGCAGTGAGCCAACAGGACCCCTGCTCTCAGGGAGTTCCAATCTGGTATTGGAAGTGGTAACTAATAAGTAAATGAGTAATCAAATAAGCTAACACTGAAATCACATGGAGAGCTAAGAGGACAATGAACTGCATGTTCTAGAAAGCAAGCAGAGGAGGCTGGGGCTGCTGTGGATAGGCTGGTGAGGGACAGCCTCTCTGTAGAGGTGACTCTTTTATATATATATATTTATATACACACATAAATATATGCATATATATATTTACATATATATTTAACATCATTATTCATTTTTGTACAGTTTGCTTTCTATACACAATAGAGGTGACTCGAGCTGAGGGATGATGACTTGGCAGAGGGTATAAGCTCAAAAGCCCAAAGGCTGGAATATAGGAATACACTTGGCATGTTTGGGTAACACCACACAGTCCTTCACTGTCAGCAGCCTCAGGGGCTCCAGAACTTCTCAGTAACTGCCGTCAGGGCCCTGCTGCTCTCCTTCTTCCACTGCACCTGGGTTCTCCTACCCTCCCCATCTGCAGAGTGGGTAGAAGTGGGCAGATACAATTCAGAGAGTCGGCTTGATGATCAGAGAGCATATGCCTGGAGAGTGGAAGGGGGGAGATGCTGTTATGGTGGGAAATGAAGAGCAGGCAGGGAGGGGTCTGGCAGCGGTCCAGGCTCTGGGCCATACCTGGTCCCGGCCTGAGGGGCCGGGGCTGTGCATCTCCACAGGCAGGTGTAATAATGAAGGCTGTTGGCTTCAGTGGTGTCTCACTGATACCCATTATATAACGAGATATAACTAAACAAGCAAGTGCCCCACTAACTAAACAGAATAAAGGGGGCCATGCAATTCCCAGCAGTGACTATTTGCCTTGACCCAAACATTATAATTAATTCATTATACCAGAGAGCCAATTAAAAAAATAAATAGACCACCTCTTTTTTTTCTTTTGAAAATAGCTTCTGTTTTTCTATAATGTTGTGTGCTCATTATAAAAACTTCAATGCAGAAAAGTATAGAGAATTAAGACCACTCAACACACTTTGTGTAGAGATAAATCATACATCCAAAATATCAATTAAATCCGTTGGTGGTATAGTGGTGAGCACAGCTGCCTTTCAAAATGTCAATAAGTGTCTTTCTAGATCTCTTTTAAAACTTATCTCCAGGTAGAGGAATGTGCATATAATTTTTTTTTGAAGATTTATTTATTTATACATGCACTGGGTACAGTCAGAAGTGCGGGAGGGTGAGAGAATTCACCAGAGCCAGAGGGGAGAGCAGAGCAGGCAGAAGGACCGAAGTACACTGCTGAGGGGAGCAGCGGGCGGCAGGAGAGGTCTGCGCGCCATGTGGGACCCTCACCTGGTGTGACCGGGGATCGAACCAGCGCTGCAGAGGCTGCGGGCAGCTTCGCAACCCCGGGCTCAACTGCTGTGCCACCGGGAAGGCCCATGCATATAATTTGACTTCAATTTGATCATGCTTTTTAACCCCCTTTTAAATGCTAGAATGAATGAAGATTAACTCACATTTTACAGGTAGGGAGATGGAGGTGTAGAGAGACATTACGTGCCGATGGTTGATTTCAGTGAATTACCCTAAACCTGCCTTTAGAATTTTTGCCAGCAGAAACTGACCTAACTGGTGGTGGCTCTTCAGATGTTCGCTGCTTACTAGGGGGTCATAGACCTGCCCAACAGGTGGGCCAATAAAACGGGAACCTGTTCCCACTGGACAGAATAACTGAATCCCTCCTCCCTTTCTTTGTGTCTGTACAGAGATTTTTCCTCCAGGAGAGCCCTGCTTCATATGTCCAGGCACTGAGCGACCCTAGCAAAGCGATCGTTGTGGAACAGGCCACCTTGTCCTGGCAAAAGACCTGCCCCGGAATTGTCAATGGCGGGTTGGAGCTGGAGGGGAACAGCCATGCTCCCGAGGGCATGCCCGCGAGTCAGCCGCTGCCTGGAGCCCCCAGAACAGGGGATAGAAGGGGCAGCCTTGGCCCAGAGTTGTACAAGATCAACCTGGCAGTATCAAAGGTAGCCTTCCCAGGCCAGGCAGGGCCAGCTGCCAGGGTTTCAGGGCTGGAGGTTAGCAGCTGTGCCAGTGCAGGATCACTTCCTTAGCTGGTAACTACCTTCTCCAAACTGCCCTTTAAAATGCAAATTTTTCTTGGAGGGCAAATACAGGGAGTCTTTCATACTTCACTGTGAATGGATTGATTTTCTAAAACTATTTTGTAATAGCAAGACCCAGAGTCATAACTGTGTGCTGGTTCTTGGAAGGATCCAGGACACATAAAGGAGAAGGGGAGGGAGAGTAAACCAACATTTATTAAGTGCCTAGTATGTGCCAAGCACCGTCCTGTGTTTTTTAATTTGGGTCCTGTGTGCACTCCCCTACTAACTCCTTTTCGAATGTCAGCAAGGGCCACTTCCCTGCTTGCTCCTTCTACCTCGCTCCTTTCTGCTCTCTGATGATAGAAAGTAAAATATATTAATATCTAATGATAACATAGAGATGGACCTATACCGAATGAGATATGATATGAATAGATATGAATATAAACAGTAGTAGATGATAATATCTAAAGTCTATAACCCATTCAAATTACCTAAGTCCCATGGCTTTAAATTCCATCTCTATGCTATTTACTCTAGCCTTGAAATCTCCTTTGGGCTCTGGAATCACCTATTTTATTATTATTTTTATTTTTTTGAGCATTTTTATTTTATTTTATATATTTTTTACATTTTTCATTTTTGCCCAATGTATGCATTTTCTTCTTGGTTATAGTCCCCATACAATTCCCACCCCCCTTGTTTTGATCCTACTCCCTCCTCCCCCCTCCCCCAGTGTGTCTCTGGTTTATAGTTGCTTGTTGATTTTGATTTTTACTTTATTATAATTAGTCTTTTTCCTGGTCCCATATTTAGGTTTTAATTCAACAGGGCAACTGCACCCCTATGTTTATTGTAGCACTATTTACAGTAGCTAAGCTTTGGAAACAACCCAAATGCCCAAAAATAGATGACTGGATCAAGAAGATGTGGTCCATATACACCACAGAATATTACTCAGCAATCAAAAAAGAGAAACACATGCAATTTGCAGCAACATGGATGGCGCTGGATGGTATCATGCTCAGCGAAATAAGCCAGAAAGAAAAAGAAAAATACCGGATGGTCTCACTCATAGCAGGAATCTAGAAAACCTAAATAAGGGACCAGGAAAAAGACTAATCACCTGTCTATTTTAATACCCCCTCTTAAGTACCTACTGAATCTTTCAAAAGAAACAAAGCCAGATATCACTCTCTCTGACCCTTCTCCCTGTCTTCTCCTTCACCACCATCCTTCCTGCAGTGAAGAATCTGGGCGTCAAATGTGATTCATTTCCCTTCTTCCTTCCACCAATCCAGTCCTACGAGACCTGTCAGCTTGCTCACCTTCTCTCCCAAAGCCAGCCATCTCTCACCATCACCACTCCGTTGCCCTGGCCCCAGCTACCAGGATGCCTACCCAGCTCCTCAGCAAATTCCTTTCTAGTCTCTCTGCTTCCCTATTTGTCCTTATACAATTCTTTACACTCAGTGAACAGATAGTTTTCTACAACATAGCCAACTCAACCAAACCAATTTGTGACCTCCCACTGATCTGAGGAGAGGGCCCAGGTTTCTTTTAGTGTCCTTCCCACACCTCTGACCTCGTCCACCATTCATTCTCTTGGCACCACCCACACTAACTCTCCTACAGCTCTGTGATGGTCAACTAGGCTCCTGCCTCAGGACCTTTGCACCAGCTATTCCCACAACCTGTAGCATTGTTGGTCTAGATAATTTTGTGTCTGGATCCTGTCATTCAGATTGCAGCTGCAAGGACAGCTGCTAAGAAGCCTTCCCTGGCCAACTCATCTGAAATTGCTTTAACCCCCAACTCTCTATCATAGTAGCCAATTTCATTTTACTTATGTCTTTTATCACCATCTGATATTATTTGATTATTAATTTGTTCAGGTTTGTATCCCCCCTAGAATGTTAGCTAAAAATGTTAGTTCTATGGATGAATGAATGAGTGAATGCACACATGAATTCTATGAGACTGGCTTCGTGATCATTTTAAAGATGAACAAACTGAGACTCAGATTTGTTGCCCAGGATTGTAGAGCTCAATAGATGTCAACTAGAGTTGGGGTTTCTTGCCCCAGAGACCCACCTGCCCACAAATTCCTCTCCCTCTCTCCCTGTGGTTACCCCTCTTTTGAGATGGCCCTGTCCTAGCTCTGCAGGCTGAACCCAGTACTCCACTGGAGCTTTGCTTGTCTGAGGGACACTGGGGTGTGTGATTTTCTTTCCTCTTTGTCATTTTCTGGTTAGATGCTAGACCTGCTTGAGTGAGTGGGAGGGTTATACAGTCCTAACTCTGTCCTCCTTGGCTCTGCAGGGGATGATGTTAGGAGTCTGTGGCAACACGGGGAGTGGCAAGAGCAGCCTGCTGTCGGCCTTGCTGGGGGAGGTAAGTAACACGTGGCCCAGGCACATCTACCCATGGCCAGGCCATATGCCCCTAAGCTCAGTACCCCCAGGAAGTCACACCAGCACTTTCTTCCCCAAAAGGGTCTGCACCAATACAATTTTTGTAAAGTCAGTTGAATTTTTTGTAAACTAAAGTCAGTTGAATTCTGCAATCATAGGCTTTGTTCTGGTTTAGTGTTGTTAGTTTCTTTGCTTTGGTTCTCTATAATCTACATATAAGTGAAATCATCTGGTATTTGTCTTTCTTCCCCTGGGTTTTTTCACATATAAACCCTTCAATTCCATCCATGTTGTCGCAAATGGCAAGAATTCATCTTTCTTTTTATTATTTATTTATTTATTTTTAAAAAAGATTATTTATGCATGCAAGAATTGGGGTACAGGCCAGAAATGTGTGTGGGGGGTGAGAGGAACAGAACAGAGTGTTCCCCACAGAGTAGGGAACAGAATAGGCAGACTAATGAAATACACTGCTGAGGGGAGCAGCAGGTGAGACAGTAGAGAGTCTGCTGCACCATGTGGGTTGCTCCCTGGCCGGCTGGGAATCGAACCCAGACAGTTCGACACTAAACCAGAACAACACTAAACCAGAACAAAGCCTAAAATGTGATTGCAAAATTCAACTGCACACAGTTTCACAGAGCTGTGCTCAACCCATTGTACCACCAGGGAGGCCCCAGGAGTCTCAATGTTTAAGATGATGGTAAAAATCACTTACCAAGACAAACTAGACTGGGTTGTCTGTCCCTTGCAAGACAGTATAGCAAATATGGAGGGAGAAATGAGGAGGGAAGAAGGAAGAGGGAAGAGGGGTGGATGAGAGGAGACTCTCCCCATGTGGGACAGTCTGATGCCCCTGCGTGAAACTGACATGCCACTAGCTGCCCTGCCTTTGAGAGCTGAATGTCCAGCAGCATTGGCTCTAGATGTTCTTGAGGTCTGCTTAGTCTGCAGCCATGTGGATTGCCAACCCACCCCTTCTCCAGATGCCCCAAACCCCAAACTCTTTCCCCAAACATCTGAGGTCACATTGCACACCTCTTAGTGAGCAACAACTGAAAATGGCCACAACACCTGGTTTCCATTTATGGCGACCACCCCTCCTGGGGTTCTTAACCCCAGTCCCATTTCCAGGGCTTCTCTCTCCCCCTCCTTTCTTTGCCCATTATGTTTTTGAGAGAACTAACAATTGCCCTTGTTTTACTCAACCCTCCCTCAGTTCCTTCTCCCAGATGCACATGGCCAAGCGCATTGCCTCCTGGGGATGTGCTCGTGTGATCAGTAGGTCAGTAGCCATCCTCTCCTCACACAGCTGTCTGGCAGCTCATTTCTCTGTTCTTCCCCATGACGGCCTTCCCCCAACTACTTTGCAACTGCAGAGAAAGAGAATCCACTTTTCAAAAAATGGCAAAAATAATTTTTTAAATAAAGATTTATTTATTTATGCATACAAGAACGGGGGTGTAGATCAAAGGTGCATGGGGTGAGAGGATTCACTAGAGGCAAAGTGGGGAGCAGAACAGGCAGATTGACTGAAATACACTGCTGAGGGGAGCAGCGGGCGAGTCAGGAGAGGTCTACCACGCCGTGTGGGTAACTCCCTGGCCAGGGATCGAACTCATGCTGCAGAGGCTGCCAATAGCTTCATAGTGCTGACATTCAACCCCTTGCACCATCAGGGAGGCCCCTGTTGTTGGTTTTATGTGTGTTTTAAAACTTACCATACAGAAAAGCAGGAAGGACGTGACAGTAGAGACCCAAATATCCAACCAGCCAGATTCAACAGTTGATAACATTCATATATTTGCCTCTTCCTCGTAGTTATGTATTTTGTAGAACTATTTTACTTTACAGAGACTATGACCCTTCCCCAACTAAGTACCTCATCATGATGTCGAAAGAATACAGACATTTCCCATCTGACCATGATGCCATCATCACACCTGACATTAGTAATAATTTTTTCTGCTTCTTGTCCCAAGTTGCCTAATCCAGGGATGGAAGGAGATGACCCAGAACTTTCCATCTTATGCGAAAGGCATGGAAGAAATGCTTGTTGGGGAAATAAGAGAGAAAAAAAAAAAAAAAAGGATGTTTTTCTTCAACCCAAGCCTTGCGTTTGGTCCCAGTAGGAACTGGTCAGACTTAGCTCCAGCTGCTTCCCCTTGTTCTAAAGACTTTCCTCAGACTCACTGGGGGCCCTGCACGACCTTGTCACAAGGCCCAGTTATGTAGACCCTCCTGGGACCTAGAGTCTGGGGAGGCCTGGGCTCTGTGGCTGCTGAGCCAGGCAATGTCCGTCTTGGCTGGGCCTGGTCCTGAGGTTATACTCATCCCACTGCAGATGTACTTGCTGGAGGGCTCTGTGGGGGTACACAGAAGCCTGGCCTATGTCCCCCAGCAGGCCTGGATCATCGGGGCCAGCGTCAGGGAGAACATCCTCATGGGAAGCCAGTTCGACCAGGCCCGGTAAGCTTCTGGGAGGGCAGGGAGGGCCATGGAATGTGTAAAGACTGGTTTGGGGGAGGGACCCCTAACTAATACTAGTAATTTTACAACTGCTATTAGTTGCTGGGGGTGCGCTTTTATGCATCACCATATTTCTACCTCATTGTGAAAGAAAGATGCTTATCATACCCATCTGCTAGATGAGTCAGCAGAGGCCCCACGAGGTGAAATATTGATTTGCTCAAAGTCACACTGCTGGGAGGGTGTGATAGGGCCATGATTAAAACTCACTTGCTTTCAGGGAGCTTCATGTTTAAGTGTTAGACTATTCAAGCTCAAAATAACCCTCCCTGTCTAACAATGTTCCTTTTAAACTTCTTTGGTATTAATTTGTTCCTTAAATTCCTAAGACTACAGGCAAAGCAAATAGGGTGTGCAGGGTACACCGTGTAGAGGGGATAGGTTCATGGCTGTGGGCCACCCGCTCCCTACCCTGTGCCCCGCTTCCCTGTGCCCCTCTCTCTCCCAGGGCCCCGGGCTTGACCTGCTTGAGGCAACACTGGATAATCACACACTTGAGTGGATGATCCAGGAAAACTGCCCTGCATTTTGCAACTGAGCTTCCAGCTATGGTGCACTCTGGCCTTCTTTGCTTGACTGCCAACCGCAACGCTGTAGGCGAGTGACCTGGAGCGATGCACCCTGGCCCTTGCCGCTGCTTGTCCTGTGAGCTCCTCAACTCGGGTCCACTGCCAACACATGGGCACCCTGTTTGCCCCACTGCCACACCCTGCCTGCTTCTCTTCCCTAGTTGCCAAATTCTTCCCAAATCTCCCAAGTCAGTGTAATGACATCCTGGAATGTACAGCCAGGGGACCTGACACCCCTTTCTGATCCCCTCCACTTCTAACTGGTCCCTGGACAACTCTGTCCTCTCAATATCACTGGTGTTCTTGAATGTCCCCCTCTTTGACATCTTCCCCTGCGGGCCCAGGCTGTGACCGCTGGCTTGAGCTGTTCTCACTGCCCCTGCCCTGGTTTTCTCTGGCTCTGTTCTCCCTGTGCACAACTTCCAGGACAGTTGTCTGCCACATGACTCCCACCCTGTCGCTGCTCTGCTTCCAGACTGATCGGGCTCCTAGGGGGAGGTTTTGATATAATTGTTGAAAAGTAAAAACTCACCATGACTCAGCAAATCCACTTGCTAGGCATTTAGTGCAAAAATTCACCCATGAATACAAAGACCCATAAGAATGTTCACACAGCATTGTTCAAAGTAGCAAGAGATTAGAAACAACCTGAATGTGTGGCATTAGGATACTGGTTAAATAATTTCTGGCGTAGAAGGAAAAGGAAAAATATTGCATAGTTTCACTTACAGGAGGGATATAGGGGAATTAAATAAGGGATTAGAAAAAAATGATTATAATTAATTAAAAAACCAAAATTAACAGACAACTATAGATCAGAGACATTCCTCAGGGGATGGGGTGGGGGGGCAGAGGGATCAAAACAGGGGAGGGAAGAGCATGAAGGACTATGGTGATGGTGCATGGGTGAGCTGATGGTGGAAATTTTATGGGGACTACACCTGAGAAGAGAAAGGATGCATTGTACAAAAATAAAGAATGATGTAAAATATATACAAATAAAATATGGAAAAATAAATAAAATAGAAGCAGTAGCAATCACTAACCAAAATAATAATAATAATAATAATAATAATAATAATAATTTCTGGTGCGGCTATGCAATGGCACAATTGTGCCATTAAAACAATGTAAACATATATATGTTGCATGAGACTGACATGACTAAATTATTTTTGAATAAACACATAAGAAACTGTAATAGGGACCATGCCCAAGGAAAGCAACTGAGGCTCAAAGATGCCAGGTTACCTTGCTTGACACCATATCTCCTCTCTGTTCTGCTCTAATAGCAAGTGCACATATAAGATTAAAGGAAATGAAAGAAGGAAGGGAATGAAAAAAACCCTCCAGTGGTTTACCCTGAAGCACAAGATCAAGTTCAAATTGCTTTGCATGTGATGTAAGACTTTTCACTCCCACACTTGTGTGTTGGAGGGCCTGTGGTCCTCCTGTCCCATCAACTCCATGTCCTTCACAGGTACCTCCAGGTGCTCCACTGCTGCTCCCTGATACGGGATCTGGAAAGTCTGCCCTTTGGAGACATGACTGAGGTGAGCGGGAGGCGAGCAGCCCTGGCTCTGTTGGGCTGGGGCCTGTGCAGGGTCCTCAGGCTCCTTGTGGAAGGTGGCTCTTCCCATGACAGCAGTAGGGTCCCTCGGCCCCCCAAACCTGCTCCCCTCCCACCCCAGCCTGTGCAGCTCTGTCCTGGTGGAGCATTGTGTTTGTGTGAATAGTCTTACACAAGTCAGGCTGATGGTCCCACAAGTTCACCATCACAGTCCTTGGAGATCTAAAGCAGAGTCTAACAGGAGACTGCTCTTTCTTGGAAATGAATGATGACTCTAATTATCTAAACAGTTAAAGGTTTAATATGCCTTTCCAGAAATTAATAGATTTAGAAAATTGTATGTAATTAGGAGTAATAAAATATAAATGAACTTGAAACTAGTTTTTCATCCTCTACTCAACAATATTTGAAAAACATTTTTTAAGTGTCAGGGGTGTCAAATAATGAGGAGTGTGTACTGAGGGGTTTGGTTAATTACTTCTGCCCTGGCGGATTCGAGCAGCCAACCTGGGCTCATCCTCTGGACTGGTTATCTTTGGTTGCCTGTCCACAGATCGGGGAGCGGGGCCTCAACCTCTCAGGGGGCCAGAAGCAGCGCATCAGCCTGGCCCGCGCTGTCTACTCTGACCGTGAGCTCTACCTGCTAGACGACCCCCTCTCGGCCCTGGATGCCCATGTGGGGAGGCACGTCTTTGAGGAATGCATCAAGAAGACACTCCAGGGGAAGACAGTCATCCTGGTGACTCACCAGCTGCAGGTGACCACCTCCTGGCCATGAGTGATGGATAATGTAGATTCTTAAGTCCTGATGCTTTCAGAGTAGGATCCCTAAGACCCTCACATCTGCCTCCCCTTCATCTCAGACTAGGCCCCCCAAAGCTGGAGAAGTGTTGCCAGGAACTTGGACTGCCTCTCCTTCCACTTGCAGAGATTGGCAAAGGTGGTTGGCAAAGGATCGCTAGGGCTGGTGAAAATTGAAATCAAATTTTAAGGCTTCATTTATCTTCAAAATTTTATGGATGGGCTCCTGCTTTTGGAGTTAAAAAAAAAAAAGGGAAAAATTCCCTCATAGCTGAATTCCCTAAGCTTGGCATTCTTATCAAGTGCAGTGGCCATGCCCGGGACTCCCTCTTTCCCTGGATATTTATGTTTTCAGACTTGGCCTTGGGCTCCAAACAGTACTATTGTTGCTATTTATTATTATTATTATTATTATTATTTCCTCTTCTATTTTGTTCTTCCTATTTTTTTTTTGTCTAAAACATTTAAGACCTAGAGAAGGTGTGGGAAATAATCTACTATCACCTGGATGAAACAATAAATTGAGACTCTTGCAGTTACAGTCATTCCCTGCCTCCTGCTCATCTCACTCTATTGTTCACTGTTCCAGAAATGTCTTCCTGCTTTAACAACATATGTCTGCCTCTCTACACATGATAAAGTGATATAATTTAAAGATAAATCTTTAAACTTTATATATAATTCATGTTTTACCTTCCCTGTTCTTTGATAATTGGTCTTTTCCACTAATCCTTCTGTTTTGACATATTCCATGTTGACTCACACACCTGCATTGCCTTGGCAGTGCTTTGGTATTCCTGTATCTGACTATGCTGGAGTTTATTTTGTGAGGGTGGACATTTAGTTTGTCTCCTGCTTCTCACTGCAACCAAAAACTGCTTCAGTGTACCCCTTTCTACCTGTGTCTTAATGTACACGTTTGAGAGTTTTCTTAGAAGAGTTTTAAGAGTCAATTGTTGGTTCAAGATTCCTCAGGAATCTCCAGATACTGTCAAATTGAAAGTGGGTGTGCCAACCTATGCCCCCTCCCCCAAACTGGTGACCGCTCCCTCTGTCACCAGTCACCACCAACACATGCTTGTCCAACATAGACCTTTGCCAACCTGGTGGTCAGGTAACATTTTATCTTGCTTTAAATTTACGTTTTCCTTTTCCATAATGAAGTTGAAGCTCTTTTCATGTGCTTACTGATGACCTTATTTCTTCTGACCCTCCAGTATTTAGAGTTTTGTGACCAGATCATTTTGCTAGAAGATGGGAAAATCTGTGAAAAAGGAATTCACAGTGAGTTAATACAGAAAAAGGGGCAATATGCCAAACTCATCCAGAAGATGCTCAAGAAAGCCACACAGGTGATTTCCACCTCACTGCACCCCCACTTCCTGTGGGATGGAGTACCACCTGCATCCACACCATGTGCTTTCTCCCCAGGACCGGCTGCAGGACACAGCTAAGACAGAAGAGCCACGGGCAGAGGGTCAGGCCCAGGTTCCCTCCCTGGAACAGCCTCTTGGTGAAAATGCTGGTAATGGTGCTGGGGACCAGGGGGAGGATGTCCATTTCTGCCCATCCCCTGGGGCTCCTGGCATTTCCTCCTGGACCCCAGAGTGGCCATGTCCCCCCAATCTGGGATCCTAGACGTCACGCACATAGGCAACAGATCCAAGTAGTTGGGGGCTGTGGAGTGTGGACTGTGCTGCTCAGGAGGTCAGGGGGATCCAGAAAATGAGTGTCATTGGGGCCACAGTGGAGAGCATGGAATAGTCAGGAAGAGGAGAGCTTGAGCCTGGAGCAGCGCAGACTTGAAACTTTGCCAGGTGTCCATGCAATCGTTCATTACATGTTGGTTGAGAACAAATATTTCAAAATCAGAAGTGACTCTGGCTCAGTCCCTGATGTCCAGAAGCTCATGACCTTGCTCTGTTTTGGGACAGGGTAGAACAGAAAGAGCTCCTTTGTTAAAGTCACATAAATTCTGTATTTGAGTCTGCGCTCTGCTGCTTCGAAAGCTGAGTCACCTTGGCCAAGCAACTGAACCTTTGGGCTCTCATGGCGGACATGGAGGTGATAGTGCTTATTTTGCAGGATTCTGGTAGATATTAGATGAAGTCAGGTGTAGGGAAGCCTCCAGGACATCGTAGACTCTTGTCATTAAGAGTCTTCAGCTGCAAAGATTAGAAGCTCATTTGAGCAGAAAAAATAATGAATGGGCAGGAAAGACTATAGTTCACAGAATGAAAGGGAAGGTGAAGAATCAGGCCTCAGCAGCTTAGGGTTCTAAGTAATAGGAACAAGAATACCACCTTTTTTCTTTTAATCGAGGTGTTCTTTTTTTAAAGATTTATTTATTTATTTTATTTATACAAGAGCTGGGGTACAGGTCAGAGTCATGGGAGGGCAAGAGGATTCACCAGAGACAGAGTGGGGAACAGAACAGGCAGATGGACTGAAAGCACTGCTGAGGGGAGCAGCGGGCGAGACAGGAGAGGTCTGCTGCGCCATGTGGGATTCTCCCTGGCTGGGGATCGAACCAGCGCTGCGGAGGGTGCGGACAGCTTCACAGCACTACGCTCAACCCACTGTACCACCCAGGAGGCCCCGAGGTGTTCTTTTAATTGTTTGTATTTTAGGGGTATAGGATCTCCACCTTCAGGTGTTGGTACTACAGCACATGCTCTACTAAAGTACCCATCATCCACCACCACAGTCCATTATAATGCTTCTTCCCCATTTTCTTCTCACCTTCTCCTCTCTCTCCCACTCAGTTCTAGAATCAGATTTCTAGGGTTTGTTATTGGTTTGCTTTTATCTGATCCTTTGCATTATTTCTCTATATTCCACAAATAAGTGACACCATCTGGTAATTCTCTGTCTCTTTTTGATTTATTTCACTTAGCATAACCCCTCCAGTTCACAAATGACAAGAGTATATCTTTTTTATTGCTGAGTAGTATTCCATGGTGTGTATATATCACATCTTCCTGATCTACTCATCTGTTATTTGGTACTCAGGTTATTTCCATAGCTTGGCTACTGTAAATAGTGCTGCAATAAACGTGGGAGGGCATGTATCACTTCAAATTTTGTGTTTTTGCATCCTTTGGATAGATACCTAGAAGTAAAATTGCTGGGTTATCTGATAGATTCACTTTTAATATTTTGAGAAACCTAATATTTTGAGATATTGTTTTCCAGAGTGGCTGGACCAGTCTGCATTCCCACCAACAATGTACAAGAGTTCCTTTTTGGCCACATCCTCACCAACACTTGTTGTTTCTGGTCTTTTTGATATGGGCTTTTTGAAGAAAACCTGCTCCAATTGTTTCCATGCTAGCAATTTCCCTCAAGATTCAATTTCTAGGGGACTTCCTGGTGGCACAAGGGGTTAAGTCTCAGCACTATGAAGGTATTTGCAGCCACTGCAGCATGAGTTCGATCTCCAGCCAGGGAGCTGACCCACATGGCACAGCAGACCCCTTTTGTCTTGCCCGCTACTCCCCTCAGCAGTATATTTCAGTCAGTCTACCTGTTCTGCTCCCAACTCTGTCTCTGATGAATCCTCTCACTGCCCCCTCCCCCAACTCCTGACCCACATTGCAGTTTTTGTATGCATAAATAAATAAAATAAATCTTAAAAAAAAAGATTCAATTTCTAGAAAGAGATCTTTCTTCCCTGGGAAAAAAATAGATAGAGTGTTGTTACTAGAACAAGGCAGAGTGTCTGGCAGAAACAACAGATATTCCTCACAATGCAGCTTCCCTGGTTGCTGTTTGTCATCAACAGCATCTACCAGCATCTCCAGATATTGGTCTCTCTGCCCTGCCTTGGACTGAGAGACTGCCCTGGGTTGGTGCCAGAAGTATATTGCTGCAAACTGTCTTAGCAATCATTTATAGAACTGCCAATTGTCAGGTGAGGAAACAGAGAGGTTTAAGTGATTTGCCTGAGGTCACACAGTACCTTGATAATAATTCTGGAACCCAGGTTTCCTGGCACCAGGCTATCACTTTCTTCAATTTCTCCTTCTTCCTATCAACCAAGTGAGCTGTTAGAATTATTGAATGACTAGGGATGGACCCCTTTCTGGATTCTGAAGTTCATTTCAAAGATGACTTTCAGCAGAATTTTCTAAGGAAACCTGCTGGTTGGATTCAGACTTGGGTGGGGCACAGCAGCTGGAGGGCAGAAAAGGCTGAAGCAGGGTGGATGTGGGTGGGGGGACATGGGGTGGGATGGGGTGGGCGGAGGCTTAGCAAGGTCTCCTTGGGATGCTGGAAGGAGATGCAGCTTATTGGGAGATATATAGTTTCCTTCTTCTCTTACATCATCCAGGCCTGCAAAATCAGCTCACAAAGAAGGAGCAGATGGAAGAAGGGTCCCTGACTTGGAGAATCTATTACCACTACATCCAGGCAGCCGGAGGTATGGTCTGTCAGCGGCCCCATGCCAGGTCCGGACCTCTCCCACCAGTCCTATCCCCAATGCTGGGTCAGACATCTGTGAGGTGAGGTGCAGTAGAGTGATGGTACAGAGGAGTGATGTCATACACATTTAACCATGCTCAATTATTGTAACACTACCAGTCTATGCTGGAAGTTGTTTTCTTGCTTCCTGTGTTAAGATGGTCCTGGGACTTGCTTTAGATGATATGGTTAGGCACACAGACATGTACGTTATTTTCATGAAGGAGTAAGTTTATAGTCACAGACTGGAGAAGTAGGAGGCATGGCATGACACTGGGCCACTTGGGCAAGCTCCAGAGGTGGCCAGAGGCAGAGGGTGAGACTAGAGGGCATGGCCCACAGCCCTGATTGGGTTTTTTGTGGGAAGGAGTAGATGAGGCAGGGTAGGTACGTCAAGCCAGCTTAGGATAGGGTAGTTTCAATGGTTTCTAGGGTCTCTGGGCTGTAGGGGTCTCTAGCTGTCCTGACCTGATTTAAGGCAAGGGTGATATTGACTTGATATGTGAGGATTTAAATGGTAAAGGAGACACTTGGGAGTGTAAGTTTTGAATTGACTGGTTTATATATCAAAGGTAAGCTTGCAGGGAGTCATTCTCTATTTCTAGGAATTAGGTAGCCTAGGGGAGCAGTCCTTCCAGGATCAAAGCCCCAGATGCCAGAGCTTCAAGAATACAAAACATAAGAAAATTTTGTTAGTATAGTACATTCTAATTTGGTGTTATTCAAACTGCAGGTCCTGACCCAGTAGTGAGTTGTGAAATCAGTTGAGTGGATTATAAGCAGTATTCTGAGAATTGAGGAAGAAAAGAATAGTAAATATTAACACACACCACATGGAGTCACGTTGGTGAAGTTTTGACTTCGCGTGTGGTTAAAATATGTTTCTGAAGGCAGATGGCAGAAGTTTCAGAGCTTGCTGTTTTACTACATGGTGGGCATTAAAAAATTTACACACACAGAACTACAATGTTGTGAACACAAGGCCAATTAAAAAACATTGTACTTTTGAGTTGTTTAAGGGATTTTTGAGGGTCATTTTAGCTCCATGCCAACTTTTTACTCTTCATTGATTTTGGAACCTAACCTATGTGAGGTGTGTCTATCTAGCTGGGGGAGGAAGAGGTGGGTTGCATGTAGGGGGTCACCATCCTCTCCCTTCCACCTTGGGCATCCCTGCAGGCATGACATGAAGGGGCCAGAGTAGGGAAAGAGCAAATGCTTGTGAAATCCATGAAAGAATCAAGCACTTATAGGTGGAATATAGGGGAACCAAATAAGACATCAGGGGAAAAAAATAATAACAACACAAAACACAACACAACAAAACAAAAACAAACACAACTATAAACCAGAGAATCCTGCAGGGGAGAGGGAGGGAGAGACCAGAGGGAGGGAGGGAGGAGCACAGGAGACTGAGGTGATGGTGCACGGGTGCATTGGGGAAGGAAACTCTATGGGGACTATTCTGGGGGGTGGAGGGGGGTAAGCAAACATTGTTGAAAAATGAACAATGATGTAAAAAATATATATTTTTAAAAAAGAAGCCAACAATCCATCTGTATTTGCAAAGTACCTAGTATGGGCTAGGTTCTCTGCCACCCTTTGGAGGGAAGGGGACAAAGAGCCACCTAAGAACTGACCCTGGGGTCTGCTGGAATGTGACATCTACATCTACCAGCCGGCGAGAGAGCTCTCTGGGGCCAGGCCTTGACTCTGGTGGCAGCGGTGTAAGAGGTGGCCTTGGCTGGGGTTTGGAGGAAGGATAGAATTCAGAAAAAGACACATGGGCATGGGACACAGGCCAGGTAGGTGGGTCGCGTGCTGGCCCGAAGGGCAGATGCTGAAGGAGGAAATATCCTGGATTCCCCCATCCTTGACTTCTTTCAGTCCAGATCCATCACTCACCAGCTCTGTGACTTTGGGCAAGTTATTTCCCTTCTTGGAGATTCTGCAACTGGGACTAGGAATTCCTAGCTCAGAAATGATGCTTCTGTCTAGGACAATGCCTAGCACCCAGGATATAATAGTACAAACTCCATGAAAGGTCTCTGCTGTTAATTTTAAAATTGAGTCCTCACCTCAGATTTTACACAAGGGCAAACTAATGTCTCTAGAATTTTGCATACATACCAAACACTGGGGTGGGTGCTTGACAAACGTCATCTCATGTTATCTGCAGAGCAGCCTTGCTAGGCAGGGAGACTCATACTTCATAGGTAAGGAAGTGGATTGTCACTGACATTTGACACCTGGTCCAGGGTCACTTAGCTTGTAAGTAGTGGAACCAGTATTTGAACCCAGGGCTTTCTGACTTTAAAATACAGTTCTTCCCATCCTCCAAGGCATCAAGGGAATCCCAGGGTGTGAGATCAGTTTCTCAGCAGTTGTCAGGCACCTCCCTTTCTCTCCAGGTTGCGTGGTCTCCTCCCTGGTTTTCCTCCTCATGGCAGTGGTCATCTTCCTCGTGACCTTCAACTTCCGGTGGCTGAGCTACTGGCTACAGCAGGGCTCAGGGGTGAGTGCCATGGTGGGGTGGGGGTGTTTCGGTGAGCTCATGTGGAATGGGGTGGTTTCCTTTGTCTTGGGACCCATGTGGGCCAGAGCACAGGCTAGAGCCCCCTGGAGGTGCCCAGGGCCTGCCAATGCTGAGGTAACACCTGGAGCTCTGGGGAGCACCTCTGGGGCCTGAACTGGAGCCTCTTTCCTGGCTCAGACTCCTGTGGTCACAGAACGAGCAATCCTGTGGGGACAAAACCAAGAGGTTTCTCTCCTCAAATAGCTCCCCAAGAATGCTTTATGATCCACCATAGTGACTTTCTCTTGTGGCAGTGTTTTGCCTCCTCACAAAGTTTTCTCAAAACCTGCTTCTGTACACCTTGTTGGGATTGGGGCCACACCAATGACACTCAGTCAGACATTACTTAAAGCAGGGAAAGCATTCCATTCTGTCACTGCTGGCAGCAAGGGGAGGAGCTGCTCTTCATTCCAATTCGTTCCGATTTGTCCAGAGGTGAGTTGGGCATGCTCAAGGGAGAATGGGGGCTGCATGGCGTTAGGGGGCTCATAGAGCCAGCGGGAAAGAAAGTACCAGTGGCTGGTAAGCATGAATGCACCTAGGCCGATGGGTCTGCCAGCTGTGGCTAAGGAAGGAAGAAAAGTCTAACCCCTCACAGGGAGGGGCACGAGGCCCTCTCCTTCCTCAAGATGGCGTTTCCCAGGAATATGTCCAGCCTTTGAGACTATATCTGGGACTAGGAATTCCTACTCAGGATGATGTGTCTGTCTAGGGCAAAGCCTGCCACAAAGTCCATAATAACACAAGTTATGAAAGGTTATTGCTGTTATTTTTAAAATTGAATCCTTAGGGTTTTTTTTAAACATTTATTTTTATTTATTTATGCATACAAGAGCTGGGTTGTAGGCCAGAGGTGTGGAGGGTTAGAGGCCAGAGACAGAGCAGATCTACTGAACAGATCAGGATAGAGCAGAACAGGCAGATCTACTGACATATATTGCTAAAGGGGGCAGTGGATGAGATAGGAGAGGTCTAACTCAGGCTGAACTCAGGCCGTAGCAGTGATAGCGCTGAGACTCAACCCCTGTGCCACCTCTGGTTTTGCATAAGGGTAACTGACTTCTCTAGAATTCTGCATATCTACCAAGCACTGGATTGCCTGAAATACATATTCACACTTCTGAGCCCTTTCTAGTAGTGCTCTAAGGAAAGCAGGTCAAGGGCCTAGCTTGGCTAATAGAAATAGTCAATTTTCCTTACAGGTGTGAGCTTTCTCAGGCAGCCTCAAACTCCCCCCACCCCCAGCCTCTAGAAACCCTGCCAGAGTTTGGTCAAGACACTTAGTGCAGGGCTGAGGGTGGAGCTGTGCTGTGGTGAGGGTTCTGAGCTCTCAGCCATCATGTGCCAGGTTAATTTATTACTTTGTAAACCGACTTCAGAGGTCTGTCCCTCTGTCTGTCTTTTTGTGGGAGGAAACTGTGCTTAAAGAGGATAAAGCACCAGCCCTGGGACTGGAAGTTGCCAGAACTTGATTTGGCACTCTGAATCCGAGTCATGATTTTTCAGCGCTCTATTTGATTAACTCTTGAGTCACATGTCTGGTGGGATTTGGTCAGCAAAACAGAAGCCACTTGAAGAATGCAGAGCTTTCAGAGAGTTAACCCGGGAGTCCGAGGCAATGTAAAATTGGAAGGGCTGGATAGGAGAGGGGAAGGCTCCAGCCATTCAGAGGCAGGCAGCACCCCAGGGCCCGATGCCCAGAGGACTCATGAGCCCTTGGCCAAACTCCTGCCCACAGTTGCCACGAGGTGTGATGCCTTCACTTTCAGCCTGTAGACTTCCTGAGTGGCTCTTCTTAGAAGCTGGTGTGAACTCATTTTTGCAAAGAGGCTGGGAAGGAAGTTTCCAGGCTTCCCTCTGTGTGGCAGTGGTAAAGGCAGAAGGGGCAAGGCATCATTCGATGGGTGATACTCTAGCTCAAATTTCTAACACCACAGAGTGAAGTAATTTATCAAGCTATTTTCACCCTGAGGAAAAAGAGAGGACACTAGACACAGGCTGCCGTAGGACAAAGATGCATTGAGAGAGGGTCCCTCGGCGGCCCTGGGGCTCTTTGGAACCGTGGGATGGAGGGGGTGATGGAGTGGAGGGAAGTGGTGGACATAGGATAGGCCAGGGAGACTGCAGTGGGGGCAGGCGACAGGCAGTGGGGGCTAATCCAGGCAAAAGGAAGGGCAAAGCAGAAGCCTGGAGCGTGAAGGTTTTAACATGGAATTTGACTGTGTACCAGCTACTGAGTCCTATGTGGCCTCAGGGAGAAGGATTTTTCTCCCCATTGAATTTTACCCTGGACTCATGTGGTCTGACTCCCTAAAAATGAAAAGTCACCCTTTTCCTCTATTCACAGGGAATATTTCTTTTTTTTTTTTTTTTTTCTTATGTGGCAGCTCTTTATTTTCTTTTTTTTTTTTTTTTTAATAAATTTTATTGTTATATTCCCCATACAATTGCAGCCCCCCCATTCTGACCCTAATCCCTCCCCTCCCACCCCCGCCCCCCTAAAAGTGTCTCTGGTTCATAGTTTTTTGTTGATTTTGATTTTCACTTTCTTATAGTTATTCATTTTCCTGGTCCCTTATTTAAGTTTTCTAGATTCCTGCTATGAGTGAGACCATCCGGTATTTTTCTTTTTCTTTTTGGCTTATTTTGCTGAGCATGATCCCTTCCAGCGCCATCCATGTTGCTGCAAATTGCATGTGTTTATCTTTTTTGAATGCTGAGTAATATTCCATGGTATATATGTACCACATCTTCTTGATCCAGTCATCTATTTTTGGGCATTTGGGTTGTTTCCAAAGCTTAGCTATTGTAAACAGTGCTGCTATAAACATAGGGGTGCAGGTGTTCTTTGGAATTGATGTTTCTGTGTCCTTTGGGTAAATACCTAGGAGTGGAATTGCTGGATCATATGGAAGCTCTATGTTTAGTAGGTCCAGAAATCTCCACACAGCTCTCCATAGTGGTTGGACCAGTTTGCACTCCCACCAACAGTGCACAAGAGTTCCTTTTTCTCCACATCCTCGCCAACATTTGTTGTTGCTAGTTTTTTTAATATGTGCCATTCTCACTGGTGTAAGATGGTATCTCATGGTAGTTTTGATTTGCATTTCCCTGATGACAAGTGATGTTGAACATTTTTTCATATGCCTGTTGGCCATTTGCATTTCCTCTTCAGAGAAGTTTCTTTTAAGCTCTTCTGCCCATTTTTTGACTGGATTATTTTCTTTGTTGTTGTTGAGTCTCATCAGCTCTTTGCAGATTTTTGTGATCAGTCCTTTATCATTAGTGTTGGGTGCAAAAATGTTCTCCCAGTTGGTGGGGTTTCTCTTTGTTTTTGTTATTGTCTCTTTTGCTGTGCAAAAGCTCTTTAATTTGATGTAGTCCCAGCTGTTTATCTTTGCCTTCACTATCACTGCTTTGGGTGATGTGTCTGTAAAGATGTCTTTGATGTGCAAATCCCGTAGTGTTTCGCCTATATTTCCTTCTATATATTTTATGGTTTCAGGTCTTATGTCTAGTTCTTTAATCCATTTTGAGTTGATTTTTGTGTATGGTGTGAGGTGGTGGTCAAGCTTCATTCTTTTGCATGTAGCGACCCAGTTTTCCCAGCACCATTTATTGAACAAACTTTCTTTGCTCCAATGCATATTCTTTGCTCCTTTGTCAAAGATTAGTTGACCATAAATCTGTGGGTTTATTTCTGGATTTTCTATTTGATTCCATTGGTCTGTATGTCTGTTCTTGTTCCAATACCATGCAGTTTTGATGATTATGGCTTTGTAGTATAGTTTGAAGTCTGGGAGTCTGATGCCTCCATTCCCTTCTTTTTTTTTCAGGAGAGCTTTGGCTATTCGGGGTTTTTGGTGATTCCATATGAATTTCATCAATAATTGTTCTATTTCTTTGAAGAATGACATTGAAATTTTGATTGGAATAGCATTGAATCTGTATATTGCTTTTGGTAGGATGGCCATTTTAATAATGTTTATTCTTCCAATCCATGAGCAGGGGACGTCTCTCCATTTCTTTGTGTCTTCTTCTATTTCTTTTAACAGTGTTTCATAGTTTTCTTTGTATAGGTCCTTTACCTCTTTTGTTAGATTTATTCCCAAATATTTGATTTTTTTTGTTTCAATAACAAAAGGGATGGTCTTTTTGATTTCTTCTTCTTCAGATTTATTGTTTGTGTATAGGAAGGCTACTGACTTTTGCGTGTTGATTTTGTATCCTGCCACTTTACTGAACTGATTGATGAGTTGAATTAGCTTTTCTGTGGAGTTTTTGGGGTTCTCTATGTATAATATCATATCGTCTGCAAATAGTGATAGTTTGACTTCTTCTTTTCCTATTTGGATTCCTTGGATGTCTTTCTCTTGTCTTATTGCCCTGGCTAGGACTTCCAGTATTATATTGAAAAGCAATGGTGAGAGTGGACATCCTTGTCTTGTTCCAGATCTTAATGGAATTGCTTTCAGCTTTTCACCATTGAGAATGATACTGGCTGTTGGCTTGTCATAGATGGCCTTTATGATGTTGAGGTATGTTCCTTGTATCCCCAGAATTTCAAGGGCTTTTTATCATGAATGGGTGTTGCACTTTGTCGAAAGCTTTCTCAGCATCTATTGATATTATCATATGGTTTTTATATTTCTTTTTGTTGATGTGTTGGATAACGTTGATTGATTTTCGGATGTTAAACCATCCTTGTGCCCCTGGAATGAATCCAACTTGGTCGTGGTGAATTATCTTATGGATACATTGTTGGATTCTGATAGCTAAAATTTTATTGAGGATTTTTGCATCCGTGTTCATTAGGGAGATTGGCCTGTAGTTTTCCTTTTTTGTGTTGTCCTTGTTCGGTTTTGGTATTAGTGTAATGTTGGCTTCATAAAACGTGTTTGGTATTGTCCCTTCCTTCTCAATTTTTTGGAAGAGTTTGTGAAGGATAGGCACTAATTCGTCTCTGAATGTTTGGTAGAATTCATTTGTAAATCCATCAGGTCCTGGGCTTTTGTTTTTGGGGAGGTTTTTTATTACCATTTCAATTTCGCTAATTGTAATTGGTCTGTTTAGGTGTTCTATTTCTTCTTTATCTAGCTTTGGGTGATTGTAGAGTTGTAGGAATTTGTCCATCTCCTCTAGATTGTTAAACTTGTTTCCATATAACTGTTCATAGTAGTTACTGATTATTCTTTTGATTTCTGCTGTGTCCGTTGTGATTTCTCCTCTTTCATTGATGATCCTGTTTATTTGTGCTTTCTCCCTTTTTTCCTTTGTGAGCCTGGCTAGGGGTTTGTCTATTTTATTGATTTTTTCGAAGATCCAGCTCTTGGTTTCATTGATCTTTTGGATTGTTTTTTTAGTTTCGATTTCATTTATTTCTGCTTTGGTTTTTATTATTTCTTTTCTTCTACTGGTTTTGGGTTTTTTTGTTGTTCTTTTTCTAGATCTTTGAGCTTCGAGATGAGGTTGTTTCTTTGCGTTCTTTCTTGTTTCTTGATGTGAGCTTCTATTGCTATATATTTTCCTCTTATTACTGCTTTTGCTGCATCCCATACATTTAGGATATTAGTGTCCTCCTTGTCGTTCAATTCAAAAAATTTTTTAATTTCTTCTTTGATCTCCTCATTAGTCCAATGGTCTTCCAGTAGTGTGGTTTTTAATCTCCATGAGGTAGGAAAGTTCCTTGCCTTCTTTTTATGGTTTATTTCTAGTTTGATGCCTTCATGGTCAGAAAAGATGGTTGATATGATTTCAATCTTGGTGTATCTGTTGATGTTTGTCTTGTGCCCCAGTATGTGATCGATCCTGGAGAATGATCCGTGTGCGCTTGAGAAAAATGTGTACTCCGTTTTTTTGGGGTTTAGTGTTCTATAGATGTCTGTTAAGCCTAATTGCTCTAGGTCCTTATTTAGAGCTTTGGTTTCTTTACTTATTTTTTGTCTTGTTGATCTATCCATTGTTGATAGTGGTGTGTTGAAGTCTCCCACTACGTATGTGTTTTCTCTGATGTCTGTTTTCAGAGAGGACAACAGTTGTCTGATATATTTTGGTGCTCCTTCGTTTGGTGAGTATATGTTAATGAGTGTTATTTCTTCTTGAAGTATTGTCCCCTTGATCATAATGTAGTGACCATTGGGGTCTCTTTTTATCTTTTTGAGTTTGAAATCTGTTTTATCTGATATAAGTATAGCTGTTCCTGCTTTCTTTTTTGGTCCATTTGCTTGTAGGATTGTTTTCCATCCTTTAACTTTGAGCCTATTTTTATCTTTTGTAGCTAAATGTGTTTCCTGGAGACAGCAAAAGGTTGGGTTTTGTTTCTTAATCCAGGCTGCCACTCTGTGTCTTTTTATTGAAGAGTTTAGTCCATTTACATTTAGAGTTAATATTGATATGTTAACATCTGTATTTGCCATTGTGTTTGTCTTTCCTTTGATTTTATTTATTTATTCTTTTAATAACTTTTTTTTTTTTTTTGGCCTTCTTTCATTGTTATTCGTCCCTCTGAGGTTCTGGCTTTAGGACTCCTTGTAGTATTTTTTGGAGTGGGGGTTTAGTTGCAATGAAATTCCGGAGTTTCTGTTTGTCTGGGAAGGTCCATATTCTTTCTTCAAAGAGGAAGGAGAGCTTTGCGGGATAGAGTATTCTTGGTTGGCATCTGTTTTCTTGGAGTCTGTTGACTATGTCCCTCCACTCTCTTCTTGCCCGTAGTGTTTCTTCGGAGAAGTCTGATGTCAGCCTGATTGGTTTTCCTTTGAATGTTATCTGTTTCTTCCCTCTTGCCAGCTTCATTATTTTTTCCTTGTCCTGGATTCTTGGGAGCTTTACTATTATGTGTCTTGCTATATTTTTCCTTTCGTCGTGGAAGTTTGGTGTTCTTCTTGCTTCTTGTATATCAATTTTCAGCTCCTTCTTCACATTTGGGAAGTTCTCTTCAATTATCTCTTTGAATATTTTCTCTGTTCCTACATCTCTCTCCTCTCCTTCTGGTATTCCTATAACTCTTATATTTCCTTTCCTCATGGAGTCAGATAGTTCCCGAAGTCTTTCTTCGTTCTTTTTCCTTCGTACTTCTCTTTCCTTTTCTGTTTTGGTTCTTTTTATTTCTGTGTCTTCAAGATTACTTATTCGTTCTTCCATTTCATCTATTCTGCTTTCATTGCTTTTCCCAGAATTCTTTAGTTCTTCCATTAATTCTTTGATCTCCTGCATTTCTTTTACTTCCCTCTTTAGGGACTCAATTTCTTTCTTCTGACCATTGTTTTCCCTCTCTAGGGACTCAATTGCATTCTTCTGATTGTTGATTATTTTTCCCTTATCATTGTTTTCCTTTATGACTTCTGTCAGTTTTTTAATCACGGCAATTTTAAATTCTCTTTCTGGAAGGCTCAGAAATTCTTCCAAGTTATTGTCTTTGCAATCTGGGGGCTGGCTTTCTTTTTGTGGTGTGCTTTTTCTCTGGAGAGTTGCTAGGTTGCGTGTGGTTCTTCTCCTCCCTACTGTCTGTTTTCTAATTTGCCGTATGCGTTGGGACACTGTGTTGTTGGGACTGGCCGGCATCTTGGGTGGGCTTCTCTGTTCCCCTCTGGTTCTTCCAGGAGTCATCTGTCAGTTTCAAGCAGCCTTTAATGGAGAATGGTCCCTGTTCTAAAATGCCGATGTGGGGACACACTCCCCTGTGCGCCTGGTCTGCCCCGGCGGTGGGTTCCTGCTCCCCTCTGGGCTTGGACTGCAGGCCAGAGGGGGTCTGGCGTGGGCGAACTTCCCCCGCTCACCTCTGGCTCCTGAGGAAGCCTTCTGCAGGTAGTCTTTACTGAAGAAATGTCCCTGTTCTAAAATGGTGATGTGGGACACACTCCCTGCGCGTCTGGTCTCAGGCACACTCTTCTGCGCGCCTGGTCTGCCCCGGCTGTGGGTGCTCGCTCCACAGGGAATATTTCTGACACCCAATGTGCAGGGCCTTTCCCGCCCACCCCTCCCCCAACCCCCACCCAATGAACAATTCGCCTTTTCTCTAGACAAACAGACCCCACAGGTTAAGGGCTCAGTCCTGCAAGACTGCCCCCCTTCAGATCCTGGCCACAAGTCTGGACTTACCCTTCTGATCAACCAGTAATAAATCAGGAGTTCCCATGATCCCCTTCTTGGGCTTGATAATTTGCTTGAATGGGTCATGGAACTCAGGGAGACATTTTTACTCATTTCTTATCAGGGATGTGATAAAGGGTACAGAAGAACAGTCAGACGAGGGGGTACAGAGAGTGAGGTCTGAAGGTCCCAAGTGCAGGAGCTTCTCTCTTAATGGAGTTGGGGGCACCACCCTCCTGGTGGTGGGTATGCTCACCAAACTGCAAGCTCTCCAAACCCTGTGCTTTAGGGATTTTATGGTGGCTTCATTACATGGGCATGAGCCATCATGAGCTCAGTCTCTGCTCTTCCACCTCCAAAGGGGCAGGGGCTGAATGCTCCAAGCTTCCACTCAAGGCTCGTTCTCTCTGGTGACCAGCCCTCACGCTGAAGCTAGCCCCTCAAATATACTTTAATAGTTCCAGGGTCTTAGAACCTCTTCTGTCAGAAACCAGAGTCAAAGGCAAACTACTAGAACAAAAGAAACCCTGGCACCTCTACCACTAAGGAGATGTTTTAGGAACTCTGTGCCAAGTATGAGAGACAAAGGCCACATATCTTTCTGACCCTATCACACCTTCTGTTCTTTCTTGAAGACCACCAGCAGCGTAGAGAGCAACAGGACCACTGCAGAACTGGGAGACATCCTGGACAATCCTCAGCTGCCCTTTTACCAGCTGGTGTATGGTCTCATGACCCTGACCCTGATCTGCGTGGGTATCTGTTTCTCTTTGGCTTTCAGCAAGATCACAAGGAAGGCCTCCACAGCACTGCACAACAAGCTCTTCAAGAAGGTACGGGCCTGGGCACTGGGCGGGCTATAGGCGAAACCCTACCCCCCCCCCCCGCTTTAAAATTGCTAGACACTGTGTTTGAACAGTTTTTGGTTTACAGAAATACTGAGCAGAAATACAGAGAATGCTCATATAATCCATAACACCCCTGGGTTCTCCTGTTATTAATATCTTGCATGATATTGCATGGGACATTTGCTATAATCTATGAGCCAATATTGTTCCATCATTATTATTATGAACTAAAGTCTGTAGTTTACATTAAGGTTTACTCTTTATCTGCATTTGGGTTTTGACAAATGTATGCTGACAGATGCACCCTTTTTGTATCATTCAGGACAGTTTCACTGCCCTAAACATTCCCTGGGCTCCATCTAGTCGTCCTTCCTGTCCCCCAGGTCCCTGGCAATCATGGATCTTTTTAACTAGTCCATAGTTTTGCCTTTTCCAGAATGTCATGTTGCAAGTGTACGCTGGGTCAGTGGGTGGGTGGGAGCTGAACATTGATGTTCTGCTGCTGCAATTATGATTCTAAAAGTTTGGTGTCCCTTCCTGGATGGGAGTGGTCACCCCAATGCTTGTCTTTCCAAGGCAGGTACAGTCCTGAGCACTTCAGTGTGTCCTTCCTTCCTTCCTGCCTTCCTTCCTACCCCCTTCCTTATTTTTTTAAAGATTTATTTTTTATTTATGCGTAAAGAACTGGGGTGCAGGCCAGAGGTGCAGGGTCAGGGCTGAGAGTATTCACCAGAGACAGAGTGGGGAGCAGAACAGACAGATTGACAGAAATACACTGCTGAGGGGAGCAGAGGGCAAAGCAGGAGAGGTCTGCCTCACCATACGCGTAGCTCCATAGCTGGGGATCGAACTCATGCTGCAGTGGCTGAGAATAGCTTGATAGCACTGACTTTAACCCCTGGCCACCAGGGAGGCCTGTCATTATTTATTTTAAAATAGCAGCTTTATTGAGCCATAGTTCACATACCATAAGATTATCCCCTTTTTACAAATGAGGACTTTTTTTTTTTTTTTTACAAATAAGACTCAGAGGGGTTAAGTAACTTGTCCAAGGTCACAGAGTAGCCGATGAAAGAGTCAGGCAGCACTGGAGTCCAGGCAGATCAACTTTGGGCCATTGCTTAACCTTCCCTGGACACTCCTTAGGCTGCATCCTGCACCCCTTCAGAGCCTCAGGGTAACTGGAATCCTCATCAAGTCCTGAATGAGAACTGCGCGTGATCTGGATTGCCTTTGTCCCTGCAGGTTTTCCGCTGCCCCATGAGTTTCTTTGACACGACTCCAACAGGCCGACTCCTGAACTGCTTTGCGGGGAACCTGGATGAGTTGGACCAATTCTTGCCCATCTTTGGGGAAGAGTTCCTCATCCTCTCCTTGTCAGTGATTGCCACTGTGGTGATCATCAGCATACTGTCTCCATATATCCTGTTGATGGCCATCATAATCATCGTTATTTGCCTCATTTTCTTTAAGTGAGTGGGGTCTTTTTGCTTGAGACTAGGGTTTGTGTTTTGGGGTGCAATTCTAGCTTGGAAGAGACCAACTCAAATTGCATGGCCCCAGAGGTAGACAGCTGAGGTCACTCACTCTCATTCTCACCCAGGGTGTTCAGGAAGGCCATCAACATATTCAAGAGATTGGAAAACCAGAGTCGCTCTCCCATCTGTTCGCACGTGCTCACCTGTCTGCAAGGCCTGAGCTCCATCCATGTCTATGGAAAAACCGAAGAATTTATCAGCCAGTGAGTTCCGCCGCTGCATCTGCAGATGATGGGGATTGTGGGAGTGATGGGGACCAGGTAGGTAGGAAACACCACATCTGGGGATAGAGTCATCTTCAGCTGGATCAGCGAGGACCTTGTCCTAGTCCACAGGTTTCTCTGGACCACCACAACTTCATCGGTAAGATGGTGCTTTTATAATAATAAAAAGTGTAGGGGATGTGGAGAATGTTTGTAAAATGTAAAAACCCACGCATATGACAGAGGTATGTCAATATAATTCATAGAGGAATTATTTTATCAGCACTTCTTGCATTTTTCTTTTCACTTCTAAACAGGTATCTGATTTTAATAAACTAAAATAAAGAACAATTGCTTCCTTCACTTTGAGCACTCATAGATTTGCCTTCTTAATGTCTGTGGGAGCAAATGCAAATTCCCAGGATTGTTGTGAGGTTTAATTGTGCTGTTTGAATGTATTTAATCTACTTATAAAGATCAGCCAAACATAGTCTTTACAGAATAGCGAGTGTGGTGGAAGACAGCACAGAGACACACACTTTTGTAATAATTCAGGGCTGGCTATGAAAGAGGGCATAGGAGGGGGCAGATATGATGCCATGGGCATCCAGAGGGAAGAGATGAGCCACCACAGGGGGCATCAGGGAAGGCTTCTGCAGCATGGAGCCTCTCAGCCAGCTTCGGAGCTGGGTAAGATTGGGGTATAGCACATGGTGTGTGCTTTTTTGTGTGACTTTTTATTTTTTGCATAGAAAAACTGGGGTGTAGGCCAGAGGTGCAGGTGGTAAGGGGATTCACCAGAGACAGAGTGGGCAGCAGAACAGGCGGGTTTACTGAAATACACTGCTGAGGGGAGCAGCAGGCGAGACAGGAGAGGTGGGTCACCTCCCTGGTCGGGATGGAACTCAGGGTGTAGTGATGATTGCGCTGAGACTTAACCCTTAGGCCACCAGGCAGGCCCCCAGTGTGAGGTCTTTTGACTAAAAGACCTGGATGACTATGGCACCAGCTCTCCCCATGGCACTGGAGTGCACCCATGGGCATGCAGACCCTAGAACGAGGGGTCCTGGAGCAGTGCATCCATCCAGTAGCTCTGAGAAATGCAGGTGCTTAAGACTGACTGGAGATAGAGCCACGAACAAGACCTAGAAAGGGATGGCGTCTCTTCATTCCCTCTTAAAGCCTGGTTTTTATGCACTCTCACTGGCTCAATCAGGATCGCTTAGCCCTCCCAGAACCAGCTATCAAGACCAGGAGAAGAGCATGTGTAGATAGACAAACCAGTATAATTCCCCAAAGAGAAGTCAGGTTGCCTTGATGGGAGTGGGGGCTGGCCACCGGAGGGAGCAGCCAGGGTCCACCCTGAGGAAAAGCTGGGTTAAATAAATATGTGTGTTTTGGGTGTTCTCCCTTTCTCAGGTTTAAAAGGCTCACTGACACACAGAACAGCTACCTGCTGTTGTTTCTGTCTTCCGCGCGATGGCTGGCATTGAGGATAGAACTCATGACCAACCTGGTAACCTTGGCTGTGGCCTTGTTCGTGTCTTTTGGCATTTCCTCTGGTCCCTATTCCTATAAAGCCATGGCGATCAGCCTCGTCTTGCAGGTGAGGGAGGACACTCAGGTTGGGGTGGGGGTGCCATGCCTGTCCTTGGCCTGCAACTCATGGGCAGATTCCGGGGTGGGGGGTTCCTTGGGACTTTGATCACACTGTGTATTTGACTCTGATCTTAGGAGCTGTTTGCTTGGCCTCTGGATCCTGCTGCTTTGCTGTTTCCTTGTTACCTCTGAACTAGGAAGTCTCTATCTAAAGGTGTTTGATGGAATCTTAGAACTTTGGGATTGCAGGGGAGCCCACAGGCAACAGAGTCCAACTCTCTGATTGTGCGGATGGGGAAACTGAGGCCCAGAGTAGGGAAGGCAGGGTCTGGATGGACAGCATTAGAAGCAGAACCACTAGAAGGTTGATCTCTTGGTTTCCTGGCCAGCGTCTTTTCACTTTGCTGTTTACTCATACCTGATTCAGAGTCAGATCTCCCTGAGTCACCTTGGGTGGCTGCTAAGAGGCCCCAGGCGCTCTCCTGGAGCAGAGCTTCTCGGACAGTGCATGAGACTTGGCACAGAGTAGTTGGCTCCAGCTGGCAGGTTTTGACTCTCGGGTTTGGCTTGGGTCTTGGCTCTCGGGTGCAGGAGGGCTATACTTGAGAGCTCTGCCCAAGGGATTCCGAGCAGGTCCAGGTTGGGCAGGGTCTTGGAATCTATTTCTCCAGGGGGTTCTGATGCAACAGCATGCGTACATGTGCCTGCATCTCTTGTGCCCAGTGCACTGGGACATGGCGAGGGACCCTGGCTAAAGTTCATGGCCACCAAGTCATGCAGCAGGGCTGTCCATGAAGGGCTGCGGAGCAGAGGCCAGCTTGGCAGTTGTGTCAGGTAACCCTGGCTGCCTCATGCCAGGCCTTGCCCTCCTCCTGGGGTCTTCAGTGCCTGTCCTTTCTGTGGTTGTGTGGATCTCTCTATCTCTCACTGGCTGGAGATCTCTTATGTCCTACTGCTCAGGCATTCTTCTGAGCCTGCAGAGCCGCTCTATATTGCTCCTTGTTGAATCCTTGCAGCAGGCACATATTTGCCCTCCACAAGCATCTGTGCCTGTGTGTGCAGAACCCCCATGCAGATGGCTGTGCTGTGCTCACACTCATGGCCAGCTGACCAGTACACCAGCCTGGGGATTTACTTGAAGATCACCCTGAGCGGTGCTAGCTCAGTGGTAGCTGTGTGCTCTTCCTTTGAGTTCTCACCACACTCCACAAGACACAGCTAAGTGGTTGAGAATGTGTGGTTTGGAACATCCAGGCTCCAGACGGGCTCTGCCTGTTCTTAGCTATGTGACCAGGAAGTGTGTTACCCCACCCTTCTCCAAACAATCCTCCTTGGGATCCTCCTCTGCAAAGAGAAGATAATGGAAGTTCCCAAATCATGCACTTGTGAGCAATGTGTGTAAACGTGAAGGTTAATGCGTGTTAAGTACCCAGAATAGTGCTTGGCCCAGAATAAATGCTTGATAAATGTTAGCTATTACTGCTCCTGGCGTACAGATACGGAGCTAGAGCTTCAGGGATTTAAGTAACCAGAGTAGGTTCCTGCAGCTGGTGAGAGACAACTTTGCTCCCAGTGGGACACATTCATTTGTCTTCCCTCCCTGCCCTTACTTTTCACCCTCCTTCCCCACTCTGCCTGTCCCTCCCTGCTGCACCCCCACAAGCCTATAATGCACTGATGCAGAGTTGCTTTTGAGTCCTTCCTTCCAGAACTCTGGGGCAGTGCCGAATTGCTGTCATAGGGCCCTTGGTGCCAGAAGTCCTCCTGGCCGATGCACAACCTGGACCGGGAAAGCAAAGCTCAGAGACAGTTGTCCTGTGTTGGCACAGATGAGGCAGGTAGTGGTGAGGGGCACACAGGCACCTGCTCAATGATCTCCCCAGCTTGTCCTGTCATAGGAGGCTAGTGGGGAGCTCTGCCTGGAGGCCTGACTTTGCTTAGAAATGGCCCTGGGTTCTCTCTTACTTCTCAGTGTCTGTTACCTGTTTGGGTATCGCATCTCTGTCTTGGGTAACAACCTCCCAGCCCACCTGCTCCCTCCCCATCAGTCCGTTTTGGTTACAGTTTTCCTGTCACAGCTCTGCTTAGAACCTTCAGCGAATCCTTGCCTTTCAGGCTTCCCAAATCTCAGCCCATGACCCCAAATGTTCTTTCTCCTTGGCCCAAACCTGTACCTTGTAGATGTCTGCATGCATGCTCAAGGAAACTTTGGTCAAGCTTTGGGAGGCAGGAATCCTCATGTGGCTTTGTGGGCCCAAGAGGCATCTCAGTGAATGCTAAAGATGCTTCTGACTATGAGCTAAAGCAAGCCATAAAACCAACTCGAAATGGTCAGGACAGGCTGGGAACATATTATCTGGTATAATCAGAGGTTGGGTTATGGCTGTTTCTGTTGGTGAATTTAGTGACCTAGCGTGAACCCATGATTGGGTCATCTTTTGCTTTGGCAACCGCAGCCTGGCTTTTCTCCTTGGTCACAAGAACAGGTCTACCCAAGGCCACAAAATGGCTGTTGCAGCCCCACGCAACACATTCTCACTCACCAAAGGCTAGAGAAGAGTTAACTTCTTCCAAGTTTCCCTTTTAAGAATAAGGAACGGTTGCTTGCTCTCACTCTTCCTCATGCTTCCTTGGCCAGAATTGTGTCATGGTGCATACCTAAGCCAATCATTGGCACGATGGGTGTAATTAACACAATTCCTTTGACTTAAGCAAGCCTCCCTAGAGCCCAGGCTGTCAGAGACCTGAAGATAACAGAGGGTGTGCCAGCGAGGGAGAAAGAGGACCAACTGTTAGTGAGTCAGCCAGCCATATCTGACATGGAAGAAAGGCTTCTCCTGACCCCCCCCCCCCCCCGTCTCCTTTCCCAATGTAAGCCACTTTGGGATGCACACACCTTCCCTGACTGACCCTGGGATTTTCCTGCCCTTCGCCTACCCTTTGCTTCAGCCACAGTCAAATGGCATGGAGAGCCCGGGACGTAACTGCTGTTCTACTTCTGAGACCTCGTCTCCTCAGTGGGGAGCAACTTTCTTGGTGACCTATAGGCTGTTAAGCCCCATATCTCCTTAAAATGTGACTCCAGTGCCACCTCCTTCAGGAATCCTTTCCTGGCCCTCATCTGGTGACTGTCTTGGAGCCCCAGTGGCCTCTGTGCTCACTTCCATTGTGGGGCGCAACCTGTGTGCTGCTGTTCTCTGTTGGCCTGTCTCCCCAAGGACTGGGCGCTCCTTGAGGGCAGGACGAGTGTGTGTTGGGATACAGAGCCAGGCCTGGCACCTGGCAGAGCGCTCCCTGCCAGAGCCTGCTGAGTGAATGTCTAATAACTCGCTGCCCAGGACTCTCTGCATGTCTGCTTTGCTCACATCTTGGGTCAAGGTGATGCAGAGCATAAGGCTGGGCTCCCGGTTTCCAGGGGCTTCTGTGTGTGTCATCTCCTCTCTTTGGGTCTCAGTTCCCTGAGCTGTGGTGCCTCCTGAAAGTCCCTGAGGCTCTTCTTAGCCTGTGTTTCCCTGAAGGCAGAGTCTGAGACAGGGGCTTAGATATGGGCAGATTATTTGGGAGAAGCTCCCGGTAAACAGGTCTGAGGGGGATGGAAAGTGAGACAGGGAAAGAGGAACCCCATCACAGAGCGTTGCCGGGGTCTTGGTCACCATGGCTCAACTCTACTGAGCCCCCCCGAGATGCATACGGGATGCTCAGGTTGTCCCCTGAAGGTTGGGAGTGGGTGCCTTCATCTACCAACTCCTGTATCCATTAGTTGGGGTCGCTCCCAAGCGCTGCAGCTCCTTGCGTTCTGGGCTGCATGGTACATGGGCTGTATGGGCTCCTGTGGTGTGGATAAGAGTTTGGGCAGCAGACAGACATACAGAGGTTACTTGAGGCAGAACATGTTGGAGAGAATCTCGTTCTGAGCAGCCTCGGCAGCTGCAGCTAAACTCAGAAGGGCTGGGGCACCAGAGGCCTCCACTCCGTTCTTGCAGGAGACTTCTTGGCTTGAGGAGTCACACAGGGGAGCAGCCACTAGTGGTTTCAGGACCATTGAGCCTCAGCTCACCCTCAGTAGCCTCTTGACTACCTGACACTTCTTCATTTCAGCTGGCAGCCAACTTCCAGGCGACTTCCAGGATAGGTACAGAGACAGAGGCGCACTTCACTGCCGTGGAGAAGATACTGCAGTACATGAAGGTGGGTTTGATGTTCTGGAAGTCTCCAAATCCAACCCCGGGGCTCAGCCTCCACGGCCTCTGCAAGTCCAGCACCCTGGGGCTTGGAGATGTTCCCAGGAGCCCCTGGCTCCTCCACCCTACCTTCCTGGACCATCTCAGAAACTCTTTCATTGGCTCATTTTGACCACATCCTTCACCGTGTTCCTGAATATTGACCTTTTTAGAAATAAGGGATTTGTCCAAGTATAAAAATAACTATAATGAGTATATTAGCATTGCTCCTGTTTTTGTCATGATAGTAAAAAGCACCGATTTTGGAGCCAGATCATCTGGGTTCAAATTAAACTCTGTCACTTGAAGCAACTGTGAAAACTTAGCAACTTATTTCACCTCTTTCCCATCTCTGTAAAGGGAAAGATCATTAAATGATGTAATATGTAAAGCACTTAGCACAGTGCCTGACTCCTAGAAATACTTGATAATGTTAACTGTTATTAGGATCGAGACCTTTCTATGGGGCAGGCACTATGCTACTCCTTTGATATAAATTATATCATGGAATCACAAAGCAATTTTATAAGTTGATTGAATTGTTATCCCCATTATTCAGAAGAGGGAAGTGAGCTTGGCCAGGCTGAGTATCTTGCTCAAGATCACACAACTCTCTCAAGTCAGGTCCACTGCCCGTTATGTGAGCGGAATCTGTGAATCACGGGGCTTGGATTTAACCCTGAGAGATCATCTCGGGACAGCACACTGGCCGTGGAGAGAGTAACTCTAGGTAGCCACGTGACCCTCCTTCTCCTCTGCATCTTTCCTCCCAACACACCCAGCTGTGCTGACACGGAGTAAAGGCTTTGATTTGAGTCCGAGCTCATGCATACATCAGCTCTGTGATTGTAAGCAGGTCATTCCACCTGCTTGGAGCCTCTATTTCCTTGCCTGTGAAATGCATCTAAAAACACCTACCTTATAGGGCAAGTTAGAGAGCTCTAAACAAGCCCTTCAGGGGAGAGTTAGCTCTATTGTCCTTATTGTCATTATTTCAGATTCCATTTCTCTAGAGCCTCACACAATACATTAGAAAAAATCCTCTATGGTAATAACAAGGGGGAGGAGCTATATCGTCTCCTCACTCATCTGGGATAAAGTTATGTGCATCTCAGGTGAGTGAGGGCTGGGGGGATATCCCTCTCAGCGTGTTCCTCTGATCTCAGCTGGAGACAGCACCACGGTGAGGGGCAGGTTGTGGGGTCACATATCCAACAGTTGGTAACCGGTGGGTCAGCAGGGGATGGACAGAGATTGAAGATAACTATTGATTTCTTCTTCATTCTTTAAAATAAAGATATGTGTCCCTGAGGCTCCTTTACACGTGGAAGGCACAAGCTGTCCAAGTGGGTGGCCACAGCATGGGGAAATCACCTTCCAGAATTATCAGATGAAATACAGAGACAACACACCCATTGTTCTCAAAGGCATCAGCCTGACAATCCGGGGACAAGAAATGGTGGGCATCGTGGGAAGAACCGGCTCTGGTGAGTGGAGTGCCCCTGGGCATCCCTGTCTTCAACTTTGGCTTTGGGTGTTAGACCTGTTTTGGGGCATGTGTTCACTCAGTGACCCCACAAACATTTTTTTTCACCAATTTTTTTTAAAGATTTATTTTATTTATACAAGAACGGGGGTACAGGCCAGATGCACAGGAGGGTGAGAGGATTCATCAGAGAGAGTGGGGAGCAGAACAGGCAGACTGATGAAATACACAGCTGAGGGGAGCAGCGGGAGAGACAGGAGAGGTCTGCTGCGCCATGTGGGACCCTTGCAGGCCGGCTGGGATCGAACTGGTGCTGCGGAGGCTGCAGACAGATTCACAGTGCTGCTCTCAACTTCCTGCGCCACCAGGGGAGGCCTTCACCAATATTTTTTATTGATGCCATGATTAGCAAAAAAAAGCAGAGGTTCTGCTTCCAGATTACCTCTTCCCATAGTTTTCAAACTCACAGTTGTAGATCTAATACTATCTAAGATCTAATAGACTGAGGCTATTTAATAGAGCTAAGACTATGTCAAGGATGGAAGCAAGTTCAAGCTAGAGGAGGTTGAAAACTCAATTGACTTTGGGGCTTGACAAGTATCACAGATGAGAGAGAGGGCCCTGGAGTTGATGCCTGGGAGGCGGGGAGGGCGGTGTGGAAACTGGAGAGCAGTTCTCGCTCAAGGAAGCAGCGACCCTCAGCCGGGTTTCTTGCTACCTGGGGGGAACAGGACCAATGTTGCCCTTCCATGAGTTTCAAGAAAATCCTGCAATTTGAATTTTTACATCGACTCTGCATTTTTTCAAAACCCTGGCAAAGAATTGGAAAAATAGCAGGAATACTGTGTTTTGTGAAATGAAACAAACATGTGGCTTGGGTTACCCGCAGCCTCTGTCAGGTTCTCTGGCCTAGGCTATAAGAAAACTGCTCAAGACTCTGGGAGCCACTTGGAGCAGACTGCAGCCTCCTTCTGCCCTGGGAGGGGGGGCGCTCACCACGACAGGAGGGCTCACCATGACAGGGGCTCACCATGACAAGGAATGGGCGAGTTGGGGAGGGGGCAGGCAAACACCAGGTGTGAGCCGTGTTGCCCTTGAGCAGACTCGGGGACTGAGTCCTCCTTGTTTCTTGCCCTACAGGAAAGTCCTCCTTGGGGGTGGCCCTCTTCCGCCTGGTGGAGCCCATGGCAGGTCGGATTCTCATCGATGGTGTGGACATCTGCACCATTGGCCTGGAGGACCTGCGGTCCAAGCTCTCGGTTATCCCTCAGGACCCCATCCTGCTCTCAGGAACCATCAGGCAAGTGTTACGCCAGAGGCCAGACTGGGGTGGGGTGGGCCCAGGAGAAGTCGAGAAACCAGGATGCTGGGTCTGGGCTGTCTCTGCTTAGCTGGTGGCCATTGCCCCAATTTCTAGGCCTCTACCCTCTCCTTGGTCTCTTAGGGCTACCTACCCACCTCACTCAGGTGTCGCTGAGGACTGAGTGAGACTCTCAATGATGCAAGAGCACGTTGCAGACTATCATGTCCTCAGAAGCATAGCCTAATTTTATTTTTTACAACCTGCTGGGATCGGTTGGATGTCAACTCATCATTACACATCAGCTCTGCGGCTGGCATGTTCTTTTGCGTCTGCATGTGACTTATTCCTTTCTTCCACCGCCGGGTAAAGCCATGGACTTTGTAAGCTGGCCCAAGGAAGCCCTTCTTCAGCAGGCTCACATTAGTGACAAATGGTCCAGGGAGGCCAGTCAATAGAGCTGCCAGAACTGGGCCTTTCCGCCTTCTTGTCACACTGTCCATTTTCTCAGCAGTCAACTTGGGGACCTGGCTTCATCCACAGTGGTGCTTCTGCTACTCAGTGCTGTGTGGAAGTACCAAAGTGTGATTCTGACATGACTGATACATTCAAAGTGAAGCCAGGTCTCCCATGTTTCAGGGATGTTTGAGCAGTATTTTCAGAGATAAGTTGATAAACCAATCCCCGGAACTCCACCTATTCATTTGTTCATTCACTCATTCATTTAACTTGCCTTGTCTGAACCTCAGCCAGGCCCAGAGAGCATTTGATGAGTGACCACAGCCCCTGCTCTCCCCAGGAGCTCACATGTAGTTGGGGTGGTGGTTGTAGACATCCCAGACCCCACACATTATTATACAGGAGGTAATTGCTAGATCAGAGATTAGAACAAAGGACTAGGGGAGCCCAGAGTTGGACAAACAATTCTTGGAGAATACAGAAAGGGACTTCTGATGAGGTCTTAACTGATAAGTCAGAGCTAGTTCATCAGAGAAAGGGGTGGACATCTTCCCAGGAGAGTTTATAATATGTTCCCAGAGAGAAAACATTTTGTGATGGAGTTCTGTATTAAGGTGGAACTGCTGTGCTGGGAATGGGAGCAGTAAAATACACAAACTAACATTTTTTGAGCATTTATTTGCGCTAGCTTTCAATGTCACTGTCCCAGCCTTCAGGTAGGCACTGCTAGTATTCCCCTTCATAGAAGAGGCTGAACCTGGAAAGGAAAAGCAGCAGGTATGGGGGCATGACCAGGAAGATGGTAAAGATGAGACATGAGCCATTAATCCAGCCCTATCGTCTGTGGGGTACCCTTCCTGCTGAGGAAGAAATGTGGACTAGATGCCAAGAGACCTGGGTTCTCTACCCTCAACGGGTCTGTCTAATTCTGAGCATTTTTGATTCCAGTCTGTCCCTCATACTGATCTGTGGTATGGCCTTAAATGAACCATTTAACACTAAGTCATAATTTCCTAATTAATAAAGGGAGTCTAGCTCTCAAAAGAGCTGGTGTGAAAATGCTTTGGACATTATTGAATGTCACGTCTCTAGGCTTTCCACCTGCTGCTTCTTTAACAGAATCCAGCTCTGCTCACAAGATGTGTGTGGTTGCCAGATGAGGAAGGATAAAGTAGAGGTCAAGAACAGGTTCCAGTGAGAGCTGAGTGGTTGCATAACAGGGGAGTGTTTATAACTTTGCCCATACCACATACAAGTGCAAAGGTGTAAAGTCCAGACAATTCCTAACCTGAGGTTAACTGCCCAGGATGATCAGTTAGGATTCTTCCCACTGCAAGAGGCCAAACAAAAAGAAAAACAATCCCAGCACAATGAGCTACCACTTCATATGCATTAGAATGGCCATAATTTAAAAAGGCAGAAAAAGGAACGTAATAGTGAGCATGTAAAAGACCAGACTCCTCATGCACTGCTGGGGGGTATGTAAAATGGTGCTGCCATGGTGGAGGGCAATTCATTAGTCCCTCCAAAAGTTAGATATAAAATCACCATGTAAGCCTGGATTTTCACCTCTGTTTCTAACGAATTTAAAATAGGGACTTGAACAAATGTTTATATACCCCAGTGTACACAGCACAGCAGCTAAAAGTCTGAAGCCCAAGTGTCTATCTACAGATGAACAGATAAACAAAATATGATATGTACATATAATGGAATATTATGCAGCCATGAAAGGAACTGAAATTTTAACATGGCTAGACCTTCAAGTCAGACACAGAAAGACAAATATTGTATAGTCTTACAGAAATAAGTTTCCTGGAATAGGTACAGTCATAGAGATAGAAAGTAAAATAAGCCTTGTCAGGGAGGGATAAGAGGAGATTTTTTTATTGGGTAGAACTTGCTGGGGGTGGTGGGTTTTGGTGGATGGTTATACAACATTGTGAATGTACTGAATCGTATTCTTACAAATGATTAGAATGATAAATAATATGTATAGTCTGTCTCTGTCTGTCTCTCTTTCCCCCCAACTCTGCCCCATCCACATCAAATGGCTTAAGCAAAAGCACCTCTATTGTCCACAGTACTGGGAAGGCCAAGGCTGACCCAAGGATCCATTCCCCTCCCCAGCTTGGTCGTGGCTTCATTCTCAAACTTCATACAGGACCCCTAGGAGCTCTGTGTGTCCCAACCTTGATTCAAAATGGTTGCGGCTTCTCATATTCTGTCAGTGAGAAAGAGCTAGCCTCTTTTGGGGTGCTTGCCTTGAAAGCCCTGAGCTGCACTCCCATCGGACCCCTTCCCGCTCCCAATCTAACCTTGGTGGGAGCAATTGCACCTGTGAATTAGCTAATTCGCAAGTCACTTGCTCCACCCCTGCAGCTGGTGGAAAAGCCCCTGGACCATGTGGGCGTAAGGGCTGGGGAGGAGGTGGCCCCCAAACAAAACTTGTGGGCTGCTGCCTGCAGAAGGAATGGGTGCTGGGAAGACACAAGAAATGGCAGCCTTCAGCGGCTCCCTGGGGTTCCCTGGACCCACCAGCCAGCTCTAACCATACTCAGACATTTACTGCCTGTGGCATGGAGCACTTGGGGGCTGGGCATGGTGGCTGAACACAGCTTTTTCCTCTCACCTGGCAGATTCAACCTAGACCCCTTTGATTGCTACACAGATGAGCAGATCTGGGAAGTCTTGGAGAAGACATTCCTGACCAAGATGGTAAGTGGCTCCAAGACCTATTGCTTGGTCTTGCCTCTGCAACTGGGACACCCCGCTTGGCTGCTCCAGATGTTGCTGCCTTGGGCTTGGATCCTTTAACATCATGGTGATTCCTGAATAAAGGCTGAAGGACACCACAGTGAGCCAGGCAATTTCTTGGCTCAGGGGACACAGAAAGGCAAAGTTGGGCCTCAGAGCTTACCTTCAATGGGAGGCAAGGCCAGCAAAGGAACACACAAGGTACTTCCAGAGGGTGGTGGGCTGTGCAGGTAGTAACAAGACCAACAGACACATCATTGAGGGAGCTGCTACTTTATGGGGCCAGGTGGTCTTTAAGGATAGGATATATGAATGGAGACCAAACATTGAAGGGGCAGTTGGGTATATAGTAGAGCTTTGAGAGAACTTTCTTGGCACAGGAATTAATGTGCAGAGGCCCTGGGAAATAGGGGTGGAAGGGGGACAGCTATGGATGAGAAATGTTATATGGCACAAAGGAAACATGGTTGGGCCTCCCTGGTGATTCAAGGGGTTAAGACGCAGCACTATGAAGCTATCCGCAGCCACTGCAGCACAAGTTTGATCCCCAGCCAGGGAGGTGACCCACATGGTGCAGCAGACCTCTCCTGGCTCGCCGGCTGCTCCCCTCAGCAGTGTATTTCAGTGGATCCACCTGTTCTACTTCCCACTCTGTCTCTGGTGAACCCTCTTATCCCCTGCACCTCTGGCCTGTACCCCAGTTCTTGTATGTATTAATAAATAAATCTTAAATAAAACAAAACAAAACAAAGGAAACATGGATACCAGGGCTAACCAGAAGCAGGTTTAATGCACAGTGCTGACTCAGCGGATTCACATCCCAAAGCCGAGGCCCGTCTGTAGGAAGTCAGGAGCTTATATACACTTTCAGTATCTACAAGGTTCTAGATGGGTTTGCATTGGCAGCTATATATGGTCAGATAGGATGTGGCTGCATACCAAGGGATGAGTAAAGGGTTGTCGTCATGGGACCCCAGGTCCATCCTGCCTCATGGTGGTACATGGTCTAACATGAAGCAAGATTCATATATCAGGGACTAAGTTGCATACTAGGAACTGAGCAAAAAGTTGTTACTAAGGTCCCAAGGCTGCTTATCTCGGGTCACAATGCTTCAGAAAGACGGCTGGCTGGCTGGAGAGACCCAGGCAGTGTTATAAAGTGAGATGGGAGTAGCCTGCGGGGGTCAGCTTAAGTCTCGCCCCACCCTGGCTGACGTGGCCTGTCTCTTATCGTCCCGGTATTATAGATCTCCAAGTTCCCCCGGAAGCTGCTTGCAGAAGTCGTGGAAAATGGCAACAACTTCTCTGTGGGAGAAAGGCAGCTGCTGTGCATCGCCCGGGCCCTCCTTCGCAACTCCAAGGTGAGGTGGGGTGGAGGGCACACATGGGGTTTCTCCAGGGCTCCATGCACGGGACTGTTGGCGGATTCTCCCTCTGTCACCACAGGGCAGGGCTCTGTGCTGGCTGTCCTTTCCACAGGCACCCAAAGAGTTTGCCCATCCCACAGGACACCACTGCGCACATGACCATGGTGTGGCGCGGCAGGTTGTGGGGCTCAGCCTGGGCTCCCGTCAAACCCCGCCAACCTGCAGAGAAGCAGAAATGGCCACGCTAGGACCAAATAATGATGCTCTTTTCCTGCAGAAAACTCAAAGAGTAGAAACATATCAATTTAAAAATTATCTCCTGGACTTTCTTTTAAAAAGTTGTCTTTATGGGCCTCCCCGGTGGTGCAGCGGTTGAGCGCTGGGTTGCGAAGCTGCCCGCAGCCTCTGCAGCACCAGTTCGATCCCCGGCTGCTCCCCGGCCACCGGGTGAGGGTCCCACATGACACGCAGACCTCTCCTCCTGCCGCCCGCTGCTCCCCTCAGCAGTGTACTTCGGTCCTTCTGCCTGCTCTGCTCCCCGCTCTGGCTCTGGTGAATTCTCTCACCCTCCCGCGCTTCTGACTGTACCCAGTGCTTGTATAAATAAATAAATAAATCTTTAAAAAAAAAAAGCTGTCTTTATTAGAATGAGGAGTCAGATGGCAGCTGTTTAAGGGCCAAATGACATATTTTTACAAAGTTACATCTGACTTTATTTCTTGGACATTTCCAAGTACTTTGCCAATAATTTCAGGTAATTGACTACCTGGGCTAGTTATTAGTGAGGCTGCACACAAGCAGGGCCCTATGCACACACAGGTACATGCACCTCTCTGCACTCACACGTACTCATACATGCAGACACATGCAACACCCTTCCACACCCTCACATGCACACAGGTGCACACAAATGCACAATCTTCTCCATCCACATGTGCACAGCAAGTACGCTGGTAATATAGGTGTACACAAAAGTACACAATCTATCCACACCCACACATACACACTGTGCTCACATCTTCTCCACACTCATGCACAAAACATGCACCCGTCCATATATCTTCTCCACAATCACATAACATGTACACACAGGTGCACACATGTATACACATAAGCACACAGGTGCACACACACAGCACACACTGTGATAGATTAATGATAAATGTGGAAGTGCTGGTGCAGCCTGCAGCGCTGTGCGGTGGGAGGAGGCCAATCTCAGTGGGGTCCGAAGGAGGGAGAAGCTTTAGAGGAGCTAGAACTTTCCCGTCTCCTTAATGGAGATGAAAGGTGGGGTTCGCAGAATGTAGGGAACACTTGCTTAGCTTCTCAGTTCCTTGTTTCATATTTACTCCGCCATCGGATGCCAGTTACTCTCTCCATATTGCGTCAGCAGGCTGAGTCACGACCTGATGATTTTTGTCGTGTCTGCAGACCACGTCTCCCATAAGTGACTTGTGTCCCTCTTTGTACAAATGGTCTTATCTTAGGTCGTCACACTTGTGAACTCATACTTTCCGTGCTCGTTATATTTTCCTAAAGCATAGTGTCAATGAAATAAATATGCAAATGTGGAAGCAACAAGCATGTTCATCCACACACTGGCTCTCCTTCTTCTTGTGCCGCCCAGAACACGCGCCCTCTTCAGGGACTGTTGCTCCACATTAATTCACGCAAATAGGAAGGCGGTTAATAAAACAAGAAGTTGCCACGGGGACATTTAAATCTTCAGGAACTTAGTTCTCTGGTTACTAAAAACAGCTCTTGGTTGAGACCTAATCTTTTTTTCATAACATCATGGATAAATAGCAGGAGCCGAGAGAGTGGGCAGTGTCTTTGAATAGCCTTTGAACCATGCACAGAGCGGGTTTTGAACTCAGTCTAGATGGCTCGTTTTCCAGCAAGAGGACTTGGCAAATTAGTGGTAGACCCAGGACTAGCCCCGGGGGTCGGGCTTGGGGAGATGGCCTTCAGCTCTGTTTCATATCCACCAGATCATCCTCATTGACGAAGCCACAGCTTCCATTGATATGGAGACCGACGCCCTGATCCAGCGCACCATCCGAGAGGCCTTCCAGGGCTGCACGGTGCTGGTCATAGCGCACAGAGTCACCACTGTCCTCAACTGTGACCGCATCCTGGTTATGGCCAACGGGAAGGTGAGAGCTGCACCTGGGGCTGGTGGGGGAATGGGTGCTCAGGCTGGTTCCACGCGAGGCCTTTGGTCCTTCGAGGCTGAGCTCAGCTGTGTCCTGGTCCCTCTCATCCTTTCCCCACCTGCCAGGTTGTAGAGTTCGACAAGCCTGAAGTCCTGCAGGGGCAGCCCGGGTCCATGTTTGCAACCCTGATGCAAACAGCCAGTTCTTCACTGAGCTGAGGAGAAGTGGCGATGTCACAGAGTTGGGACCGAGCGCACCAAGTTTCCTGGAGGCAGCCGAGAGGCCTGCAGGCTACGACCTTCTTCTGCAGAGATGGCTACTTCACTAGAAAGCAGAACTCAAATGGCTTGATGGGTGCTGGCAGTGGGGTGGAAGAAGAGATTGAGGCAGCAAAACCGGGACGAGGTCACTCTTTAGCTCCCCTAAACTGAGAACACCAGTACGGTCTGAGACCATGAGGCCAAATGATCATGTGCGTCTTTTTAACTTATAGTTTTCTGATCTGTTAAAAGTGTTGTACTAATTTTGTAAAAAAATAAATAGAAGTAAGAAAAAGTCGCATTTATTGTTCTCCTTTCTATGTTGGCTAGTCCTTTGGCAGCAGAAAACAAAAACTCTCAGAAAAGGGACTTCATTGGCTCACGTAGTGGAGAAATCCAAAAAACGTTCCAGGTTGGGGTGCTAGTATCAAAAGGAGGTCTGCCTTGTGGATGCCCTCTCATCTTCTCTCAGCTCTGCTTTCCTTTGTTTGTCTTCATTTTCTCACTTTCTGCCCTTCACAGTGGTATCTGGCTACCAGCAGGTCTACACTCATACCTCCTGTCAGTTCAGCACTTCACCCCCGCCCCCCTTTCCTGGTAATTCTAGCAAAGCTTCCAGGGCTAAATCTCATTGGGCAGACTTGGGTCACATGCTCAGCCCTGAATCAACCGCACGCTGGGCTGTTGGATGCAGTGAGTCATGTGTTCATACCTGGGCCTGGGGATGCAGTCAGCTGCCTTGAATCATGTGGACTAAGAATGGAAGGGGTTGTTTCTCCCAGGTGAGACTGGGGTGCTCCTCCTACATGAAGGAGGAATGGATTTGGTGGCTGGGAAGACTCCAAACAGTAGCTGTCTACCACACATTTGTTCATTGATTAGGAGCAAGTGCGTGGAATAAAGAGCTAACTTATCACATGTGCTTACTGGAAGCAAGGTGATTGGTTGCCCGTCCATCCCCCTGTGTTTATAGATCTATTAAAAGGTAATTATATTAATTTACTTCTAGGGAAACCTCATTGTTGGGGGCAGATATATTTCAAAATGATCTCTTCTTGTTTTCAGATTATGGTGTCTGGGTTTGCCATAAGAAAAATCAATTCTGCAAACAATTTTTCCAATTCTGTTTCTTGCACTGGGCTAGATGCTGGGGCTGTCATGATATCCCAGCCTTCATAGAATTTGGGATCTCTTGAGAGTAAATGAGCAGTAAGCAAGTAAACAGGTGGTTCCAGAATCAGTGACAAGACGTAAGAACAGGCCATAGGAGATGAGGACAGAGCACACTCCCTGGTGGGTGTGAGCTTGTGCTTTCGTAAGATCTGAGAAGTGAACAAACATTTGTTCAGATGAAGTGGATTGGGGCAAGAAAGAACGTTCCAGATAGAGAGAACAACAAACAGCTCTCTGTGGGAGTGACCCATGACAGGGGTTGATACAATCCTTGGACCAAACAGTAGACAAGCCTGGGTCCTGGAGTTACTGGCATGTGTCCACCACCTGCTGTGCCCTTCCTGGGGTGCATAGGCAGCAATGGCCTCTGCTCCTGGGAATGTCTTCTCTCTCTTAGCAATCTCTCTGCCCAGTTTCTCCATTCCCTCTCAATACTTGCCTTTTACTACTTAGGCCCCGAAGAACACTTGGGAGCACCAACTTCTGACCATCACAACTCAGCATGGTCTCATGGTCTGTATGTTAAAGATGACTCTACACACACCGCCCTGGCCCCTACTTCTCTGATGCAACATTCAACCTGCTGCTCCTGCCCTGACACTTGACCCAACTGTCCTCCCCTAGGCCAAGTTTAGCTACCATGTTTTCCTCAAATTAGCCAGCAGATGGCAGACTCCTCCCAAAAATGCAAGGAAGGCCTCTGGGGCTGCAGGTCTCCCTATACCAGCGAAGTGATGAACACAGGATCAGAGCACAGAGGTAAAGCCCATTTCCACTTGACCTTGGGGGACTCATCCCACCTCCCTAGTCCCATTTCCAGCAGCAGCCTCTCCTCCTGGAACTCAGATATGGTTGCATTTTAAAAATCCAAAGAGTTTTTGAAATGCCAATATCCACTCTGAGTTCTGCTCTTTCTGATTCACGGGTTTGGGGAGGCAATTGAGCATGGAGATTTTTAAAGCTTTAGGTGAATCCCCATGAAACACCCAAAGTCACCCACCCCGTCGTGGGTGACGCTCAAACAGGGTTGGCCCAAAGCGGAGCCTCAGAGGCCGGAGAGTGGCCACAAGTATAAAGCACCTGCTGGTGGAGACCCACAGGAAAGGGGCAGAAAGGGCCCAGCAAATCTGGGAAGAAAAGAGCAAAATAAAAATCAAGATAAAGGCTGCCATTGTCAACCTCCCCACGGGTCCCTCACCCACGTCTATTTCTCTATTTCAAGTGTCTCCTTCCATGTCCCCCAAGTCCCTGGTCCAAGTCCAAGGCTGAGAAGCAAGCGTGGCTTCTTCACCTGTCCCTCCGCTCCATGTGCCTCCTGCAGGTCTCCTTCTGGCTCCCTTTCCCCTCCTCCCAGAATCTTCTCTAGTTTCTTCCAGCTCAGCTCCACCCTTCCTTAGGGTGAGGCAGGGAACATGGAATCTCCCCTTTCCCTGGGGATTACCCCATTACACTTACTCACTTATTAATAGTTTGTGATTTTTGCATTTTCTTTACATCCCGGTGGGGAGAGGAGCATAGTATTTTTAACGCCCAAGGATTCTAAGGGCTTTACTTCGTCCCAACTAAGGACAGACTAAACGTCCTTCTGGTCAAGAGCGGTGGACGGATTTCAGCGCTGTGGATGTGGGTCACAGTGACAGCGGCCAAGGGCAGATCAAAAGTCCAGCTCTGCCCTGGCCCCATTGCCAGCTCTGGACACTCCATTTTAAGAGCAACACTGTGAAATGGAGGCTCTTCAGAGCACGACCACTAGGGGGGGCCTGAAAACCATGTTGTGAGAAGATCCAGGAAAGGTCGTGGCAGGAAGGGCTCAGATTCAGCCCACATCTACCTAAGGAGCTACTTCTGAAGGGGCTTCTGCGGGCAGCCTACGCCCAGGAGGCACAGATGGTCAGGTCTGGGAGGGCCCCCCTAAGGTGTGGCAGTCTTGAGTGGAGGGAGCTCCCCAAGGCTGGGGACCCGGACTTCGAAAGCTTTCTCTGTTGTTATCCCCAGATTTGGGGAGGTTCCTACAAGGCGGAGGCCGGCTGGGGTTCTTCTGCATAGATAGAAAACGGATTGGATGATTTCTCTGGGGTGCAACTATGGACACAGTACAGCGTATGGCAGGGTTCTCACACTGCACTGAGCATTTGGGTCACCCACCCAAGGGCTACTACAGATTGTGGGCCTCACCCCCAACTTTGTGATCCACTAGGTCCTGGGTGGTTTTAACAAGTTCCCAGATATTGCTGATGCTGCATCTGGGACCATACTCTGAAAACCCAGATGTTAGGCTAGACTATTCTGCCCTGTGTGATCCAGGAGTGGTTCAAACCCTGCATTCTAATGTGGGGCCCCGAGATCCTGTGCATCTCCAGGATACTTCTATATTTATTCATTCATTCATTCATTCATTCATTCATTCATTTATTATATTTAAAGAGCAGGTTTATTAGGGAAAGGGACAGAAGAGTAAAGGACACTTGCATAGACACCAGTGGGCAGGAAGAGCTGCCCTGAAAGGGACATGTTTGCTGAGAGAAGCCTGCATGGTTGCAGGCGAGGGCCTTGAGAAGAGCTGCCTCCGCTGAGGGTGGTCAGTGAAGAGAATTCCCGGCAGGTACAGGTCATGGTCTGGCAGGAGGCTGCTGCCCTGCAGAGGAGAGAGTTAGTGAAAAGAAGCAGCTGCATAGTCACAGGTGGGCAGAGGGACTGCTGCCCAGGATACTTTTATTTTTAGGATTTCTTTTGGTTCAAACCTCCCGAGCATCTCACTAAGTCACACAGACTCTCTTTTTCTTTATCACATTGACCTCAAAAGAGATCTTAGCATTTCTCTTATCTCCCTTGAACATATAGTTGGCTTTAATGAAGTTTTGGGTCAAAGGAGTAGTTTCTATTTCTGTCACTTTAACAACTTCCAATGAAATATCAGGCACCATCTACTTAAGGATTCTCTATTTCTACCCCCTCAGGCTTTAGTCTGCTTCCTGCTGCTGACTCTATGGGCCTGGGTTCTTCTTGACACTCCCTTGCTCTCATACCCCAATTTCTGGATGTGTGTTCTGTAGAGCAATTTAGTTCTCAACTTTTCCTGCCAAGAAAGTCACCAGGGTCTCATTGTCAACCCCAAGAGATGTATCAAGGCAGTTCTCTCAACAAAACAGTTCCTAGCCCATGAGGAAGTCTGGTGCTGGCTGATAAGATAGTGAAATTTCACCCTATTATCCTAAATGTTCCCCCTTCTATCCCTTATCTCATTTAAACATTCTTACGGAATCCAACTACGTCAGAGACACAAGCAACTTCAGAGACTGTCAGGGTAGATGTTCGTAGCTGGTGGCTCATGGACTCCCAGCTAGATTTGGGGCATCTGTGACTTTGGATGAGAAAAAATATATTTTTAGTAACTGAAATTTAGCATTTCCATTGATTACCCCAAAAGCCACAAAGTATCGTAGCATTAGAAGTACTGTCACCAATGGAAGTCACATGTTCTCATATCTCATTTCAATTATTTAAGTCATCTCAAGATATCATTTATATGCACCACTGCTTTGAAATTATAGTCATTATTAGATCCACTGCTGCACCATACCATTCAGTGCATTGATATAGAAGCATATATATTATGACACCCAACTTTGCTTTTTTATTTGTATTTTGATAACCATGTTTCTGTATAATTGGTTTTCTTTGCAGTCCTTTGTGCCTTATTTTTTTATGCATTAGAAATGCTATTCTGGGAGCACTCTAGAATGTCAAAAGAGCTAAGGAAGAAGATAGGTTAAGGACCCTCATCTAGTTCAGTTCTTTGAGTTAGTAGAGAGAAACCGAGTCCCTGACAGAGGACAGGCCTCTCCCACAACTACGTGGCTGACTTCTAACAGGCTGGCTTGGGACATGAATCTAAAACAGGTACAGAGGGAAGTGAGAAGGAGAGACAGCAGCAGGGGTGTCTGCTCAGAGCTGAGTCGGTAACTGACCCTTCACCCAAGTCCTAGTTCTGAGACCTGGCCCACCTTACTCCATTCTTGTCATTACAGCAAAGGGAGTATAATTAATTCCTCATTATAGCAAAAGGGAGTATATAATTTTCTGATTTAATAATGATGTTTCTTGCCAAATCTTCGCTTCCTGAATACTCAGTGGTTTTTGCTGTGCTCTAGACACCACCGTGCTTGTTGTCAGAGCCAAATTGTTTGCGACTCAAACAGCAATGCTTGAGAGACAAGTGTTGGTGGGAGGAAATCAGGTTTATTCAGGAGGCAGCAACCTGAGGAGACAGTGAACTATTGTCTCAAAGACCACCTTCCCGAACCAGGGAGAAGCAGGGATTTAGACGGGGGAATCCTACATTGGGGAGAGGCTAAAGGGATTTCAGAGAAATGGGCCAGGGTTCCAGAAACTGCATTCACACCCCTTTTTCTTCCAAGTTTGGCCTTGATGGGATCTGTTCTGGCAAGGGTGGGTATGCCTTTCACTGTGATAATGAGGCTGTGGCGTAATGTCTTATTTCTCCATCTTGGTCTCAGCTGGTCTCATCTGGTTTTCTGGTTTGTTTGCAATGAGGAACAGGAGCAGAGCCAAGGACAAGGAGCTTATGGTCACTGGGCCAGAAGCTTCTGTTCCCATGTGAAGGTTGAAAACCTATATGGCATTCACTGAAATGCCCCCGCCTCTGTTCCCAGCACCCATCAATGTACTTCGTGAATCTGGGGGAGCATCTGATTCATGATTTAGAACTTACACAATTCTTCCACAAACATCAAGTCAAATAAAATGCATGCCATAAGATTGTGTACAGTTGCTAGAGATGGCTAAGGGGTTTCACCCTCAGTGCCTTTAACTGCCAGTACAAACAAAGAAATAAGATGTATTACAAAATCTCTGTGATCCAGCCATTTATTTTATTATTTTATTATTTTTTTAAAGATTTATTTGTTATTTATGCATACAAGAACTGGGGTACAGGCCAGAGGTGTGGGGGTTGAGAAGATTCATCAGAGACTGAGTGGGAGGCAGAACAGGTGGATCGACTGAAATACACTGCTAAGGGGAGCAGCGGGTGAGATAGGAGAGGTCTGCTGTGCCATGTGGGTAGCTCCCTGCCTGGGGATCGAACTCTTGCTGCAGAGGATGCAGACAGCTTCATAGGTTGCGTCTTAACCCCTTGTGTCACCAGGGAGGCCTGATCCAGTCATTTAAAGGAAAAATTAGTCATCTACAACAAGTGTAATTTTCCCTGTCCTGAGAACCAAGAAGGAGAGCCACGTTTCCCTGGTGTGGGGCAAGCTTGCGGCCGGGAACCACAGGTCAGCTCTTTGACCCCAGAATGGCCTGCTCTGGAGTCTTAGCTCCAGGGGATGGCACCAAGGCCAGAAACATTTGCCACCTAAGAATATCTTTTGTTCTTTATCGGAGGCTGATCTGTTATTACGGTGTGCGTGTATTTCTGGGTCACTTATTTGATTATGTTTCTATTTATTGTTTTAAAAACTCATTCAAATCACAAATTACTTTACAGTCATTTGATATCAACTTTGTTCTTTCTCCTTTATCTCTCTCCTTAGCTCATTAGGCAGACAGCAGAAAGAAAAAACCCACGCCCTTCTCTCAGCAGATATTCTGTGTATTTCCACCAGATTCCAACAGCAACCCAGAAGGTAGAGCGCTTATTTCCCGTGAGAGCCTGTTAATTAAAAAAAATTATTATTTACAAATAATGGTGATCATTCATTGAATGTTAACTATGTTTAAGTCTCTGTGTTAAGCACAGCATTTACATTATCTAATCCTCAATTAATTAACCATGCTTGAGGTTATCGTGCTTATTTTATAGTTGAAGAAGTTGAAATCAAGAGATTTTGAGATCAAATCTAATCCTAGAATTCCTACTTTTAGCCACTCCATGTTATTGATTATATGCAACTCCAAACACTGATTTCTGGGTGCTTCCTGGGGCCTTTGGACAACTTCTCAGTCTTTCTTTTTCTCTTTGTGTCTGTATTTTAATATACGTGTATCTATATATGCGGATATGTAGATAGAGGTATATACAGATAATACATATAGATATATGTAGGTATATATTTATATACAGATAAATAGTCTTAAATATACCCTGTTTTTGAGATTGGTTGAGTCCATGTCATGAAGACTTCTTGGTGAAGGGCAGGAGTAGGGAAGATTTCATACAAAGCTTCACTTTGGAATCAAGGTCTCATAGAACCTCAGAGTTGGGAAGATTCTCTTGAGAAGTGGCCCTGAAACTTTCTACCAAGCACCGCTGTGGTGTCTGGTCACACAGCCTCCTGCCATGTGTGTATGTATTTCCTTACAGTGACATGCAAGGTAATAGATAAATATCACAGTGCTAATTTTTATAAGGATGAGGAAAGTATATATAGAGAGGATTTCTGCTATTTCCTTCCAGCACCCCACTATATTCTCCCCCTCCAACGCCATTTGGGGTTGTGTCAGGCTGAGCCGCGATGCTGGGGCCTCTCCCAAAAGCACAAGCTGATGGCACAGGCACTTGTCTTCTTTCTGACAGGTCTCCCTTGGCCAGGGTCTGCACAAACCCTCTCCATCATTCCATCCCAGAATCTGTTGCCGCTAGGTCCAATCATCTGCTTTATGTACCAAAATACCGTGTGTCTTGGTAGAAATTCATCTCGGCCAGACCTGCCACCAACATGGGGAAAAATTGCTCATCCTCTTCCCCCCAGACACTTGACAGCATCGGAGTCTGTTTGGAAATTGTGCAAGTGAGTCTGTGCTGGTGCCTCCCACGGTTGTGAAGATCAAGTGATAAAAGGATGAAGAACTTTGTGATACACAAAGGGCTCTACAAATGTCAAGTGATATTATTAGCAGTGATTTGCATTTATGGAGGAAGGAAAGGAGGCAAAAATCTGGGGCACCGTTGGCACGCGTGGCCCGGCCCACCCAGAGGCCAGGGCCGTCCTGGCCAAGCTGCTTCCTGCGCCGCAGCTGTCGCCCACCCTTCCCAGTTCCCACCTCCCTCTTGGGCACGAGAAAAGTATCGCTTGGGTGAGGACAACCTCTGCTGTGAATTACATCCCCAGGAAGCGGAGGAGCCCGAAATAGCCAGCAGGCGTGGGGATTGACCAAGAAGGAGTCAGGGGAAGACTTGGGAGGCTCGAAATATTTGTCCTCAAATCCACGAGTTAGGTGGGGAAGATCCTGTCAGTTGTCAACACAATTCAAAATGAATCAGGACTTGTTATTTCTGACTGAGAAATAACCGTCAGAAATAACTGTCAGAGGGAGATTTAGCTCCCTCCCAACCAATTCCCCGGCCACTTGGGAATCCTTCAGCCAACTCTGAGGCTGGGTCCCCATTCTGAGCAAGTCACCATGGTCAGGTACTTCGGGGAACGAAAGAAATCCGAAAAGACCCGTGCTCCAGAATTTGCTTGCAATGCTTGCAGTGTGATAAATGCAAACTTTGGTTTACAAGGATTAGCTGTTAGTATGAGTCTCACACTTTTCTTTCATTCAATTCAAGAAAAAAATTGAACTCAAATTGCCTTTATTTTTAGTTAAAATGAATAGAGAATGAATGAATGACACTGTCTCTGTGTTGAGTTGGGCTCCCTCAACTCTCCTGCCCTGGGGCTGCTTTGCAGGGACACAGAGTGGGAAATGCATGTGAGCTGGGAGCCAGGTCCCTGGGCTGGGGGTCTGGAGACGTGGCTGCTGGTCTCAGCCTTGCCCAAGCCCCTCATGGGAAACGTGCTCCCTGCTCTCCCCATCTGCAGAGGCAGGTTGGGGAGGTGTGATGTGACTGGCGGGGCCAGCTAGCAGGAGCATGACATGTCACCGAAGCAGCTGGACTGTGCCATAGGCCCGTCCTGGGAGGGGGCAGTGCCCTTTATGTGGACAGAGGGAATGTTGGTCCCCCAGAGTTCTCTCCACAGGCGTGGTGGGAGTGACAGTTGAATGGGGCAGTTGAACGGGAAGACTCTAGGCAGGTGGGACAAGCAAAGCTGAATCTGAGGTTCACAGAAAGGAGGCCCAGGCAATAGGGCAGAAGGCCGCCCCCGTTGCGCCCCATGACTTCTGGCTCCCCCTCTGGTTCTCAGGACGCCAGCTGCCCAGGTAAAGCTCCTCTCTGCAGCCATCCTGGGGTCCTTTGTCTCTCATCCCCAGAAGAGGCTGTGTGGGCAACACCCTATTGACTGTATCTGCCCATGTGGGGGGAAGTTGGGACATGGAGCCTTCTAGAGTGTCAGGAAGGTCTGGAGCACCTCATATTTTTGGAGTCCCCTGGTAAAAAAGAAATGCCGAGATGGGATTTCCCAATCTGTGCTATACAAAAGTCAACACTGAATAAGTGAAATCTTTAACCCTCCCCACCACAGCGCATACACGCTGAACATATACTGTATGGCTCACAATTTAATCACAGGATTTATTTTTAACAAGTTGCACACATGGTACATTTACTGTATGGTTCACACATGTTTAAAATGGATCTTTTTTTCTTTCTTCAACCTTATGTAACCAAAGGGGTGACCTCCTTTGGAGATACCATCACAGGTCACCATTTGGGGCTCTCTGGGAATGAGAGGACATCAGCAAACCCCCCTCCCTCTCTGTACCTCAGGCTTTGCGTTCTCTTACATGCTCCCCTATGCCTCTCTCCCTTCTCCCTCCTCCCTCTCCAACACCTGCTCCACCTTATTCCCGGGCCTCCTCCCATGGCTGGCTGTGTCCAGGGTGCCTGTGGACAGCCGGAGTAGATGGCGGGAGAAGTGAGGGCCAGGATTCTCCTCTGACTGGAGGTTGGCCATGGGAGCTGTGGGGAGGGCGTGAGACCCTCAGACATTGTAAGTTAGGTGGCTTTAAATTAAGAGGGGATTTATTAAGAAAGGCAAGGGGCCTAGCCTCTTATTTGGGAAGGATTTTATATTAAAGTGTATCTGCATATAATTGATGCAGAGGAGCCCTAAGGATGAATTTCCATTTTAGGCACCAAGGAAAACTGAGGATCCCCAGATGAAAAATTGTCAGTTTTGTGAGTTAGGCTGAAATGGAACATATTTGAGCTAAGTGGGTAGGTATGAAGAATATTTTGTCTTAAAATGCCCTCCAGATGTTGTTGTCCTCCCTCTTTGGAGAGAGAAAAAGGTAGAAAATGATTCCACTATAAGAAAAACAGCAGTGCAAATGTGATGATAAATGCTAGGTACCCCAGATCCCCAGAGTAGGGGGACAGTAAGGAGTAGTGGGGATTGTGGCAAACTAAAGTCTGTGTGCTTTGTAAGGATACTTTCTGCTTGTGAAGAAGTAGATTATTATTTTTTAATACAATTTATTTATTTATGCATATAAGAATGGGGGTACAGGCCAGAGGTGTGGAGGGTGAGAAGATTCACCAGAGACTGAGTGGGAAACAGAACAGGCAGATTGACTGAAATATACTGCTGAGGAGAGCAGTGGATGAGTCAGGAGAGGTCTGCTGCACCATGTGGGTAGCTCCCTGGCTGGGAATCGAACTCGTGCTGCAGTGGCTGTGGATAGCTTCATAGGTTGCGTCTTAACCCCTTGCACCACCAGGGAGGCCCAAGTCTGTGTGCTTTGCCGAAAAGGGATTACTGCTGTTCAGCATGAGCTGATGGTGGCCACAAGAACATACAGAGCTCCTGATTTTTTTGACAAAAATCAGAGGTAGCTTTAAATTTTAAAGTGATATTTCCTAATTTTAAAATATTTTCCACAGATCCAAAACATTTAAACAACTGTGCCGGACAAATACAATGGACCTGCAAGTTGTATGTGGTCTGCAATCCACCAGTTTGTCCTCTGCTCTAAACAGAGTTCTCTCTGCTTCTGCCTGGGGGGTTTACCCAGGCCTGGTCAGGTGCACTGACCAATAAGCAGAGGGCACCCAAGGGGCTTTTTCCAACCTTCTGCCAATCTCAGATGCTCTGAGCAGAAAAAGACAGGCTAGGGGAGAGTCAGGGTTGCCTTGGGGCCCAGCCTGGTCAGGCCCTCACTCCTTCCAGCTCTCTCAGTGGCCTCCCCACCCCCACTACATGAGTGCCAGCAAGCAGATTTGTCGCTCCAGGCAGCTCCCCACTCCTGGCAGAGGATGGCATGACAGACGGAGATAGAGACGTTAGCCAAAGCAGACTTCCTGATTTAAAAATTCTCATTTTCCCCCCGGGGCTGCCAAATTTAGCAAAGTGCCATTCCAGCTGCAATGCTTCCAAGCCGTCTTAGGTAATCACAACTCTGCATTCCCTGTGGAGCGTTCAAGGAAATCACCTTCCAGCACCAATTTCCTGTGAACTCTGATTGCACAAACCTAACCAGGGTGGTCTGGTCTCCCATGTTTGGTATCATGGAGACAGGACCCCTTAGACAGGCTGGTGACAGCTCGTGGCCAGGACTCTGCCCTTAGAAAAGAGAGGGAAATAATCGAAGCGATGGGTAAGGGATCTCCATGGGGGTTGAGGCCCATTTTCTCAGAAGGAACATTGGCAGAGGAGGAGCTGTGGACAGTCTGCCTGGACCAGAGAGGAACTGCAAATGGGTTGCTGGGGGGAAAAACAGTTCATCTGCCTTAACACTGTCTCTTTAAAAAATATTTAATGACTTATTTTGAAATGATCTAAAACTTACAGAAAAGTAACAAGAGTCATGCTAAGAAATCCTTCATTCTGATTTGTAAATTAACATTTTGCTGCCTTTGCTTGAACATTCTCTCCCTATGCATAATTATTATCTTTTCTGACACATTTAAGAGTAAATTGCAGACTTTTTGCTCTATTGTCTTTAAATACTTCAGTATGCATTTCTTAAAAATAAGGACGTTCTCTTATATAATCGTAATTTTCAAAATTATTAATTATCAAATTGAACAATTATCCAAATCAGATCATTTAATTTTGACGTAATACTATGGCATAGCCTATTGTCCATATTCAAATGTCCCCTATTGTCCTAATATCATTCTTAGTTGTTTTTCTCCTGGCTCAGCATCCAGTCCTGGACTGTGTATTGCTTTTAGCTGCCTTTAATCTGAATATTTCCTTGTCTTTCAAGATACTGGAGTGCACAGGCCAGCGATTTTAGAAAATATTCCTTTGGATTTGTCTGATAGTTCCTCACAACTCACAGCTAGTGTTGGGTTATCTAGCATTTGCAGAAATTCTGCGCGAGGTTGTCTTACAAAGTAACTGGGGTCTTTTACCAAAATTTATCGAATCACGGTCAGGTTGGCCAGAAGGAAATTCACTGGTGAGGCTGAGTTGCCTGGTTTGCTGTCTTCATGGCTTTTTTTAATTCTTAGGTTCAGTGATTCTCTCTTCCTAATGGAATTCCAATTTCGCTACAGCACTTGCTGTGAGCTCTTTTATCTTGATCTGGTCATGTGCTATTCTACCTCTGCTAAGCTCAGCCTAAACTTGTGGGTAACCCCCAGGGCACTGCAGCCCTGGAAGTCACCCAGAGGCAGTGGGAAGTCATGGGCAGCTGGTCGGGGACCACTGTCTGGCTGCTCAGAGCCCACAGTGCGGCAGAAACACACAGGATAGGACCTGGTAGAAAGGTCGTACCCTTGTCTGGATTTCTCTCCCCTTCTCCGGCCACAACTGGATTGCACTGACAGGGAGCCAAGGTCCCATCTATGCTGGGATGCCAGTTTCTTTGCTTCCCTCAGCCTGAGCACTCCTGCAGCAGCCTGCAGCCCTCCACTGTCTTCCTGCTGCAAATCCAGAAAAGCCTCCACTCTGGGTAGAGGAAGCTGTGAAGGGCTCTCTGGTAAACAGAGAAATGAAGACTGACAGACGGCTCCCTGGGGACACGTCGCCCCGAGCTGTACATGTGCAGGGGCCTCCAGGGCTGCTCTCCATGTCAGTACAAACAAATCTTAAAGCCCTGGCTGCTCTGCCCAGCCTTCTGGCTCCGACTCTCCTGCCCAAGTCTGCTGTATTATGGTTCCCTTAAGGGCCTCACTCTGTAGGGGCCACACAGCCAATTTCCACTGAACAGCTCACCTAGGCTTTCTTCCAAACTTGTCTTTCCTCTCTGCTCTCTTCCAACTCCCAGCTCTGCTCTCCCTCCCCAAAAGAAATTTCCCTAACTCCATCCTCCTCCCAGACCACGCTCCTTCTTCAGAAGGCAGGTAGCACAGCTGGTCCGCATTATTTAGGGAAGCTGAGCAGACAGCCTGGCTCTAGGGTCACATCCTTAAACATATGATTAAATATTATAACATCCAGAGACAATCCTGCATAGCCTCCTCATTTCATTCTTCTACCCCCCATAGGTCACTGGCATCTGGAAACTGGCCTCTCTCTTTCCCATTCATTTTCTAAAAATAAACTTTATTTTTTGGAACAGTTTTACAGAAAAATTGTGAACATAGTAGAGGGTTTCCATATACCTTGCACCTAGTCCCCCTGATTAATAATATCTTGCATTAGTATTGTATATGTTATGGCTAATGATATTGCTAAATCAATATATTTTTTTAAAGATTTATTTATTTATATAAGAACCGGGGTATAGGCCAGATGTGCGGGAGGGTGTGAGGATCCACCAGAGACAGAGCGGGGAGCAGAACAGGCAGACTAACTGAAATACACTGCTGAGGGGAGCAGCGGGCAAGGCAGGAGAGGTCTGCTGTGCCATGTGGGACCCTCACTGGCCAGCTGGGATTGAAACTGTGCTGCAGAGACTGCAGACAGCTTCACAGCGTGGTGCTTAACCGCCTGCGCCACCAGGGGAGGCCCTAAATCAATATTGACTAATATCCATGTTTTCTTTAGCTTTCCTTAGTTTCTCCCTAAGGCCCCTTTTCTATCCCCGGATCCATCCTGGTCACTACCATTACATTTAATCAACTTGTCTCCTTAAAGTCCTTTAGGTTGATGACAGTTTTCTCAGACTTTCCTTGTTTTGAATGACCCTGACAGGGGTACTGGTTAGGTTCTTTGTGGGGTGGCCCTCAACTGGGATTTGCTTGATGTCTTTCTCAAGATTAGATTGGAGTTAGGGGCTTAAAGGGGGAAGACCCCTGAAATAAAGAGCTCATCACATCCTATCCATGTGACTTAATCACTGTGGATGTCGACACTGACCCCTGGCTGAGTCATGTCTGTCTGGTTCCTCCACTGTCCAGTTGTTCTTTTTTCGCCTTTCCATAATGTGCTCCTGGAAGCATCGTATTTTAGCTGATAAAGTTGTTTCTCACAGGGCTATGTGCTTACTGGAACTGTACCGTGAACCATGGCAGGTGGGTGAGAGAGTCAGGCTTCTCCCCCTCGGCATGGGAGTTTACAGAAAAACAAGCAGAGGAGAACAGAGTTATGATATTATGTTAACATGTTAGAGTTGGAGAATTAGAATGAATTCATGTTTAGGTTAAAAATAGATTCAGATGTTTGGGCCTCCCTGGTGGAGCAACAGGTTGAGCACAGCGCTGTGAAGCTGTCTGCAGCCTCTGCAGCGCAGGTTCGATTCCCGGCCGGCCAGGGAGATACCCACGGCAGACATCTCCTGCTTCACCCACTGCTCCCCTCAGCAGTGTTTTCGGTCTGTCTGCCTGTTCTTCTCCCCACTCTGTCTCTGGTGAATCCTCTCACCCTCTGGCTTGTACTCCAGTTTTTGTATAAAAATAAATGAATCTTTAAAAAATAGATTAAGATGTTTACATATAGAAATATTTTTAGGTATGTGTATTTGCACTCATGCATACACACATTGCCTTGCTCTGTCAACAGTAACACCCCCATAATAAAGAACACACCCATGGGCCTCCCCTTGTGGCGCAGGCCACCGGTGAGGGTCCCACATGGCGAGAAGACCTCTTCTGCCATGCCTGCTGTTCCCCTCAGCAGTGTATTTCATCAGTCTGCCTGTTCTGTTCCCTGCTCTGGCTCTGGTGAATTCTCTCACCCTCCTGCGCTTCTGACTGTACCCAGTGCTTGTATAAATAAATAAATCCTTAAAAAAAATAATAGGGCCTCCCCTGGTGGCGCAGCGGTTGAGCGCTGTGCTGCAAGGCTGCCCGCAGCCTCTGCAGCACTGGTTCATTCCCTGGCCGCCGGCGAGGGTCCCACAAAAAAAAAAAAAAAAAAAGAGTAATTGATTGGTGTGGTTCGTAGACTACATTAATCAGCTCAAAAAAAAAAAAAAAGTAATAAAGAACATACCCAGTGCCAGATTTTGGTGTCTAAATCCTCTGTCCAATGAAAGGAATTGGTGCTACTTGGAGCAGTGGAATTTTATTACAATATATTTACCAGTAAATGAATGTATCAATACTTTGCAAGTATGTGAACTCACACAAAATCTATCACACTGTGTCTATACTTTGTTATGACTTGATTTTTCTTCTCTCAATTAATTGTGTGTGATATTCACAAAGGTTGGTTTGTGGAGCTAGTTCATTTATATTGTTGACTAGTGATAGGCTATATTCTTTTTTTTTTTAAAGATTTATTTATTTTTATACAAGAACCGGGGTACAGGCCAGATGTGCGGGAGGGTGAGAGGATTCACCAGAGACAAAGCGGGAAACAAAACAGGCAGACTGAAGAAATACACTGCCTAGGGGAGCAGCGGATGAGACAGGAGAGGTCTGCTGCACCATGTGGGATTCTCATCGGCCGGCCGGGATTGAACCTGCGCTGCAGAGGCAGCGGACAGCTTCACAGTGCAGCGCTCAACCACCTGCTCCACCAGGGAGGCCCAATAGGCTACATTCATATTACACAATTTACCCATTTTTCTATAGATGGATGCTTAAGATATAGAACTTGTACAACTCTTCCTTTAGAAGGGCTGGAAAGACATTTTATATTAGATTTTATTCTCTGTGGATTGTTTGCTTGTGTTTTTCTAGATTGAACTTGGGTGTCGACCTCAGTGAGTATGAGAGAAGAGAGGTTAGCTGAGGTCTAGAAGTTGTGAGGAGAACAGAAGCAGATGCAAAGCTGCCACTGTGTGTGACTCCTTGAACAGGAAGAATTTGTTCAGAACCTGTTACCAAAGGAGGAGAATCACTTGCTATCTTAGTAAGACAATCTTCAGTTTGATCAGATAAGCCAAATTGCTTTACAAATTTGTTGTACAATTTATATTCCTACCATCAGGGTTTAAGATCGGCTGTGTGCCACACATATGCTGAGACCTAAAATTTTCAGATATTGCCTATTTGAAGAATGAGACTAGCTCTTCTTGGGATTGTGATTTTAATTCCCCCTTTCCTGATACTCAGAGATTGAGCATTTTTTTTTGTGTGTGTGTGTTTATTTCACTCCTCTGACAATTAATTATCTATAGCTTTTATCCACTTTTTAAAAAGATTTATTTATTTATGCATACAAGAACTGAGGTACAGGCCAGAGGTGTGGGTGGGGGAGAGGATTCATCAGAGACAGAGTGGGGAACAGAACAGGCAGACTGACTGAGATACACTGCTGAGGGAAGCAGCAGGAGAGTCAGGAGAAGTCTGCTGCACCATGTGGGTAGCTCCCTGGCCAGTGGGGGATCGAACTGGTGCTGCAGAGGCTGTGGACAGCTTCACAGTGCTGCGCTTAACCCCTTGGGCCACCAGGGAGGTCCTAATCCACGTTTCTAACTGATTGCCCTCTGTTAGGGGTACATTATACATTCTTTATAAATTTTATATATGAAATCTTTGTAGTTAAATGATTCATTTATACCAGCCTATTGCTTTTCTTCTTAATCTTAAAAAAATGTCTGACTTAATTATGGTGATGTTGACTTTTGTCACCTTGTTGGGTGATGTTTGTCAGGTTTCTTTACTGCAAAAATCTTTCCTTTCTCCCTCCTTACCTCCCTCCAACACCTTTATTGCTAGGGGAGAGGTGCACTAAGGAGCTCTTGATGGGGCATGTCCTCCATTTCACCATCAGTAAGTTCTGGCTGCGCAGCATGGCACTGGCACTGGTGCTGGAGCTGGCGCTGGGGCTTCTGGCCATCCATGGGTTGAGGAAGGACCTCTTCTTGTGGATCTTGTGCACGATGTTGCTGAGGTTGACCCAAAGTGTTCTTGTCAATGGTGGTCTACACGTAGGAGGTGGCCAGCTTTCGTGTGCCGGATCTCTGTTTCATGACCACCCCCACGCCTTTGCAGCCGCTGCCAGCTGCACGCCCACAGTGTTGTGGTGAATCAGCCTGTTGTAGCTGAAGGAGCTGTGGTCCTTGTCATTATTAGCTTCAGTGGTGCACTTTTGCTTGTCCTGCTCCACGAGGGGGCAGCTGCAGTTCTCAAAGACCACCTGTTGTTTGCATTTTCATGTGTCTTATAACATGCTTATTTTCTCCCTTTCTGGGGAGAATTATGTTGTTGTGTTTTAGACTTAACCTCTATTTGTTCCATCCATCCATTCAGCCAGCAAGCCAGCCAGCCAACCATCCAACAAATTAGTATCAAACACCTACCATGTGCCAAGGACTGTGTAGGTGTTGGAATTCCTTCTGTGAACAAGACAGATAGGAAGCCCACAGTTTATTTGGGGAAAATAAGTAAGGAGGAAGTTTTGCCAGAGGAGGAAATGTCTGAACTGAGTCTTGAAGGCTAAGTCGGAATCTGTCAAAGGAAGGGAGGAGGGTAGATTATTCCAGGTTTTGGCAGTGGTGAATACAAAGAGCCAGAGGCAGGAGCATCTGGAAGTTTGTTCTGGGAGCAGAAAGCATGTGGAAGGACCAGAGTAGTGTCCAGTAGTATCATTGGGAGGTTGAGTGTGGGCCATGGTGCAGGTTGGGGTAAGTTCACCAAGTTCCTCTTAACTTCTATTTTTCTCATTGAATTAGAAATCTGGAACTCAGTCCATGGTATTCATGTTATTAATACTGGTTAATTGAATATTTGAAGCAATTTTGAGCAGAATTCCTGCCTATTACAATTTATGCTCCTCTCTAGCTGCATGGAATGTCTCAGTTCCCACTTTAGGAGATTGAAGTGAAGACATTTTGATTCTCCAATTCCATTGTAAGAAAGAATATATTACTCTAGAGGAATGCTTCTATAATCCATTATAAACAAGGGGTTTCCTATCTAGACTGCCTCAGATGAGATGATGCCTCAGTTTACATTTATACCTTACCCCAGCTTTATTGAGATAAGATATTAGAATGACAAAGAACTTTGAGCACCTCTAGGGGGTACATTGTACTGATTTGTTACAAGTGTATATTGTGAAACCATTACCACAGTAGCATGAGTTAATACCTCCACCCTCTCACATAATTACTATTTCATTTTGTTTTTGTGCTAAGAATATTTAATATATATTCTCCCCATTTCTCCGCCCTTCCAAGCCCTGGAAGTCACCATTCTGCTCTCTATGAGTTCAGCTTTTTCAGAGGCTACGTATAAGTGATTTCGTGTATCTTATTTATCTATTTATTTGTCTTGCTCTGTCAAGTTTATCTCATTTAGAATACCCTGATGGTCCATTCATGGTGCTGCAAATGGAAGATTCCCTTTTCTCCTTATATTTGAATAATACTTCATTGCGTGTGTGTGTATACACACACACACACACACACACACACACACATATATATATATATACACACACACAAATATATATCCTGTATCTTCTCTATTCATTCACCCGAAGATGGACACTTAGGTGGCTTCCATATCTTGGCTATTGTGAATAGCTGTAATGAACACAGGGATGTAGATATTTCCTTGAGATCCTGATTTTATTTCCTTTGGAGGTATACTCAGACGTGGGATTGCTGGATCATATGGTAGTTCTCGTTTCAATTTTTTGAAGAAATTTCATACTGTTTTCCATATCAGCTATTCTAATTTACATTCTTATTAACTGTGCTCAAGTGGTTTGGTCCCTTTTTTCCATCTCTTCAGCAATATTTTTTATCTCTTGTCTTTTTGATGATAGCCGTTTCAGCAGGTGTGATGTGATGTTTCCTTGTGATTTTGATTTGCATTTTTATGATAATTAGTGGTATTGAGCACTTTCTCACATATTTTTTGGCTATTTGTTTGTATTCTGTGGAAAACTGTTTATTTTGAATTTGTCCATTTTAATTTTTTTGCTATTGAGTTGTGTGAATTCCTTATATATTTTGTATATTAACCTCTTAAATATGATTATATATAATATATACCCATATATATGATTTTATATATACATATGTAATAATATGTGTTAAATGTAATAATATGTATTCCCATTCTGTAAGTTGCCTTTTCATTTTCTTGACAATTTCTTTTACTGTGCAGATGGTTTTTTTTTTAAGGATTTTATTTATTGATTGATTTATACAAGCACTGGGTACAGTCAGAAGCACAGGAGGGTGAGAGAATTCACCAGAGCCAGAGGGGAGAACAGAGCAGGAAGACTGATGAAGTACACTGCTGAGGGGAGAAGTGGGCAGCAGGAGAGGTCTGCGTGCCATGTGGGACCCTCGCCCGGTGGCCAGGGATTGAACCAGCGCTGCAGAGGCTGCACCCAGTGCTCAACTGCTGCGCCACCGGGGAGGTCCTATGCAGATGCTTTTAAGTTTGATGTAGTCCCACTTAATTACTTTGCTTTTTATTTTGCTCGTTCTTTTGGTGTCATATCCAAGATATTGTTGTCAAGACCAGTGTCAAGATTTTCCTGTTTTCTTCCAGAAGTTTGATGGTTTTAGGTCTTATGTGTAAATTAAATCTTTAGTTGACTTTTGCGAGAAGTGTAAGATAGGACTCCAATGTTATTCTTCTGCATATAATTATCCAGTTTCCCCAACACCAATTGTTAAAAAGACTATCCTTGTCCCACAGAGTATTCTTGGCTTCTTTGTCAAATATTAATTGACCATAAATGTGGGAGTTTATTTGTGGGCTCTCAGGTTTGTACTGTTGGGCTCTGTGTCTATGCCAGTACCATTTTGTTTTGGTTACTACTAGCTTTGTAGTATAGTTTAAAACCAGGAGGTGTTCTTTTTCAGGATCGCTTTGGCTCTTCAGTGTCTTTTCTGGTTTCATACAAATTTCAGGAATTTATCTATTTTTTGAAGAATGTCATTAGAATTTCGATATGGATTGCATTGAATCTGTAGATGAATTTGGGTAGTATGAACATTTAAACAATATGGATTTTTCTGATCCATGAACAGAGGATATCTTTCATTGCTTTGAGTCTTCTTTAACTTCTTTCCTCAAAATGTTTTTGTTTTCAGTGTATAACTCTTTCACCTTGGTTAAATTTACTCATAATTATTTTATTGTTTTTGATATTATTATGAATGGAATTGTTTTCTTCTGGTTTTTTTTTTTTGATATTTTGTTGTTAGTATATAGAAACAATTGATTACTAGTATGTTTGTTTCATATCCAGAACTTTTACTTAATTTGTTAATTCATTCTAATATTTTATGGTGGAATCTTTGACTTTCTATGTATAAGATCATATCATCTGCAAATAGTCAATCTTCCATCTTTTTTTCCAAGTTAGATGGCTTTTATTTTTTTTGCTTTCATAATTGCTGTGTTTAGGACTTCCAGTACTGTGTTGAATGAAAGTGGCAAGAATAGGTATCCTTGATCATAGATGAAAAGTGAAACTTTCACCATTGAAGATAATGTCATGTATGGGCTTGGGATTCATGGCCTTTATTAAGTTGAGTTTCAGTCCTTCTATGCCCAATTTGTTGAGATTATTTTGGTCAAGAACAGATGATATAGGGCCTCCCCAGTGGCGCAGCAGTTGAGCGTTGGGTTGCGAAGCTGCCCGCAGCCTCTGCAGCGTCAGTTTGATCCCCAGCTGCTCCCCGCCACCGGAGGAGGGTCCCACATGGCGCGCAGACCTCTCCTGCTGCCCGCTGCTCCCCTCAGCAGTGTACTTCGGTCCTTCTGCCTGCTCTGCTCCCCGCTCTGGCTCTGTTGAATTCTCTCACCCTCCCTTTCTTCTGACTGTACCCAGTGCTTGTATAAATAAATAAATAAATCTTTAAAAAAAAAAAAGAACAGATGATATATTTTGTCAAGTGCTTATTGTATATCTATTATTTTCACTCTATTAATATGGTGTGTCACATTTGTTGATTTATATATGTTGCATAGGTATATTCTTGCATCCCAGGGGTAAATACCACTTGATCATGACATATAACTCTTGTAATATGTTGATGAATATTTGCATTTACATTCATCAGGATATTGACCTGTAATTTTCTTTTTAGTGTACTGTACTTGTCTGGTTTTAGTATCAGGGTAATTCTGGTCTCATAAAATGAGTTGGAGAATGTTCCTCCTCTTGAATATATTTGAAAGTTTGAAAAGGATCAGCAGTCTTTTTAAAATATATGGTGGTATTCACTAGGAAAACCTAGTTCTGCTTCCTCTTCTGTACAATGAGGAGTTTGTCATATTGCAGCTGAGAATTCTTCCAAATTTGACATGCCATGAGTTTAGTTTAGTTGATGTTTCTAGCTATAAAAACTTTCAATGAAAATTCTTGTAGTGGGAACTCTACTTACAAAATAATAATGAGGCTTCTGATTACAAGAGACATAAACCAAACCAAATTTAGTTTAAGTAAAAAAAGGAGACTTTATCTAAAGCATATGGGGAGAAAGATGGCATGGAGCCCTAGGGCAAGAATTGAACTGGATCTCCAGAAAGGACTGGAGCTAGGAATGACACAATCTTGAAGGATTCTTCTCTACTCATTGGGCTTACGTGCTTGGAGAATGGGATGGTTGGTTTGTGAACTGGGCAGAGATTCCAAAATGTATCCTTTCCACCTCGATTATGGTTTTCCTTTGGGGAGGTGTTACAGAAGTATGGGAATGTGGGTTTGTCCACAGGTGTCTTGTCCTGAGAGGTGGCATTATTGAAAACCTCATGGGTCAGGGACAGGAGAATGTGGATATACAAATGAGTGTGTGTGTGTTTGTGAAAAACTTGTCGTGGATCATACTTAGAGAGCAAACCCATCTTCTGGTGTCTGTTTTTCAGGGCTGAGCCCCAGGCTTGGCCATGGATCACAATAGAAAATTCACAACATGTGCTTATTTTTACAGTTGGGCCAGTAGAAAAGAAAGAAGTAAATATTCTTGCTAATAAGGAAGACTCAAGGTAGAGGTTATGGATGTGGCAGACTTCTGGTCACACTTCACCATAAAGGAAGGTGAACCAGTAAACCAGGCCTGAAGGGTGGAATAATGGAGTTCATGGGTGGAGGATGAGCTGCTTGGTTTAATTTCAGTGTCCTCATCTGTCAGTGAACTTTTCTCATCTCTCTGCAGCAGAGTGAAAGTGTCCCTCAGCCAAGCGCCCAGGGCTCTAGTCTGCCCTCAAGATGGTGGGTGAAGGCCCCTACCTTATCTCGGATCTGGACCGGCGAGGCCAGCAGAGGTCCTTTGTGGAGAGATATATCCCAAGCCTGAAGACCATGATTCCAGTGAGACCCAATGCAAAGTAAGCCAGGGAGAAGATTGGAGGGAGGTTTAGGACAGAGCCACCAATTATAATTTCCAATCTTTTAGGAGATTGGTCACTGTCCCTGTTCTCTTTGCTGGTACTCAAGCTGCTTGTCCTTTTATCCATTCCATCCACCCACCCACCCATCCATCCATCCACCCACCCACCCACCCATCCATCCATCCAGAGCATACGTACATCTGTCCATATACCCATTTATTCATTTATTGACCACTCATTTCTTGACCTCTCCTGTTGAAAGGTAAGGGCATGGGCTACCCTCCTTCGCCTCAGGCAGAAAAGATACTCACTTTTGGACTCTGTTAATAAGTGCTTTGCAGAGAGGCAAGGCAAGGAATTGTTTAAGAGAATGACAGGACCTTGGAGTTAGTAAGCACTGGTTTGAATCTCTGCTCTGCTCTTACCAGTTGTAAGTCTTTGGCCAAGTAATCCAGCCTCCCTCTGCTCGATGTTACTGTCTACAACATGGAATCATAACTACCCCAACTGTCCACTTCACTGAGTTGTGATGATGTTATGAAGCAATGTATGACTTTATCATAAAAACTAACTTTCAGAGAATGGTACAATATTTCAGGCACATAGTACCTTGTTAATGTTGTCTTAGCTCGAGTGCTCCAAAAGCAGGGCCTAGGGCAAGTCATCAGTATGAGCCTGCACGTACATGACAGTGTTCTCCATAGCTGAGATCAGAGGCACATGTGACAGGAGCCTGGGACTCAGCATCTTGACATCTGCAAATGTTTTACAGGGCCTGGGACATACAATTAGATATTATTCTGTGTCTGTGACTTTCATTCTGCATTAGATGGTTAATTCCTCAGGGGCATTTTAATTTCTTTTTCCTTTTCTCTTCCTTCTTCTTGGTTTCTTCTTCTTCATCCTCCTCTTTCAACTGCTCCTTTCCATCTTTCCGCCTCTCTCCTTTCTCCTCCCCCATCCACCTCCTTCACTTTATGAGGCATAAATGATCCTCGCAATATAACATGAGTGTGCCTCTAGCTCTTGCCTCTTCCATTCGCCTCCCCCTGACTTGGCACACCCTGCACTGCCCACCTTTCAGTCTTCTGAGAGCAAAAACATGTGTCTGATTCTCCTAATAGTAACTGCCGGTCTCCATTTCCTCATGGATGGTCATGAATTTTGAACATTGGGTCAGCAACTGGCTCACTAAATAAATCCCATGGTTGGGAGCATTTGTCAATTTTTTGTGGTGTAAATACTACTATCCTGGCCACTTTCAAGTAGCCAATGTGATGTCACTGAATGCCAAATCAGGAAGAGATGCACAAGGACCCCTTACATACCATGTATGGTATTTCTTCCGTCCAGACACAACAGACTAAACAATCTATACAAGTAGAGGTGACCTCAAGATCTAGTCAAATCTAAAGTGATGTTTTGAGTATTTACTGCCTCTGTTTTTAAGATAACTTGCTTATATGTCTGTAATTTATTTGTTAACGTTGGCTGCGTTCAACAACTTGTAAGGTTCCTGATGTTTTCACAAGCTGCCCTAACTAATCCCAGCTACCACTGCTCAAAGGGCTGACAGGTTCAAGCACGGTCTGAACGTGGCCATGGTTAGGAATTACGGTGTTAGGAATTCTAGCCAGGGAGTTGGGGCACTGATCCAAGTCCTGGACACTGATTGTCTCATTTGTCTTAGGTTGGCACCCAACCCCGTGGATGACGCAGGCCTGCTCTCCTTTGCCACATTTTCCTGGCTCACGCCAGTGATGATGAACGGCTACAAGCACAGGCTGACTGTGGACTCCCTGCCCCCGATGTCCCTGTATGACTCATCTGACCTCAATGCCAAAAGGTACAGGATATGTGGGGTCACCTGGGGAGAGGAAGCTGACTGTGAGAGAGCCAGCGAGCCCTTTCATAGGCTTCCATTTCCCCAGTGTGGGAAGGACACCTGTGGGTCCTGGTGGCCATTTCTCTGAGATCTGAGATGGGGGCTAGGCTGACTGTATCTCTTGGCCCAATCTTTTGGGAGCTGTGGAACAGGAAGGAAGGTGGGGAGAAAGGGCCTCTTGAGAGCCACGCCTAAGCCTGAGCACCTTCTGGCTCGGCTGCCTGCTGCTGGGCAGGAACACTGTGTTCAAATGGGGGTGCTGCCCACTGGCTGGGTGCTGCTTGTGGCTCCAGGCATCAGGCTTTATTTCACTTTAAAAATCATTATCAAACTTCTCTATAACAAAGTACATTTATGTTGAATCAAAACTACTGATATTTGATGACCTTGACTTGCAAAAATATAAATTTCACTAGTTCAACGTAGGTCATAGTTTTTATTAACATGTCAAGCAGCAGAAGCATAAGCAATGGGGGAATTCCCTGCTCTACTGCCCAGAGGTAAGCGCTGGTAAGTGCTGGCCTGGATGTGTCCGGAATGTTTCTATTCTGATTAAACATCTGCTATCAAATCAAGACCTTTTATTTTCCTCTTTACTCTTGAGTCATTCTTTTCTTCTCTAAACAACAAAATAAGCAACTATATCAGGTATGTTTTCAAGGAAGAGTTGCTGTTTTCTGGTTAGAGTTCATTAGAATTTTTCCATGTTGGCCCCAAAACATCAACCTCATTCTTTGTAACAGTGACATTGAACGTGGAGGTCCTAATGAACAATATGTCTTAGGCAGTTGGGGGGTTCTTAGAGCCTCCTCTCTGCATTAATTTCTTCTAGAAGTGTCCTTATCTTTGGCCACATGGGGTAAAGTGCAAGACATATCATGGAGTATGTGCTTACAGGACTGAGAGTTTTATTTATTTATTTATTTGTTTGTTTTTGTTTATATTATTATTATTTTAATTTTATATATTTTTACATCATTTTTCATTTTTGCACAATGTATGCATTTTCATCTTGGTTATATTCCCCATACAATTCCCACCCCCCCTTGTTTTGATCCTACTCCCTCCTCCCCACCCCCAGCATAGTGTGTCTCTGGTTTATAGCTGCTTTTTGATTTTGCTCAGTGAAATAAGCCAGAAAGAAAAGAAAAATATCAGATGGTTTCACTCATAGCAGGAATTTAGAAAACCTAAATAAGGGACCAGGAAAAAGACAATTTATTTATTTATTTTTTATTCTTACAATGTTTGCTTTCTTTTCTCAGGTGTTGTCCCCATAGAATTTTCACCACCAATTCACCTGGACACTATCACCATGGTCCCTTGTACTCTTCCAGCCCCCATTTTGATCTTTCTCCCTCCCTCTCCCCTATAGAATGCCTCTGATTTATAGTTGTCTGTTTATTTTTGTTCTGTTTTGCTATTATCATTTTTTCCCTTGATCTTCTATATTCCTCCTATAAGTGAAACCATTTGGTAGTTTTCTTTTTCCTTCTAACTTATTTTACTGAACATAATCCCTTCAATTTCCATCTGTATTGTTTCAAATGGCATTAGTTTATCTTTTTGATGGCTGAACAGTATTCCACTGTGTATTTATACCATATCTTCTTGATCTGGACTGGGAGTTTTAATCGTGGTCTTGCAGGGACTTCTACAACTGTGCTCCCCCTCCACTGTGCTCTACAGGAAACTCCCTCAGTGGTAGTTTCTAAATGTACAGTCTGGAGAAAGTTGCCAACAAGTTAAGAGAGAGAGGGGCTGGACCAGTGTCATTGGAGGACTGGATTTTCCTTCTGCCTCTCCGGTTGCAACATCTCTGTTTTTTAATGTTTCCTTCCATTCCCCAAACACCAGCTCAGATCCTCTCCTCTTCCAAGCCATGCCTGTTCTGAGACGATCTCATCCACCCCAAAGACTTAACACACCAAATACACGCAGACACCCAGCCTCACATGCCTCACCAGTCCATGCCTCTCTTTCTTTCTTTCTTTCTTTCTTTCTTTCTTTCTTTTTTAAGATTTATTTATTTATTTATGCATACAAGAACTGGAGTGTAGCCCAGAGGTGTGTGTGTGTGGGGGAGGTGAGAGGATTCACCAGAGACAGAGTGGGGAACAGAACAGGCAGACTGACTGAAATACACTGCTGAGGGGAGCAGCGGGTGAGACAGGAGAGGTATGCTGTGCCATGTGGGTAGCTCCCTGGCTGGGGATCAAACTCGTGCTGCAGTGGCTGCGGACAACTTTATAGTGCTGCGTCTTAACCCCTTGCGCCACCCAGGACCCACCACGCCTCTCTTTCAGGCTGAATTCATGTCCCTGATGGGACAGCTGCATGGGGATGACTGGTAAGCACCTTCATATGAAGCTGTTTTCTTGATTATGTGACAATGCTCTTCTTCTCTTCTCTTTCACCATTTCTGTAAACTCCAAAGTTGGTCAAACTGGACAACTGGGACCTCTGACCCCATTCTCCTTTTTTTTTTTTTTAATGTCTTTGTCTCTTTTTTTTAATAATAAATTTTATTTTTGTATTCCCCATACAATTTTAACCCCCCCCATTTTGACCCCAATCCCTCCCCTCCCTCCACCCACCCCCCAAAAGTGTCTCTGGTTCATAGATTTTTGTTGATTTTGATTTTCACTTTCTTATAGTTATTCATTTTCCTGGTCCCTTATTTAAGTTTTCTAGATTTCTGCTATGAGTGAGACCATCCGGTATTTTTCTTTTTCTTTTTGGCTTATTTCACTGAGCATGATCCCTTCCAGCGCCATCCATGTTGCTGCAAATTGCATGTGTTTATCTTTTTTGAATGCTGAGTAATATTCCATGGTATATATGTACCACATCTTCTTGATCCAGTCATCTATTTTTGGGCATTTGGGCTGTTTCCAAAGCTTAGCTATTGTAAATAGTGCTGCTATAAACATAGGGGTGCAGGCGCTCTTTGGAATGGATGTTTCTGTGTCCTTTGGGTAAATACCTAGGAGTGGAATTGCTGGATCCTGTGGAAGCTCTATGTTTAGTAGGTCCAGAAATCTCCACACAGCTCTCCATAGTGGTTGGACCAGTTTGCACTCCCACCAACAGTGCAGAAGAGTTCCTTTTTCTCCACACCCTCGCCAACATTTGTTGTTGCCAGTTTTTTTAATATGTGCCATTCTCACTGGTGTAAGATGGTGTCTCATGGTAGTTTTGATTTGCATTTCCCTGATGACAAGTGATGTTGAACATTTTTTCATATGCCTGTTGGCCATTTGCATTTCCTCTTCAGAGAAGTTTCTTTTTAGCTCTTCTGCCCATTTTTTGACTGGATTATTTTCTTTGTTGTTGTTGAGTCTCATCAGCTCTTTGCAGATTTTTGTGATCAATCCTTTATCATTAGTGTTGAGTGCAAAAATGTTCTCCCAGTTGGTGGGGTTTCTCTTTGTTTTGGTCATTGTCTCTTTTGCTGTGCAGAAGCTCTTTAATTTGATGTAGTCCCAGCTGTTTATCTTTGCCTTCACTATCACTGCTTTGGGTGATGTGTCTGTAAAGATGTCTTTGATGTGCAAATCACGTAGTGTTTCGCCTATATTTCCTTCTATGTATTTTATGGTTTCAGGTTTTATGTCTAGTTCTTTAATCCATTTTGAGTTGGTTTTTGTGTATGGTGTGAGGTAGTAGTCAAGCTTCATTCTTTTGCATGTAGCGGCCCAGTTTTCCCAGCACCATTTATTGAACAGACTTTCTTTGCTCCAATGCATATTCTTTGCTCCTTTGTCAAATATTAGTTGACCATAAATCTGTGGGTTTATTTCTGGATTTTCTATTCGATTCCATTGGTCTGTGTGTCTGTTCTTGTTCCAATACCATGCAGTTTTGATGATTATGGCTTTGTAGTATAGTTTGAAGTCTGGGAGTGTGATGCCTCCATTCCCTTCTTTTTTTTTCAGGAGAGCTTTGGCTATTCGGGGTTTTTGGTGATTCCATATGAATTTCATCAATAATTGTTCTATTTCTTTGAAGAATAACATTGAAATTTTTATTGGAATAGCATTGAATCTGTATATTGCTTTTGGTAGGATGGCCATTTTAATAATGTTTATTCTTCCAATCCATGAGCAGGGGATGTCTTTCCATTTCTTTGTATCTTCTTCTATTTCTTTTAACAGTGTTTTATAGTTTTCTTTGTAAAGGTCCTTTACCTCTTTTGTTAGATTTATTCCCAAGTATTTGATTTTTTTTGTTTCGATAATAAAGGGGATGTTTTTTTTCATTTCTTCTTCTTCAGATTTATTGTTAGTGTATAGGAAGGCTTCTGACTTTTGCATGTTGATTTTGTATCCTGCCACTTTGCTGAACTGATTGATGAGTTCAATTAGTTTTTCTATGGAGTTTTGGGGTTCTCTATGTATATTATCATATCATCTGCAAATAGTGATAGTTTGACTTCTTCTTTTCCTATTTGGATTCCTTGTATGTCTTTCTCTTGTCTTATTGCTCTGGCTAGGACTTCCAGTATTATATTGAAAAGCAGTGGTGAGAGTAGACATCCTTGTCTTGTTCCAGATCTTAATGGAAATGCTTTCAGCTTTTCACCATTGAGAATGATACTGGCTGTTGGCTTGTCATAGATGGCCTTTATGATGTTGAGGTATGTTCCTTGTATCCCAAGAATTGCAAGGGCTTTTATCATGAATGGGTGTTGCACTTTGTCGAAAGCTTTCTCGGCATCTATTGATATTATCATATGGTTTTTATATTTCTTTTTGTTGATGTGTTGGATAACGTTGATTGATTTTTGGATGTTGAACCATCCTTGTGTCCCTGGAATGAATCCTACTTGGTCGTGGTGAATTACCTTATGGATACACTGTTGGATTCTGATAGCTAAAATTTTATTGAGGATTTTTGCATCAGTGTTCATTAGGGAGATTGGCCTATAGTTTTCTTTTTTTGTGTTGTCCTTGTTCGGTTTTGGTATTAGTGTAATGTTGGCTTCATAGAACGTGTTAGGTATTATACCTTCCTTCTCAATTTTTTGGAAGAGTTTGTGAAGGATAGGCACCAATTCGTCTCTGAATGTTTGGTAGAATTCATTTGTAAATCCATCAGGTCCTGGGCTTTTGTTTTTGGGGAGGTTTTTGATTACCATTTCAATTTCGCTCATTGTAATTGGTCTGTTTAGGTGTTCTATTTCTTCTTTATCTAGTTTTGGGTGATTGTAGAGTTGTAGGAATTTGTCCATCTCCTCTAGATTGTTGAACTTGTTTCCATATAACTGTTCATAGTAGTTATTAATTATTCTTTTGATTTCTGCTGTGTCCGTTGTGATTTCTCCTCTTTCATTTATTATCCTATTTATTTGTGCTTTCTCCTTTTTTGCCCTTGTGAGCCTGGCTAGGGGTTTATCTATTTTATTTATTTTTTCGAAGAACCAGCTCTTGGTTTCATTGATCTTTTGGATTGTTTTTTTAGTTTCGATTTCATTTATTTCTGCTTTGGTTTTTGTTATTTCTTTTCTTCTACTGGTTTTGGGTTTTTTTTTGTTGTTCTTTTTCTAGATCTTTGAGCTTCGAGATTAGGTTGTTTCTTTGAGTTCTTTCTTGTTTCTTGATGTGAGCATCTATTGCTATATATTTTCCTCTTATTACTGCTTTTGCTGCATCCCATACATTTAGGAAATTGGTGTCCTCCTTGTCATTCAATTCAAAGAATTTTTTTATTTCTTCTTTTATCTCCTCATTAGTCCAGTGGACTTCCAGTAGTGTGGGTTTCAATCTCCACGAGGTAGGAGAGTACCTTGTCTTCTTTTTATGGTTTATTCCAGTTTGATGCCTTCATGGTCAGAAAAGATGGTTGGTATGATTTCATTCTTGGTGTATCTGTTGATGTTTGTCTTGTGCCCCAGTATATGATCGATCCTAGAGAATGATCCGTGTGCGCTTGAGAAAAATATATACTCAGATTTTTGGGGGTTTAGTGTTCTATATATGTCTGTTAAGCCCAAGCACTCTAGATCCTTATTTAGAGCTTTAGTGTCTTTTCTTATTTTTTGTCTTGTTGATCTATCCATTATTGATAGTGGTGTGTTGAAGTCTCCCACTATGTATGTGTTTTCTCTGATGTCTGTTTTCAGAGATGCCAATAGTTGTCTGATATATTTTGGTGCTCCTTCGTTTGGTGAATATATGTTAATGAGTGTTATTTCTTCTTGAAGTATTGTCCCCTTGATCATAATGTAATGACCACTGTGGTCTCTTTTTATCTTTTTAAGTTTGAAATCTGTTTTATCTGATATGAGTATAGCTATTCCTGCCTTCTTTTTTGGTCCATTTGCTTGTAGAATTGTTTTCCATCCTTTAACTTTGAGTCTATTTTTATCTTTTGCAGCTAAAAGTGTTTCCTGGAGACAGCAAAAGGTTGGGTTTTATTTCTTAATCCAGCCTGCAACTCTGTGTCTTTTTATTGAAGAGTTTAGTCCATTTACATTTAGAGTTAGTATTGATATGTTAGCATCTGTATTTGCCATTGTGTTTGTCTTTCCTTTGATTTTATTTATTTATTCTTTTAATAACTTTCTTTGGCCTTCTTTTGTTGTTATTCGTCCCTCTGAGGTTCTGGCTTTAGGACTCCTTATAGTATTTTTTGGAGTGGGGGTTTAGTTGTAATAAAATTCCAGAGTTTCTGTTTGTCTGGGAAGGCCCTTATTCTTTCTTCAAAGAGGAAGGAGAGCTTTGCGGGATAGAGTATTCTTGGTTGGCATCTGTTTTCTTAGAGTCTGTTGACTATGTCCCTCCACTCTCTCCTTGCCCGTAGTGTTTCTTCAGAGAAGTCTGATGTCAGTCTGATTGGTTTCCCTTTGAATGTTATCTGTTTCTTCCCTCTTGTTAGTTTCATTATTTTTTCCTTGTCTTGAATTCTTGGGAGCTTTACTATTATGTGCCTTGCTTATTTTTCCTTTCGTCATGGAAGTTTGGTGTTCTTCTTGCTTCTTATATATCAATTTTCAGCTCCTTCTTTGCGTTTGGGAAGTTCTCTTCAATTATATCCTTGAATATTTTCTCTGTTCCTACATCTCTCTCCTCTCCTTCTGGGATTCCTATAACTCTTATATTTCCTTTCCTCATGGAGTCAGATAGTTCCCGAAGTCTTTCTTTGGTCTTTTTCCTTCGTACTTCTCCTTCCTTTTCTGTTTTAGTTCTTTTTATTTCTGTGTCTTCAAGAGTACTTATTCGTTCTTCCATTTCATCTATTCTGCTTTTATTGCTTTTCCCAGAGTTCTTTAGCATCTCCATTAATTCTTTGATCTCCTGCATTTCTTTTACTTCCCTCTTTAGGGACTCAATTTCATTCTTCTGGTCATTAATTATTTTCCCCTTATCATTGTTTTCCTTTATGACTTCTGTCAGTTTTTTAATCACAGCAATTTTAAATTCTCTATCCGGAAGGCTCAGAAGTTCTTCCAAGTTACTGTCGTTGCAATCTAGTAGATGGTTTTCTTTTTGCGGTGTGCTTTTTTGCTGAGGAGTTGCTGGGTTGCATGTGGTTTTTCTACTCCCTACTGCCTGTTTTCTAATTTGCCGTATTCCTTGTGACACTGTGTTGCTGGTACTGGCCGGCATCTTGGGCGACCTTCCCAGCTCACCACTGGCTCCTCTGGGGAACTTCTGCTGAGTTCACAAGTCTTCAGCAAAGAAAGGTCCCTGCTGCAAAATGGTGATGCGGGAACACGCTCCCCTGCACGCCCGGTCTGCCCCAGTGGTGGGTGCTGCTCCCCTCTGGGCTGGAACTGCAGGCTAGAAGGCGCCCGGCATGGGCAAGCCTCCCAGCTTACCTCTGGCTCCTCGGTGAGCCTTCTGCTGGGTTCACACAGTCTCCAGCAAGAAAGGTCCCTGCTGCAAAATGGCGATGCGGGAACGCGCTCCCCTGCACGCCCGGTCTGCCCCAGTGGTGGGTGCTGCTCCCCTCTGGGCTGGGACTGCTGGCTAGAAGGCGCCTGGCATGGGCAAGCCTCCCAGCTTACCTCTGTCTCCTCGGTGAGCCTTCTGCTGGGTTCACACAGTCTCCAGCAAGAAAGGTCCCTGATGCAAAATGGCGATGCGGGAATGCGCTCCCCTGCACGCCCGGTCTGCCCCAGTGGTGGGTGCTGCTCCCCTCTGGGCTGGAACTGCAGGCTAGAAGGCGCCCGGCATGGGCAAGCCTCCCAGGTTACCTCTGGCTCCTCGGTGAGCCTTCTGCTGGGTTCACACAGTCTCCAGCAAGAAAGGTCCCTGCTGCAAAAATCCATTCTCCTTTTTTCCCACATCCAATTCACCCAGAAGTCCTGTTGTTGCTCTCTGTTCATCTTGCCTTCAATCTAGTGGCAAGCCACCCAGATGCAGTCTCCCCTTGTGGTCTCCTTGCTCTTGCCTTTGTTTCTTCTCTGATCCATTATGCTCACAGTAGACAGAATGTTCTTTTAGGTACGTAAAATTATCTTGTCACCTCAGCGTAAAAAATTTGCGGTGGTTTTCTTTGCCCTCAGAGTAAAATCTAAGTCTTTCCTAAAACCACAAGATTTCATGAGATTTGACTCCTCTCCTCACTTCCTCTGGGTCTGATGTCAACCCCTCTCCTTTGCTTGCCACATTCCCATCACGTTGGCCTTTCAGATCTTTGATATGAGTAAACTTCTCCCTGCCCTGAAGAATTTTCTCTTGCCTCTGGCTTTTTAATCAGGACAGATTTTTGTGCCAGTAATTGGCAGTAACAGTTGGAAATAAAGGCCTGGAAAGTGCCAGACGCCAACTTGGGCTTTTGTTGAGGCTTTGGCCTTGCCTCCCACATCTCAGTCACCCTGGAAAAGAGAACTTATGCTGCTTGTCTGGAGCCTCCGCTGCCCTCCGACTCTTGCAAGGTTTGTCCATTGGCATGTCTTCAAACAGCCAGCGGAAACGTAAGTTCCTTTCCTGCTTCCTGTTCTTTCACTACAGGTTTCGAATCCTTTGGGATGAAGAGGTAGAAAATGTTGGTCCTGAGAAAGCCTCTCTGGGCCGGGTGGTCTGGAAATTCCAGAGGACCCGCGTTTTGATAGACACCGTGGTCAACATCCTGTGCATCGTCATGGCCGCCATTGGGCCGGTGAGTGGTGCTGGCCGTGTTCTGTCTTGTCTCCTAGGCCCCCAGACCGGCAGCGAACACCATGACTTACTTTCTTTATGAGCTGCTGACTTTAGTACATTGTCATTATCTCTGAGTTCCTTGGGGGCGAATTTTCATAAAGCTAATCCTTGTCAAGCACAGCAGCCACAGCCACTGAAATTAATTAAAAAGTTTGCCTCATAAAGTCAGCTTGCTGGCATTAGCCAAGGCCTCCTCTACCAACCTCAACCCCCAGTGGCCTCTCTTCTCTCCACCGCGCTGTTTTACAGACGGTTCTCATTCACCAAATCCTCCAGCAGACTGAGAACATCTCCAGGAATATTTGGGTTGGCGTCAGCCTGTGCGTAGCACTTTTTGCCACCGAGTTCACCAAAGTCCTCTTTTGGGCACTTGCCTGGGCCATCAATTACCGCACGGCGATCCGGCTGAAGGTGGCCCTCTCCACTGCGGTTTTTGAAAACCTGGTGTCCTTCAAGATGCTGACACACATCTCTGTTGGTGAGGTATGCTGACCTAGAAGGAGTCTAATTTTGCAAAAGTAAACCCTGAGGGGGGCCTCCCTGGTGGCACAGGGGTTAAAGACAGCGCTATCAAGCTAGCCACCGGGGCATGAGTTCGATCCCGGCCGGCCAGGGAGCTACCCACATGGCGCAGCAGACCTCTCCTGCCTTGCCCGCTGCTCCCCTCAGCAGTGTATTTCAGTCAATTTGCCTGTTCTGCTCCCCACTCTGTCTCTGGTGAATCCTCTCACCGTCCCCAGACCCCCCACACACACCTCTGGCCTACACCCCAGTTCTTGTATGCATAGATAAATAAATCTTAAAAAAAATAAAACCCTGAGTTTCCTAAGCAAACATGAGAAATGCTTCCCTGTTGGAGCCTCTGGCTCCCTTGTTCGTCTATGTCCTGCCCGCCCTGTCCCATCTTCCCACTAAGTGAGGTGGAGGAGATGCAGAACATGGGTTGAATTCAGGAAAGAGTGTCCCATTCAAGCTGGAAAATGTGGAATATCCCCCTGCTTCAATTCAACTTAGGGGGAACTTCATCTAATCCTTTTGATTGTCATTCAGGATACTGAAGCCTGCAGACCCACCATGGGTACTTAATGAAACTGGTGGACCAATGGATCTGATAATTCCTGCAGTGTAGTGTGGGTTGCTGACATCATAATAAAGACCATGCCTGTTAGATTTCAGAATTCACATTTTCTTTAGTCTTTAATTTTGGCAATCATAATCTTACTCTTTATGCAAGAAAGTTTCCATAGTCAGGGAAACCCCAGGTGGTGTGAAGTGAGGAAAAGGACTTGCTTCTTTCTTATAGTTGGTCTTTAAGCATCCATTATGATCAGATTCAGTAGCATGTATGTGTGTGTGTGTGTATATATATATACACATATGTGTTTATAAGCTTTTTTAAAAAAAATCCCAAATAACTGTGTACTAAACAAGAGAAATTCATCCAACTCTATGTAAAAGAAGTCCAGAAGAGGGTAAACCAGGGCTGGCATGGGGACTTCTAGATCTTTCTATCTTCTTCCATGACTATCCCAGCACATATTTTCCATGGTTTCAGATGAATGTGGGAGATCTAGCTGTCCCAACCGTGGTGTAAGTAACTGGTAGGAAGGAGGAGAGATGAGAGGTTGGGTTGCCTCCCTTTAAGCATTCTTCCCTAAAGTCCCATTTGACAAGTTGGCTTGTATGTCACTGAACTTAGCGTAATCACATCGCCACATTCCTTCCACAAATAGGGAGATGTAGTCTTTTACTTGGACACATCACTGTCCTGAATTAAGCGGAGTTCTGCTAATAAGGAAAGAAAGATACAGAGGAAGCAACCAGCAGTCTCTCCCGCATGCTCTTAGGTGGTGATACTGCTCTTCAGTCTTTCTTCATTAGGATTCTGAGCTCTAAAAGATTGTCCTCTCCAAGGTCTCACCAGAATGACACCCACAGAGCTCCTCATGCTAGTCCTTTGATGCCTGTCTCACCATCCCCTTTAGGGTGTTTTTTCAGAGCACCAATAACCTCCCCCCCCACTATTCTGAAAGTCTTCAGTTGAGGAAACGATTGGGGGGCCCTTCCAAAGTCTGAATCCATGTGCTTTCTTTTCAGGTGCTCAATATACTATCAAGTGATAGCTATTCCTTGTTTGAAGCTGCCTTATTTTGTCCCTTGCCAGCCACCATCCCTATCCTAATGGTTGTTTGTGCAGTATACTCCTTTTTCATTCTGGGGCCCACAGCGCTCATTGGGATATCCGTGTATATCATATTCATCCCCATCCAGGTAATGGCAGGTATTTACGGTTATAACTCTCTCTCTCTTTCTCTCTCTCTCTTTCACACACACACACACACACACACACACACAACTGGATAGAAGGGTTTGTCTCTAGGACTTTGACCTGAAGCTGGTGCCCCCACTTTGAGTCAATAGATGTACATTCTTTCATTGACACACTGTAGCTTTTTACAAAGCTGGAATTTGAAAGCTTTGGGGAAGAGGCCACATCTCCTCAGCACACCCCTTGTACATCACCTATATGATCCCCAGTAGGTCCCCATCCCCCGCCACACACAACTCAAGGGAGGGACTCAGCTGAGAATCTCAGGTCCACTTCCCTTAGAACTTTTCCTGGTACTTAAACTCTGATCCTTGGACTTGCAGGACGACTGCATCTCAGCAGTTCTCTCTGAACACAGTGTTTATACCTTGATTTCAGATGTTTATGGCTAAACTCAATTCAGCTTTCCGACGATCAGCAATTTCAGTGACAGACAAACGAGTTCAGACAATGAATGAGTTTCTGACCTGCATCAAGCTGATTAAAATGTACGCCTGGGAGAAATCTTTCACCAACACCATTCAAGGTAGGATAAGCTGCTGCTTAAAGAACCATTATGCCCTGTAAAATGAGTTCTTCTAAGGGATTCTTAAGGTTCTTGGGGCCAGGAATTCCAGAAGAGGGCAGAGGGGGATCCCTGAGCTGCTCTGCAGCCTTTTCAAAGGATTACTGAGATTTTATAATAGACCCAGGCATTTGTTCTGGTGAACCTGAGGGCTCAGCAGGTGAGCAGGTGAATAACATATGGTTTAGCTTTTACTGAGGCAAATGAATGCTAACCTGACCACTTGCCTTTTGCAGAAATAACACACTAAAACATGATCTGAGGAAGAGCTGGCTCCAGCTATTTCCTTGACTTAGAAGATGTCTATACGTACACACCCACTCTTACACCCACCCACATATCTCTCCCTCACCTGCAGCAGCCAAGAGATGGAATGGTTTGCTGACTTGACATTCCTTGGGCAAGTATGAGGATCATATAGAGAATATTTTTTTAAAGATGATATTAAAACTATTTCAATCAAATATAAATGCAAATATAATTGTAGGAACATTTACATAATTGCTGATATAGACCCAGGTGGTTGGCCAGTTAATGATCTGAACTACTGTTACAATCGACTCTCTAGATCTACAATTACACTTTTAGACCAGCATGTAATTAGGCCTGAAGCTGTATATTTTTTAAGGAGTGGCTACAGAATACCTGCTTTGGAGCTTGCCAAAAGAAGTACTCTGGTTTGGGTCACTGGCAGCCTTCTGGAACTCTCTATTAGTACAGAACCCTTCCCCATACATTGAACTCACTTTCGTACCATTTGTCTGATTTGATTCCATTAGACTTAACTTAGTTTAACTCAATGAATATTCACCACATTCCTACTACATGCAAGACCTTGGGAACTACACACGTGATCAGGAAAAATGGTCTTTGCTTTTAATTAAGGGAGGACATGCACACCAGGTTCAATAGCTCTGAGTTTGTTGGGTCTTCCTCCAAAATATCCCTGGAAACCATCTGCTTCTCTTCCTTCCACAACCCCATCCCACACAATTATCCTCTCCCTTCTGGACGACAACAACTTTTATTTTAAAGATTTATTTATTCATGCATACAAGAGCTGGGGTACAGGCCAGAGGTGTGGGGGTGAGAGGATTCACCAGAGACAGAGTGGGGAGCAGCAGAGGTGGATAGATTGGAATACACTGCTGAGGGGAGCAGCGGGCAAGTCAGGAGAGGTCTGCTGTGCCGTGTGAGTAGCTCTCTGGCCGGGGATCGAACTCTTGCTGCAGTGGCTGCAGATAGCTTCATAGGTTACATCTTAACCCCTTGCGCCACCAGGAAGGCACAACAAGAACTTTTAGATTCAACCCTCTCCCACAATCCTTACTCTCCTTCCTTCCCTAAAATCCATTATGCACTTAGCAGCCAGTGACCTTTTAAAAATGTCAATTAGATCCTGTCCTTCTGCTGCTGAAAAATCTTTACTGGTTTCTTATCAAAGGTAGATCATTCAAATTTAGGACTTTTGAATGACATCCACATTCCTTCATGTGGCCTGTTAGGTCCAGCATAATCTGGCCCTGGTACTCTCCTGCCCTCATCACACCTCACCCCACCCCCTGGTAACTCTGCTTGAGCCAAATGAACATTCTGTCTGCTTCTATAACATCCACACTCAGGATCTTCATAGTTGCTCTTCACTCTGCTTGGAATCTCTTTGGTTAGATGTTCATGGAAACTTGTCTAATTCTCTTATTTGTTTATTTCTTTCTTTTTTTTTTTTTTTAGAAATACTTCTTTTTTTTTTTTTTAAAGATTTATTTATTTATTTATACAAGCACTGGGTACAGTCAGAAGCACCTGAGGGTGAGAGAATTCACCAGAGCCAGAGCGGGGAGCAGAGCAGGCAGAAGGACCGAAGTACACTGCTGAGGGGAGCAGCGGGCGGCAGGAGAGGTCTGCGCGCCATGTGGGACCCTCCTCCGGTGGCCGGCGAGCGGCCGGGGATCGAACTGGCGCTGCAGAGGCTGCGGGCAGCTTCGCAACCCAGCGCTCAACCGCTGCGCCACCGGGGAGGCCCTTATTTGTTTATTTCTTTAGTGTCTGTCTCTCTTACTGGAAGAGAGTTGATACTCTGTGCAAGATTGTGATGTATAAGAAATATATTTGGTCATCTGAATGACTAAACTCAGATGACACAATATATTTCTCATAGACAGTTAGATTTTATCCCTAGTTTATGATTCATTTCTCCACAAACCCTTGGAATTTCCTAAGTGTTGAGAGTGATCAAGGCACCTTTTGCTATATGAATAAAGTGACTTTTGGAAGCACCTAAGGATGGGGGCTGGTTGTCAGGAGAAATGACCATATATAGACAACTGTAACTTCTAGTCCATTCCCAGACCTCTAGGGAGGAAAGAGGGGCTGGGGGTTGAGTTCAATCACTAAGGAGCAGTGACTTAATCAATCATGCCTAAGAAGGGAAACCCCCATAACAACCCAGGAGGATGTGGTTTCGGGAGCTTCTGCATTGATGAGCAGAATGGGAGAATGGCACCCCAGGAGTGGGCATGGGAACTTGAGTTCTTCCCCTAAATTTGTCCTGTGCATCTCTGTCCTTGAATTGCATCCTCTGTAATAAATTGTGATTTATGAGTAATTGGGTTTCCTGAGTTCTGTGAACCACTCTAGTGAATTAAACCTGAGGAAGGCGTCCTGGGAATCTCCCACCGAGACCCAGTCAGTCAGAAGCACAGATAGTGGCCTGGGAGTCTGAAGTGGTGGGTGGACTTGGGAGACCCTGTGGAATCAGAGGCTATCCCTGGGGAGACAGAGTCAGAACTGAGCTCACCTCTCAGACATCTTGCTGTGTGAGAATTGCTTGTTGGTGAGCAGAATCCTCCACAAATACTAACTGGAATTACATCCGGGAACGCTATTTACCCTGTTTTCTCCTATGTTCCCTTGCATCAAGCACTTGGCATGTAGGAAACATCAGGTTAAAATCTGCTAAATGTGTGAACATGAATTAATTACAGGATAAGATGGGGAAAATTGGCCAGTTAATGATATGAACCACTGTAAGCGGCAGGGGGCTGGAGAGATTGGGAAAGTCACATGGCAGAGGTGGCTTTGAGGAATAGCAAGGATTTGGACACAGAGAGAGATGGGGAAGCCCCTCGGGTAGGAGTGAGGACCTAGAGGTGGAGAGAAGAGAGTGTTCTTGGGGGGAAAGGAGGTGGCTGGGTGATTTAGAGGCGAAGGTCATGTAGACAGCAGAGCCTTGGATCCCAGTAAGTCCAGGTCCTAATACTGTGTCCAGTACCTAAAAGGCAAGTTACTAAATTTGCTAAGAATTTCCTCTCTCATCAGAAGGATGTAGTGACCAGCTTGTCCTTGTCCCTAGTGGGGGGAAGTGGGAACCCCCTAATGAGGAGCCTGTGGGGGTCTCAGAGCCCTGGGCACATAGTGAGCACCCCAGGAGTGGCTGGGCAGCATGGTGCTGATGGGAAGGAGGTTCTGCAGGAGGGCTGGAATTGGGGTTGAGGACTTTAACCACTGGGAAGGAGGCTTTGTTTAAATTTGTGAGCAGTGCAGAGGCCTCACCTGGATTGAGGAAAAGGAGGCCTTCCCGTGGCTTTGTAGCTTTCCCCAGGCCTCCAGGCCAGCAAATGCATTTTCCTCTGCCCCTACTTTATTAAAAACCTTTTTCCAATTAGCCCCCAACATTTAAAAGTAGATGCCTTTTGGGCATCTGGCTTGCTTCCATAGCTTACCTATTGTAAAGAGTGCTGCTATAAACATAGGGGTGCAGGTGCCCTTTTGAATTAATGATTCTGTGTCCTTTGGTTAAATACCTAGTGGTACATATACACACTGGAATATTACTCAGCAATCAAAAAAGATAAACTCATGCAATTTGCAGCAACATGGATGGAGCTAAAAGGGATCATGGCTCAGCAAAATAAGCCAGAAAGAAAAAGAAAAATAGCGGATGGTCTCACTCATAGCAGGAATCTAGAAAACGTAAATAAGGGACCAGGAAAAAGACTAATTATAATAAAGTAAAAATCAAAATCAACAAGCAGCTATAGACCAGAGACACACTGGGGGCGGGGAGGGGAGGAGGGATTAGGATCAGAATAAGGGGGGGTGGGAATTGTATGGGAAATTTAACCAAGATGAAAATGCATACATTGCGCAAAAATGAAAAATGATGTAAAAAATGTATAAAATAAAAAAATGAAAAAAAATAAAAGGAGATGCCTTGACAAAGTTCAGATCTCAAACTTCAGGAGAGTGGACATGCTGGTGGTCCCTTTCTCTGAGCACATGCCCCCCAGTTTGCACTTTACATTCACCCCCTGGTCTCATTCTCTGCCCACTCGCTTCATTTGCAACTCTTGCCTGGCCCCTGAGACACAGAGAACCGGGACTGGACGGGACCTTGGAAGCCACGCAGCGCCTGGAGCTGAGGGTGGGTCTCCCCCCACGCACGCGCCGGGCTTCCTCTGGGTTAGGCCTCTCAACCCGGACTCCGCAGCACTCATTTGCGGAGGATCAAGCAGGGATAGTATGTTTCTTTAATGCTGGTGCTTCACATGCAAAATAAAGCCACTGTGGATGGTTTTCCATTTTGCAGATTTAAGGAAGAGGGAAAGGAAATTACTGGAGAAAGCTGGATATGTCCAAAGTGGAAACTCGGCGCTGGCCCCCATTGCTTCCACCATAGCCATCGTGTTGACTTTCTCTTGCCACATCCTCCTGAGACGCAAGCTCACCGCCCCGGTGGTAAGCACCATTCTCTTGAGTTAGGTTTTTTTTTGCACCCCAACTCCAGCAAGCTCCTGGTGGGAAACTCTTCCGCACCTTTGCTGGGTGCTAGTGGCAGAACACCCAATCTCGTGGACCTGGCTGTGCCAGAACTCCACCCTGACTTTTAAAGACATGTGCTCGGGCAGACGGAAGCCAGGACAGCACCGAGGTCCTTCCTCAGTCCCTGACAAGGTGGGGCTGGTAGAGCAGCTGGACAGTCTGGGCTTGCTCTCTGGTGGGGAGTGGTGGGTCCTGGAGTGCTGGTGCAGTGCTGGGCTCGGAGTTTAAATCCCCTCCACTAAGGGGATTCATGCTAAGGAGTATGAATGTCTCCTGCCATGGACCTGACAGCAGGTCCTCTGGCTGTGAGTCCTGGAGTGCTTTTGTCTGTAAAGCAAGTAAGTGCTAAGTTAAGTGTCTGGTGTTCTCATTAGCTGGTGTCTCACCCTGGCCAGGTGCATTTGGGTTGAAAGCCTCAGAAGAATTGAGGTTGAATGTGAGTTGCTGAGGTTTTTTGTAGTGGTGGGGGAGGGCTCGTGCAATCAAAGACAAAGAATCTCTGAGCAAGGGGATGGGGCTGGGGTGGGGCAGATAGTCCCTGGCTTGGGTAAAGAAGAAAAGAACTATGACATTAAGCCAAGTGTCTAAAGGGCAAATAGAGGGAAGTCAAGAAAGACAAGAAAGAGAGAAGAAGAATGAAATAAGCCAGTGGGGCTGTGCTCACAGGGGAAAAATGGCACCCAAATGAGGGATCTTGAGGAGCATGTGGGGGATGTTTGAGAAGACAGACTGCTCTTCCCTGGAATCTCTTGCGGGGCTCTGAACTGTCCTGTTTGCGAGATACTTTCATTTTCTCAGGTTCTCAGATTACTCTCACACACCTGAGCTACAGGAACCTGTAGCTAGTGTGAATGGCACAGTGCACTGAAGCCCAGGTAGAAACGACTGCATCGTTGTCACGGCTTTCTGTGACCTCAAACAACAATAATTTTTCTGCCCAACAACCCACTATGTAGGTTAATCTGAAACCACAAAGTTAATATTTTCTACGATGATGCTGTTGAAGAAATCTAGGCTGACAACAAATTCCCAGAAAGTAAGGCTCTTATTTATTTAGATTGAGAATCCCTTGCGGTTGCCTCCTCTGTTGGGGCCACATCCGTCAGAGGCCAGCCCTGGGACCCTTGTCACCTGTCAGGTGGTCTATGCACTCAGGAAAACCACAGCCTGGTTTTCCTGAGTCAACATAACGCTCTGGGGCCAGGGGAGCTGCTCCTTGTGGAGGGATGTATTTATTCATATGTGATGGGAACATTCCTCGTCATCCTTTTAATGAACTATCTCAGAGTAATTGAAATCTGGGAGGCCGTCCATGCAGCCCATTCCACCACAGGCAGGCCCTCTCTGGGTTTGCCAGTGGAAGTTGTATTATTAATTTCCTAATGGCAGTTAAGGAGAGGCCACTAATTACAAATTGGATAGGTGAGAAATGGAGTCTGAGAGATAAGCGCACACACCTCTGGGGCACTGAGGTCGCGAGAAAATTTGTCTTCATCAAAGCCACATGCGTGGCCTTTGCCACCCACCAGGCCACCCGCCAGGCTCAGTATATGGACGTGGAGGAAGATACAGAGTTTTATAAGTGCTCTATCCTCTTAGTAAAAATGAGATGGACTCTTCGTGTGGGGATATAATGGGGCCCTCTGTTCCAGTCACAAATCTTATGTCCTTTCAGGACCCAGTAAGGACTAACCCAGTGATGATGGGAGGTACTTTTTGGAATGACAGTTGGACAAAGGCTCCCAAATCTGTCCCCGGTGTGTAGGGAGGCCGGGCAGAGAAAGCAGACCCTGTGGGCGTGAGAGCCAGCAGTCACTCTCCCACAGCCAGCTGGCCAAAACGGGTCCTTGCAGGGGGTATCTGCTTCCTCTCTGGGACTGGGCAGTGTGGAGAAGAATGTTCTAGATCTGAAGAGTTGGGTGCTGCTGTAGCCACTGGGAGAAGGAATGATTTATGAAAATCTGTGTAAGGTTTTGGGTAACGTGGTCTGGATGGAGATTTCCAATGGCTTTCAGTTGGAAGCCTTCCTCCAGTCTTATTCCCTCTGGATTGACAGAGAAAAGTGTGTGCGTTCCCACCATGGGGTGAAAATCCAAAAGCAAGGTAGACTAACGTGTTTTTCTCCCTAATTTGCCACGCCATGATTTTTGAGCCCTGAAATGAAAAAAAAAATCCCTCTGAGACTCCCAATCATGTCACCATTTCTCATCTCACTAAGTTTAATCTCTCTGGATATAATGGTTCACAAAGGCAGCATCCTATCCCGAGACTTACACCTCTCTTTTGTTCCTCAGGCCTTTAGTGTGATCGCCATGTTTAACATAATGAAGTTTTCAATTGCGATCTTGCCTTTCTCGGTCAAAGCTGTGGCCGAAGCCAATGTCTCTCTAAGGAGAATGAAGGTATAACTAACTATGGGTGAGTAGGGAAGAGAGATCTCATTTTTGGGGGTGGGAAAGTTCTCAGCTTTGGGAAAGCTATGGCAACCCATTGAAGGACTGGGTCACTGGTTTTCTGGACATTAGGAGATGGTTCTCCATTTAATTGGCTCAGTATGTGGACATGGAAGAAGATACGGGGGTTTATAGGTGATCTATCTTCTTAGTAAAAATGAGATGGACTCTCATGTGGGGATATAACGGGGCCCTCTGTTCCAGGCACCAGTCTTATGTCCTTTCAGAAAGGCTTTGGGTTTGCATTACATTATCCCCCAATTTCCTGCCTAGTTTGTCCCCTGATGGATGTGGTGATGGAGTGATGAGGAGAGTGGTGAGGAGAGTGATGTGCTCGTTTAGTCACTTTTTCATTCATTTATTCACGCATCAAAAATGTGCTGTGTGATTCCTATGCACAAGGCACTAGGGGGACTGCAGATACAAGGGAGAGGTCTTCACTGTCAAGGGCCTCCAATCTAGAATAGGACTAGGTACCTCAGCAATTGCTACCCAGGGCAAGGATACAAGAGATGCACAAGAAGGGCAGACAAAGTGGTTCTGAGGTTCAGGCAATGGAAGGGAAAGGAAGAGGGAATTCCACTCAACAGAACGCCAAGGTCAGACATCTGTGAGTTGAGTAAATGATTTTGTTCCTCCAAGCCAGAAATCTGGAAGTCACCTTAAGCATCCTAGGAAACTGTACCCCCCACATCCTCACCATCCCCATCAAGTCAAGAGCCCTGTTGAATTCACCTCTTATTACTGTGCTCCCTCAATTTATGGAGGGATCTTCCACAAGACCGGATTGGCAGGTGTACTATTGAATGACCACATTTTGAACAAAATGAAGACCCGACACCACCACATTAATTGCATATATTATAACATCACATATCTTAGACTAGAGGACTGATGCTATTTTTTGATTCCTTTGTCTCTATAACCATCACCTTCATTCAAGGCCTCACCATTTCTCATCTCTACTATCCCAAGGACTTAACGAACGAATCATCCTTTCCCAGTGTCCTCTGCAAATTCAAATTGCACTGAGCTCCTAGAAAGCTGTCAATATATTGGTCTGAATACTCATATTCACCTGTTTGAAATCCTTAAATATCCATGTCCTCTCCAGCACCAGGCCTGAACCCTCCACACACTTCATTTTTTTATACCCTTTGTGAACCTCTGACCTCAATAATTCTGGGGTTTTTTTTGTTGCTTTAAAAATTTATGTATTTTTTAATTTTCTTACATCGTTGTTCATTTTTGTACAGTATTTGATTTCTCCACTCAGGTGTAGTCCCCATAGTTACCCCACCAACATGGCACCCGTGACCCATCACCACAGTCCCTTGTGTTCTTCCCTTCCCTATTTTGACACCCCCCCTCCCCCTCCCCCACTGCATGCCTTGAATCTATGGTCAGCTTGCAAGTTTACTTATAAGTAGAATATAGGGAAACTGAATGAAGTGTCAGGAGAAAGACAGAAATTGACCTCGATAATTCTGAATTGCCTTTTCCACTCCCCTGACCCAACCAACCCTGCTGTTTGCATGTTTCACAGTTGTTCTGTGCCAGAAACCCACAGCCTCTCTTCCCAGCCTTGTCTCTGCTGGGACAGAGCCTCTGCAGACTCAGCTCAGATATCAGCGACAGGGATGTCCAGGATAGGGGCTCAAGTGTCCCTTCTCTGGGACAAAGTCTAATTTCTTTATCACTGTCACATTTTTCAAAGATGATCTGTAAATGTTCCTATTTCCCCCCAGGCCTGGATCTCTTCAAGGATAGGAAACTTGCTAATTTATATTTGCATTTATATTGTTTGCCCCAGAATCTAGTGCAGAGAGGAAAGCATTTTGTTGAAATGAGCTGAATGGGGTCTCAGGACTCCTTGGTGACCTTGGTTTCATTATCATTAATGCCAAACACCACCACCAAAGGCGGGTGGAAGCTGGCTTTTTTGGGCAGGATGGTGAAATGTAGCTGAGGTCAGCATTCTCCAATGTGGGTGACCCACATGGGCCTTGGGGGTAAAGAGACATCTGTCCTAGATCATACGGGCTCGTGGGCTATTTCTGCAGCAGCTTGTCCTGGGAGAATAATGTCAGAACCTCTTTCCTGGATGTCTTAGGTAGATTTACCACCATTATGATTTGGGGCCAATAGCAGATGTATCGGGGTGATTCTTGCAAATGGATGATGTCTGCCAAGTTAATTTTGTCTTTTTAATCTTAGAAAATTCTTATAGCTAAAAGCCCCCCATCTTACATCACCCAACCAGAAGACCCAGATACTGTCTTGCTTTTAGCAAATGCCACCTTGACATGGGAGCAAGAAGCCATCAGGAAAAGCGGCCAAAAAATTGTGCAGAGCCAGAAAAAACATTTTCTCTGGAAACAGAGGCCGGAGGCATATAGTACGAGTTCATCAGCCCAGGAAGTCGCCAGCACCAAGGAGCAAAGTGGCAGCCCCAAGGCAGCTCTGCACAATATAAACTTTGTGGTGAGAAAGGTGGGCATGTGTCCCTGTGGAGTGGCCTCCTTCCTTCCTCCTTGCATTGTGTGGCTCTGGCCTTCTCAAGGCCTGAAACCACTCAGTTTGAACTGGACGTGGTGGAGAGATGTCTAACCAAGTGGTTTTCTTCCCCTAATGTAAAAACTATGTAAAAAAGCAGTAGAGACATTCTCTTCGAGCTCAGAAGGTTGTGGCTGTATTTGTCCTGACCTTCAAATGCCAAAGGAGTTGGGGCCAGTTGTAATGTTGAACAGATAATCCATGTCAGGTGGCTAAGTTCAAAATGCCTAACACTTGTGAAACTTTTCGGCCTGGTTAATTTCACACTGGAGTGCTATAATCGATAATAATAACTGATCATTATGAGCAGGTACATCATTAATTCATTTAACTACTCCAATAACCTTCCAAGGTAGTACTATAGTTAGCCCTTCTTTACGGAGGCCAAGGTCAGGCTGCTAAGCAGTGGCAGAAGAGGACTTCACTCAAGGCGCTCACCCACGGGCTGCTTTTAGCCTTCACATAGCACTGCTAGTGCCGGAAGTGAGAAGATTTCAACAAGCAACCCAGCAAAGAAAGCCAACCAGAGTGTGTTGACTGCTTGGGACGGGGAGGTAAAGTCTTCAGAAGAGGCTTTGTTTAGAAAATGCTAGACCTTCTCCTGCATGTGGTTGTCTTGCCCGAGATCGTGGCAGCAATGCTTCTAGAGTGGCAGTGTTGATTGTGCTGCGTAAGAACTCAGATTGATCTTGTGCTAGTATTTTAATCTTGCATTTTGTTGACTCACCCTTTCCCTATGTGAGCACTATAGAAGGAAAGATTTATTATGCTATGCTGAGTTCAGTAGTAACTGTGGAGTGGTGCCCCTTGCAGCTGGCAAGGCTGCCTGCCACAGATTTATTGGAAATGCTGTGCAGTCAGTTGAGTGCCTTTGAGCTCTGTTCTCAGCGAGGTCCCGCTGATTGCAACCCATGTTGCTTTCTTATCACTTTCGGGGCTGCCTGTGATGTGTATACTGGATTGCTCCAAAGCCTGCCTCAGAGCTGCTCTGGTGTCTAAAGAATTGCTTTCACTCTCCAACGGCTTCCTCCTTTTCAGTACATTGGTAGCTCCTGCACTTGGGCATCAAGGACACGGCCAATGTTTTGTGAAATAAGTTGAAGGCAGGATTGTGGATATAAGGTGTGCTCTGGAGTCTGGTGGAATCGACTTCCAATCTCAGCCACAAAACTGCTGCTTGACCTTGAATGTATTGTCAAACCATTTGAGACTCCCATCTCTGCACCTGATAGATATTTTATTTTTTTCTTTATTATTTTTTTAAAGATTTATTTATTTATTTACACAAGCACTGGGTCAGAAGCACAGGAGGGTGAGAGAATTCACCAGAGCCAGAGCGGGGAGCAGAACAGGCAGACGGACCAAAGACACTGCTGAGGGGAGCAGTGGGCGAGGCAGGAGAGGTCTTCTGTGCCATGGGGGGTGCTCCCTAGCCAGCGGGGAGATGAACCGGCGCTGCAGAGGCTGCAGACAGCTTCGCAGCATGGTGCTCAACCGCTGCGCCAATGGGGAGGCCCTGATAGATATTTTAAAAAATAACAGTACTCGCTTGACAAGAAGGGGTGAGACTGAAGAGGTACTGTACATGCACGATAAGCTCATAGTGAGTCTCCACTGATGTTAGTTATTGTTGCCTTTTTCCTCTAACCGCATGTCCAGCTTAAGTGCTGTCCTTTCATGGCCTACATTCAGAACATCCATGGTTTTCCAAGTTCAGTTCCTTGATTCCATTAGACTGTAGCCTCCTTGAGGCTAGGGTGTAGATTTGTCTTGTGTACAGCTAGTTATTACTCTGAGCCCTGTGCCCAGCACAGAGTAGTTTTCTGATAATGTTTTTGAAATGAACACATGAATAATCAGATATCCAGGATTCACAGTCCCATGGATTTCCTGCTAAGACAACGATGAAGATGGAAGACTCAGTCCTGGCTCATTATTGACTAGGTCTTCAAGGACAGCCAGGTGCCTGGGGAGACTGGATCCATGCCTGCAGTCTCTTGACTCCAAAGTCCCCATCATGCCCCAGTAACTTGAAGTCCTTTTTGTGGAATTAAAAAGGATCAGCTTCCCTTACCCGCTGTGGCTTCAAGTGACTGTGTGGGCCTCAAAAGACAGGCCCACAATTGTCTTGGTAACTGCTTTGCCCAGAGGCTTGCATGGTGCCTGACATTCAAGAAGGCTGTGTCAAAGGGAATAAGGATGACAGGTAGCAACACCCCATGCTGAGCATAGCAGGCAGGTGATGGGCCCTTCTGACCCAGCTCAGGGAAGGAGCCACATTCAGCTCCATTCTAGGCATCTTTGCTCTAAAGGACCCTAGGGAACAGGTCTTAGTGAGAATGTCCTTGGGTGTTACAGCTGCAGCATTGGACACAGATGCTGCTTGATCACAAGAGTGGGCACCTCAGACCCTCCCCGTGGGGTCTTGCTCAGATATCTCCGTGGCTCAGTCGTTACCTCCCCCAGGTCTTACTTGAACATTACCTGTTGCTGACACTGTCAGTGACCTGTATGTGTGCCCAGTTTCCTGCTGCCAGGTCTGCATCTGCTCCACCACCCATGAAGTGGCAAGACAACGTGACACAGCAGCTCTCAAGCACTCCTTGGCTCCATCAACCATTGGAGGCAGGGGAATAATAATAAAAAAATATCCTCAATTGCCCAGCAGGATCGAGCTCCATTTATCTCTCATGGCAGCTGACCTAAGAGTACACGCTCAACAGGCCACTGGTCCCTTCCTGAATCATTTCCCCGCTTCCCAAGTGGCGCTTCCTGCATCTCAAGCAGGACACTTTGACTGGAGTCCTTGATTCAGGGTCTGTTCCAGGGAGGACTCAAGCTAAGACATCTCCCTTCCCGGGGTGGGGGGTGGGGGCGTTCCCTCTGCCCTCTGCTGTCTCCTCTCTCTGTTTCCTTGGCATTCATCTGACATGCGCCATGTTTTCCTGCCCTATCCTGTGCACTGTCCATCCCCCTGGCTAACATGTGAGCTCCTGAGGGCGGACCCGTCTGTTGTGTTCATGACTGTGTTGTGCTTTTGCTGTTGTCCGAGCAGTGCCTGGCACATAGCCGCTCTTCACAGTTTTTTGGTTGAATTCATAACCTGCAGCTGTAGACGAAGCCAACATCAGGGAATGATGAATGAATCCAACATCGTGGAATAGCGTCACTTTGATAACTTCAGATTGTGTTGCTATGGTGGAAGGTTACATAGAAAAGGCTTTTGAAGAGTACCCAGCTCTTTGCTCTTGAAAGGCATCCTTGTTCCCCCACTTTGTCCAGCCTTTAACTCCCATTATTTGCTCTCCTGGAATCTGGGCACGGGACAGCCCTCAGTCCTGTGTCTTCCAGGCCAGCACCAGGCTTCTTCACACCAGCACTTGTACTTGATTTCTAGAAGCTCTCTAGGCACTCCACTGTGGGGTGTAAGGGAGGACACTGAAAACACAGGTTCCTGCCCCCTCCTGGGCTGTGTGTCAGGGTTGGGGTGGGAGGCCACAGCTGCCACTGCCTACAGCCAGAGTGACCTCTTGTCCTCCCAAGCCTGGCTGGCACAGTTTGGGGACATACATTTGGCTCAAGGGCTCTTAGAACTGGGAGAGTGACTGTGTCCTTTCTGTTTCCCTGGCAGGGGAAGGTGTTGGGAATATGCGGGAATATTGGGAGTGGAAAGAGCTCCCTTATTGCTGCTCTCCTGGGACAGGTAAGCTGTGGTGGTGCTGTGTGACAGCACCTGACTGCTGGGTTTGGGACCCATGGGAGCTGTGCACCCTGCGGAGGGCCCAGCCACCCTGGGCACCCGTACCTCTGCCAGGGGCTGAGCTTGCCACACACTCTCATGTTAAACGGTGGCTGCTTTTTTACCTCGAGCTCCGTCCTAGTCGAAGGAAGAGGTGGGTCACTAAGTCCATAGTTTCCCACGTGACTGAAAGGCCACCAAGGCACCATGGCAGGGTAGGAGCCTGTGGCTGTGACGACCTTCACTGTTTTCCCTTCATCCATCTGCATCCCCAGTGTCTGCCCAGGGCAGCTGCTCCATGAAGCCTCCCTTGATGAGAGAGAAGCTGAATGAAAACATGAACTAAAGCAGTAGCGTGTTCCAACTTCTCTTCAAACCGTGTGCTGGGAAGAGAGAGGAACTCAGGGTCTCTAGTCTGCTAATTCTAGCTGTGTGACCTCAGGGGAATGGCTGAGCCATTTGTTTTATTCATGGGCCTCTAGCTTGCCCTGGTTTGTCATCCCAAGTGATTAGAAACTTCTTGGGGAAAAAAGGGTGCCATCCTCCCTGCTCTGCGGTCCAGGGAGGCTGGGGACCTGGACTTGCCCAGCCTGTAGTGCAGTGGAACACCCCTGAAGGAGCACGGACTCTAGGCTCAGAAGAGCACCCAAACCAAAGTAGGGCTGTGTCTCTTTTTTTATAAAAGATTTATTTATTTATGCATACAAGAACTGGGGTACAGGTCAGAGGTGCGAGGGGTAGGGTGAGAGGATTCACCAGAGACAGGGTAGGGAACAGAACAGGCAGACTGACTGAAATACACTGCTGAGGGGAGCAGCAGGTGAGACAGGAGAGGTCTGCTGCGCCATGTGGGTAGCTCCCTGGCCAGCCAGGGATCTAACTTGCACTGCAGAGGCTGCAGATAGCTTCACAGTGCTGTACTTAACCCCTTGTGTCACCAGGGAGGCCCGAGGGGTGTGTCTTATGGGCTCCAACATAAGTGACTTCTTGCTCTGGACTCAATTGTAGAAAGAAAGACAAACTCCTACCCTGCCTGAGGACAGTGGTGGAGGTTGAGTCAGGCAGCAGGACTCAACTCTGCTTCTTCCATAATATTCCTTCCTGGCCCTTGCAGAGGTGGGAATTTGAGAGCCTTGAGCTGCATAATTGGGCTCTGCAGTGTGTGGCCCAGAAGGCTTGTCTTGCACCTTTACTTGAATGCTGATGGAGAGAATGGGTGTCTAGGGTGCGGTGGGCTCCTTAGTGGGGGAGGCTTGGCTCTAAAGGTGTTCTGCGTGTTGCCCCAGATGCAGTTACAGCAAGGCACGGTGGCCGTCAATGGGACGCTGGCCTACGTCTCCCAGCAAGCCTGGATCTTTCACGGCAATGTTAGAGAAAACATATTATTTGGAGAAAAGTATGATCACCAAAGGTAATAGCAACTTTGAAAACATGAGGCTTTAGTTTTGGTCCATTCTGCAACCAAGGCTGACCAAGCAGCCATTCTGCAACCAAGGCTGACGCCATTGGTAATGACTGCTAAGTGGGTTTCTGTAATGAATTCTGATTAATCGTTCATCAGATCCCAATGAGTGTTGGTTTTTCTCTGCCTGACTGTGTTGAGAAGTACCTTCATCTGTAAGGGGTGGATGGAACCAGCTCTCCATCCCCAGCATGCTCTGCCCTTCTCTGTAACGGAGCTTGTGTTGTCTGACTGGAGGATGAAAGTGGCAATTTTGTTTTTGGCCAAGTAACCAAAATACTGCTTGAAATTGTGAGCATCATGTATGCAAGTGACCAACCCTGGAATTAATGGGCATCAGAGTTATCAGGATGTCCTGATAGTGTCCTCAAAGTGATCTAAAGCAATTATATAAACAAAACTCAAGTCCTGCATAGTATAAACACTCTGGACGATTATTTTGAAATTTTGGAAAGTAGGTCTTCTTACGGCTCTTTGCCAGTTTTAGTGTGCTGCCAGGCACATTCATCAGAGCCCCATAACCACCCATTTAAGGGGATCCTGGCTTCAGAGCCCAAAGAGGGGAGTTGATTTGCCCAAGTTCAAAGCTGTTACATGGCAGAATTGAGTCTTGTACTTAGGTCTTGAACTCCAGTCAGCACTGTTTGTTCCTGCTGGAGCTGCCTAATAGCTGGGTACCCTGGAGTCTCCCCACACCCCATGATGCTGGGTAGAGACACATGTTTAAGAATCGGACAGTCAGCTCTCCAAAGTGGCCTGGACTTTCACATCTTATTGCCTGAACTCACAAATTCTGTCCTTGCTGGCCAGCCTCAGCCAGCATGTGGGCTCCCAGCAAGAGGTCTTTGTTTACTTCTCCTCTCCTCTGGCCGTGACATCCTGTCGCCAGGAGGCTCAGGCGTGGCAGGAAGGTCTGATCAGTGCAGGCGTCCTTGGCACCAGATGAACTGCTTTACTCAGCACTTCCTGGCCTGCCTTGGCCTCTGCCTCCTCCCAGCCCTGCCTGAATGATTTCTCTTTCTGCAGAAGCAGGCTAGAAGGAGGGGCTCTTGTCTACCTACTAGGATGTTTAGAGGCAAATATTTACCAAGTACTTGCAACATGCAGGGAACAACCACAGGGGACACAGAGTAGCTCAAGAGTGTCTTTGCCAACAAGGTGGTCAGGTCTGGAGGGGTGGAAGGAAATGCACAGAGACGGCAGGCATCAGTGGGAAGGTGCCAAGAGGCAGAGACTGTGCTGGATCATCTGGGTCGAAGAGAACATGAGTGGGAAGTGGGAATGGAGCTAGAATTTGGAACTTGAGGGGTGGCTCAGATACCCTTCCTCCATGGCATCCCTAGTAGAGGTTTTCTTCTAGGGTGGGCACTGTGATTTTCAGGGTACAGGAAGCAGCTGGCTGGGAGGAAGTTTAAGATGGGGTATGAGGATGGCATGGTGTGAAGGTGTGCTGAGCAATCTGCGTCTCATAGTCAAAGGTTGGTAAAGGCGAAGACATTAGTAATAGGGACACAGATGGAGAATGTGCAAAGCTTTGTGCATTATGAGTGTTTCACACACGTGTTCTGTTTCATTCCCACAACCCACTGAGAGTTATTAGCCCAGTTTTGCAGACTGCACAATGAAGAGTGAGGGTCAGGGAGATCCAGTCACTAGTCCACAGTCACCCAACTGGATTCCAACCCAGGTTGTTCTGATCCCAAAACCTCTGATCTTAACCCCCATGTACACCAGACCCCATGTCGTGAGATGGGTCAAGTGCAGGACAGTTCCCAGTTTCTGCTCCAGGGCATTGATGCTGCTGGGGTCAGCAGGGCACTTGATGGACAACTGCTCATAACTGTCCCCTCGTTCCTGTGCTGGCACCTTTTATTGAGAAAGTGTATCTGAATTGTGAGGGTGTCTGTCACTGAGCACCAAGAGAGGGTTTTGATGATGATGGTGATGATGATGTATCAATCAATCAACCAACCAACCAGTCAGCTCACCGATCAGTTACTAATGCAACCTTGTGAGGAAGGCAGCCCATCAAGTGGGACAGAAACCTAGGCCCAGGGGTGAGGCCCAGTTGCTCCTTGAGTGGGGCACAGCTTGAACTGCAGAACTGCCCCCATGAGCCCCAGGAGTTCAGAGTAGGCATCAGTTCCAGAGGCAGCTGTGTGGGCACTGGGGTGTCCTGGGGAGACTCTTAGTGCTCCTATGATGTGAGGCCTGAATATCTGAGTTCCTACCCACTATCTTATGAATTTGACTGGGTCTCTTGGTGTCAGACGTCCCCAAGGAGTAGGTGTCTCACTGGAATGATGCCCAATGACTCATGAGCTGCCAGCTTTGCTGTCCTTTGCAGGACATGGTGCTGCCTGGCTGCTGAGAGTGGGCTCGTGCCCCGCCTGTCAGACTCCTGAAGACTGGACTCCGGGGCTAGGCAGTGGGCGATGCTGAGTGGCAAAATCTACAGCCTGGGAGGTCCAGCTCACAGGTCCTATTCCTGCTTGGCCCTCCTTAGGCATCTCAGGGGCAAAATCTCTATTCTCTGCAACCTGCTGGATAAAACGAAAAAATTTAAAGGCAAAAACAAACAAACAAAAGTGCCTGGTGGGTAGAGAGAGAAGCATCCTGGAGCAGATACCAGGGTCCCCGTCCGTGGTCATCCTGCCCTCCTGTTCGTGGTCTCTTGCCCTCTGCAAAACCTCCGCCAGTGACCTCAGCCCCACGGGCGACTCCTTCGCTGACTCCCAGGCCCGGTGCCAGCAGCAACAGCCCCAGTTTTGCTGTAAGGGGCGGCGTGTGCTGGTCTCAGCAGGAGTCCTGTGAAGGGAAGGGCCGGCTGGGGCCCAAGGGCAGGAGTCAAGGGGAAACACCCTTGGATGTCCATGAAGAGCAACTGGCCCCCTCCCTTGTCTCCTTGCTCAGTGATGCCAGCAGCACCTCTGGAGGCACCCAGGGTGGGAGTGGTGGTGGGACCCTCTCAGGGTGCTGATTTCTGATCTTGTGCCCGCAGGTATCAGCAGACGGTTCGCGTCTGTGCTCTGCAGCAGGACCTGAGCAGCCTCCCCTACGGAGACCTGACCGAGGTGAGGCGCCCACTGCGGCGGCTCCGTAGCTGATGCCCAGAGCAAGGGGCCCAGGCCCAGTCAGGCCCAGCTGCCTCCCAGCCGATGCCCCATAGGCCAGGCCCCAGGAACGCTGGGAAGGCCAGGTTCTACCCTCCAGAAGTCTTCATCTATGTCCGCTCTTGAGGGCTACCACAATTGCAGTCACTCCGGGACTGCTCTCACTCTGTTGGTCATCTCAGGGAAGGTTCCTCATAGCGGGGTCCCTCTCTGACCTCAAAGACAGAGATCGGGTGTGCTGCATTGTGGCTGGGGTCTCAGATCCTTCTGGCCTCTCTGGCTCACAGCCCAACCCAGGAGTATAAGGGTCACCTCGAAACATGGCCTCTGGGTGCATGTCCCGAGAACTGACTCAGCCCCAGGCTGAGCTTACCAGCCCAAGTGACGGGGGAGTCACTGTGCCATTCTCCTGCCTCCCCACCCCGGAATGCCCCCTGCACTGTTGTCTCCCGGAAAGGACCAGGGCGCTTACGTGTCCTGGAGGAGGGCCGGTTCAGAACACACCGCCTTTCTTTGCCTCGATGTGCCCGGATTAAGGAGTGGACCAGCACAGCCTCTGCCTGGTGCCATTTTTGTGTGGCTAGCTCACCACCCACTGTCCCCCGATAACATGTGGGCTCCCAGCAGATAGGGCTTGCCTTTTCCTGTTTCCTGTGTCCCGTTCCAGTTCTCAACCCAACGCCTGGCTAAGCATAACAGGGGCTCATTTTGGGGTCAGCAGCCTAGGATTTTCTTCCTTTCAGCAAATATATACTCTGGCGCAGGCCTGAGGGATGTAATGGTGAATAAGCAGAGACAGCTCCATCTTCATTCAGCAGGGTTGCTTGGTGGGCTGGGGAGATGATCTGTAAGTCAGCACACAGAGAGCTCCCGTCCACCTGCTCCAGCCAGTGCCTGCTCCGTCCGCTTGGCCACTACCCCAGGGTTTTCTACTCAAAAATTCCCTTTAGGGTTATTGGTCAAGTCAAGAGGTAGCCCCTGCCCCTGGGTTATGCTGGGCTAGGGCTGTTGTGAGGCAGGTCCCTCACTCAACATCAGAAAGAACTTGCCCACGAGGCCTCCTGCAGAAGTGGCACCTTCTGCTCCCCAGAATGCCTGGTGAGGCAGGGCCCCTGGAGCAGCAAGGAATGAGCCATCTGCGGAAGGGCCTAGAGATGTCCCAGAAAGCCCAGGGTGGAGGGTGGGGCCTGTGATGGCCAGTAGCATTGCCCCTGTCTGCAGATTGGGGAGCGGGGCCTCAACCTCTCCGGGGGGCAGAGGCAGCGCATCAACCTGGCCCGCGCCGTCTACTCTGACCGTGAGCTCTACCTGCTGGATGACCCCCTGTCTGCCGTGGACGCCCACGTGGGGAAGCACGTCTTTGAGGAATGCATTAAGAAGACCCTCCGGGGGAAGACGATCGTGCTGGTGACCCACCAGCTGCAGGTGACTAAGGGCCCACATGATCACGGGATGGGCATGCACCTGGTGCCAAGGTCTGCCTAGACCCGCCTCTCCCAGTGGAGTCCCCTCACTGGAGGGCTGGGGAGGAGCAGGATGCACCTGCCTGCTTCTATCGGGGCACAGCCTCTGTTTGTCCTTCCTCTGGGCTCCAGGGAGCCAGGACATTTCCTTCATGAGAAGGTAGATTGTCCAGGAGCAGTGGACTCTGTCTGTGGAGTGGACAGGGCGTCTCCACCTCTGTGCACTGTGTGGGGAGATGGGAAGCCAAGTGGAAAAGGGGATTCAGACCCACCCTTCCTCCAGGCTGGACAGGCCTGAAGCCAGGGGCACCTGCTGGGGTGGGCATGACAGGGCATGGTGGACCCCTTGGGTGAAAGGGCTGTGGTCCCGGAAAGGGGCTGGGGGTCAGGACTTTGGGCCTGAGAAGTGAGAAGTCCTCCCTGCTGAGGGCTCCTCAGGCTTAGGAGCAGGAATCTTGCTGAGGAAAGTAACTGAGCGTTCACTGAAAAAGCTTGAGAACTGGCAGGATGGGGCCAGTTCTTACTGTCAGCTCTGCATAAGGGTCAAGAACCCCTGGTGCGAATCCAATGCCCTCTCTACTCTGAGACAAGCCAGGTTTCCCTGTCCTACACTGCTCCCTCTCCATAGCCGGTCCCCAGAGAGAGAGAGAGAGAGAGAGAGAGTGTGTGTGTGTGTGTGTGTGTGTGTGTGTGTGTGTGTGTGTGTGTGTGATTCCTGTCAGAGGAGAGAGCCCAGGGGACAGACATGCACTGAGGGGCCTGTTGGGACAATGAGAGCTGAAGCTCCATCTTCTTTTCTCCCCCGCATCTGTGGGGAAGTGCTCGTCAGGGATCTGGTTGGGGGTAAAAAGCAAGTCCCATGGATGAGTCAAGCTGGGGCAGTGGCCGCAGGGCAGTTGCATGGTTACAGGAAGCTCTCCCTAGCATTTTTAGGATCCTCTGTCAGTGGCCAGAAGAACCAGTCAGAGGAGGGAAGTGTCTTAAAGACCCAGGGAAGCCAGGCCTTCCCACCCTGTGGCTCTGCCCTCAGTCTGTGCCTACAAGGACCGTGTTCTCAGAAGAAGCCCCAAGCATTGGAGTCATGCATGTGGTGGCCCGGGGTTCCCCTGTGCGCCATCAGGCAGTGTCATCCGGGCTGGTGTAGGCAAAAGAGCCTCGTTGCTCTGCTGCCAGGGGTCAGGGTGGAGCAGAAGGTTGCATTTCTTCTGGAGCCACATGAGCAGACAGGCTCTTTCCCAACTAGGGAGCTAGATGTGGGGACCATAGCTCTGTACTCCAAGGGTCCAGTCCCTGGAGACCCCTGCGACATGAGGACTGTTCTCCTGAGGGGTCCTGGCATGTGGAGGGGGATTCTTGGCACCTGACAAATGTGTGTTTCCAGGAGTCCTCACCTCAGTCCTGGTCCAGTGTTTGGACTGGACCAGTATTTGGACCTCACTCACCTTGTTAGGGGGAAAGGATGTCCTGAGATAATCTCATACAGGCTTTGTGGACTCCACCCCCACTCCAGACTAAAGCCATTAGGACATTGGGAAAGACAAATCCCATTACCACCAAGGGGAGGGTGGCTGGGACCTGAGGGTGGAGTTGGGCAGCCAGGTTGGATATAAAAACCAAACACGTGGGCCTTGCTCCCTCTCTGGCTCGCGATCGCTCGCCTCCTGGCTTCACCGCTCCTGGCTGGCGGCCAACTGAGAGCGCCATTTTGGGATTCCTAATCGGCGGATTGGGTAGGACGCATTTAAAACTTTGTCTCCCACTTTTCTCCCAGAGCTGTACATTTCCTCATTTCCCTTTCCGTTGTAAATAAACCTTTTATTAACCTTTCACGTGTGCCTGCAGTAGAGCATTGATAAGTCCTTTTAAGCGCGCGGGTGAGGACCCACAGTCAGGCACCCCGTTTTGTATCGGGGTTGCTCTACAACAACCTGGCTCCAGACTCAAGCATTTTTTCACCAAGGTCATTTTACCTTCCTTTTCGCATGTTGACAATTCAAGCAGCCACCAGGTGGCACTGGAATTTCGGTCCAGCTGTCCATTGTTGGGGAGGAGGGGGTTCAGAGTCCTGGAACTGGATCTCCCAGGGGCTTTCCCAGAACATATCTCCACTGCTTTTACTCTTGGGCCCACTGGCAATTCAGATGCTTCCGTGAGCCCGGCAGTGCAATTGTTCTTCTATTACTTGAGAAAACAAATGAAATGAGGCTGGTGTCCAGCCACTGAAATCTAACCCAGGGTCAGAAATTGTGAATTTGCAGAGCAAAACTGCTCAAATCTTGTAGAGTCTCACTGAAGAGAGCTGCAAGCTTGTGAGTCAGAGGAGCTTCACCGGGAGTTCTGGGGCTGGAGTGGACACCCCCATGCAGGTTGCAAAGGCTGTGGGGCTGTCACAAGCCCCTATCTGTGCCTCAGTCTCCCCATCTGGAGAGTGGGCTGATAATAAAGCTGTCTGCTTTCCTGACTGGGTTGGGGAGATTGAGAGATGAGAGATGACATCGGGCTTTGAAAAGTTAGAAGGTACGATGAGGAGTAGGAGATTATTTTCAGGAACAGGAGTGTCTTTCAGAAAGTGTCTCGTCTAGAAGTAAGAGCCTGATTGGGCTGTGCAGGAGAGTTCAGAAGCTGGTAGTTCAAGGGAGGCTGAAAAGTTGGAGGTGTCCAAACTCTCCAACTGCTGTCCCTTGGCCTTTTGGTCTTCTTCCCACTCCCAGTCAAGTGGACGGTGACCCAATGTAGCTCTTTCAAGCTTCTAACCAAGAGGGTCAAAGGATGACCTTGGGTGGACCTAAGATATAGGGCAGGCCTCTGACTGAGCTGGAGAAGCTTCCTCAGGCTGATTCGTCTTAATCTCCTGGCCTTTTCCCCCAAGGAGTGGCATCCTGCCCTTGGACGGGTTGATCTTATGGGGCAAGTGGGGTGGAGAATCCAGTCTCCTTCCAAAATGAAAGGAAACCCCCTCTTACCAGAACCCTTTGATCTTGGGAGTGATATGCAAACGAAGGGAGCTCAAATCAGAAAAGCAGTAGTGCTTCGGGCAAAATGTAGGGTGCCACCATCAGACAGAGCTATAGCCTCATCATTTGGATAAAGCTGGTGTTAACTCCTGGGGCCGGGGCGAGGCATGGGCCAGGCCCCAAGCTCTGCTTCTCCTGGCCTCTCTGAGACAAAAACATGGACTTAAAATGTCATAATGTTATAGGGCAGCTCCGATATTAAACGGGTTCCTGGCTGTGGGTCCTCACCCGCGCGCTTAAAAGGGACTTATGAATACTCCACTACAGGACACACACAAAAGGTTAATAAAAGGTTTATTTACAAGGGAAAAGGAAATAAGGAAAATGTACAATTCAGGGAGAAAATGGGGAAATAAAGTCTTTAATGCGTCCTACCCGATCCTCCGACCTAGAAACCCAAAGGCACTCTCAGAGCTGGCCGGACGCTGCGAGCTGGCGGAGAGCCAAAATGGGGGAACCCCTCGAAAGCCCACGTGTCTGGCTTTATACCAACCTGGCTGCTTAACCCCACCCTCAGGTCCCAGCCACCTTCCCTTGGGTGGTGATGGGATGTGGAGTTCCCAGTGTCTTTGTCTTTGGCCTGGGGTGGGGGTGGAGTCCACAAAGCCTGTATGGAATTAGCTTTAGGACATCCTTTTCCCCCTAACAATTAGAGTGGAAGCCATGGCTAAGCTAGGAACCCCCTCTGCACTGGATCACACTGCGGTGACTCTGTCCATTTCACATTCCAAAGCCCCGGACCCAATTTCTTAGGGCAGCTCACACAGACAACAGTAGCAAAGGAAAACTCAGTGTGCTCTCTGTGACAGCCCCCCAGAGTGCTCATGACACCTGTGGGTGTGAGATCAGTGCTTCCCAACTGGGGGGCATTTTGGCAGTGTCTGGAGACATTTTTGCTCATTGTAACTGAGGGCCGAAGGGAGGGATGCTACTGGCATGTGGTGGGAGGAGGCCAGGGAGGTTGCTAAACATCCTACAATGCCCAGGACACCCCCACAAGAAAGAACGAGCTGGCTGTCAGTGTTAGTAGTGAGCCTGAGAACCCCCAGTCCTAGATGAGCCTGGGACGCCGCTGGGTGGGAATAGAGCACGGCGTGCTCCTCTCTTACCAGAGTTCACCGTAAGTCGCTTTATTATCTCTGCAGCTCTTGGAGTCTTGTGATGAAGTCATTTTGCTAGAGGATGGAGAGATCTGTGAAAAGGGAACCCACAAGGAGTTAATGGAGGAGAGAGGGTGCTATGCAAAACTGATTCACAACCTCCGAGGCTTGCAATTCAAGGTAACTGTGAACTCGGGTGCGAGAGATTGGGTGCCTTCCCTCGTGGTTTCCAGCCAGAGACCTTCTGTCATTTAATTTCATTTTGTCTCCAGGATCCTGAGCACATTTACAATGCAGCGATGGTGGAAGCCCTTAGGGAGAGCCCTGCCAAAAGAGATGAAGATGCTGGTACAATCAGAGTTCGAATCACACCTCTCTTACTGCCCGGGGCTCACGAGTGGACACAGATGATCTCTCTCTATTTCTCACCCTAGCTTTGGCTCCAGGAGATGAGAAAGATGAAGGGAAAGAAACTGAAGCAGACTCAGGATTTGCAGATGTAAAAGGTATTTACCGTTCATTCCCTCGGTTACGTAGTCTTAAATATTCGTTAGCATCTGCCACTTGGGCTGAAGTGTGGGCACAGTGTATGTGTCCTTCTGGTGCAGCTAGAATCGTGTGAGCCTGGGGTTCAACTGCCTGAGCCCAAATTCTGGCTCCACCAACTTAATAGTTTTATGATGTTGAGGAAGATACTTGGTCACCTAACCTTCATGTCTTAGTCCATAAGACAGGGGAGTGACGGTGCAACCTCATAGGTTCTTGCAAAGATTCCACGAGACTGTACATAAAATGATTAGCACAAGATCTGCCATAGCAGTTATTATTATTGTTAGCAGATCCACGCAGTGCACAGAGCTTAATCAGAGGCACAAGCACACACAAGAGTTGCTTCCCTCTCTATGGGGAACGTTGAGAAAGGATTGTGTGGCTGTGAAGAGATGGAGATAGGCTAAGGTCATTATTCTTTCAACAAATAAGGACTAAGCATTCTACTATGTGCTGAGCTAGGCTGAGAGGAAAAAATATGCCCCTGTCCTCAGGATCTAGGGTCTGCTGGATGTCCCAGATGAGTAGATAATCATGGGAAACTGTGATAAGTGTAATACGGGCTTGGGGTGGGAGAACTTCACTGAGGGGGTGACTTTGGAGTGGCCCCTGCAGGATGTGTAGGAGTTTTCCAGGAGACACCACAGTGAGAGAGTGGGGGTAGGGGAGGACTTGGGGTTGAAGGCATGAGGAATTCCTGGAAGGCAGAGATGTGGGAGATGAGTCCACATCTTCTGCAATCAAACTGCTTTTTTTCTTAGGCACTCTTACCTTCCCTCCTCCACCTAGTCAGCATCTGGTGAGCACCTGTCTGTGTCCTGGCTTCTGCTGGGTCTTGACATGGCAGGAATCAAAATCTACAATCTTTGTCTTCCAAGTGCCTTCTGTGGGGTGGCTACGTTAGAGTTCTGTTCCTCAAGTACTTGTAGCTGAAAAAAAAAAACCTCACTGTATTTCTTTAAATTGAGGCTGCATCCACTTTAAGATCGCCATCATTTCGTGTACCACTTAGAAAAATCTCTGCCAATTAGACAACATGGCATGCCACTGAAGGGAAGGCACACCCTAATTTCAGGGTATTAAAAAGTGAAAAAAAATGTGGGTCTTTGAATTGATGGAGTTTGGCACCGTGAATGGTGCTTGTGACAAAAGCAGGCACATTTGGCAAGACAACATATTTTTATAGCTCTGGAGGCTCCCAAGGCAGAAGTGAGATACCAACCTTTTCTTCATGCTTTTCCTGGGCAGTTCCAGGCCGCCCAGGATGCAGGTTCCTATGGAGAGAATAAATTCTGCCCCTCTTTGCCCCATCGCTCCTTTTTCTGACAAAGAGAGTGAAACAAGGCGCTGTGAAAATCACAGGAAGGGAACTGGTTACAGGTGGTGGTGCCAGCCACATGGGTGCGTTTTCTAAAGTGCCAGGAAGGTGAGCAGAGCGTGGGCAGTGCGCCAGGCTGGGCTGTGGGCTGCGGGGCACCTCACCAGCTCCTTTTGAGCTCCAGGACGCCATTCATTAGGCTCTGCCAACCTGCCGAGGCATCTCCCTCATTTGCCGGTCTCAGAAAGAAATACAATGAGTGAAAGTCAGACTGAACATTTTCAAAGACGTGCAAAGGTTCCCAGGCAGAGTGTAAATGGCGGCTCCATTCATGGGAGCGCCTTTGAGGTGCAGAGAGCCGGTGTGCAGGGTGCCCCCTGGCCTCCTGCATTTATCTGTTTATAAGAGCCAAGCTTGGTTCACTTGGTTCACTTCTGTTTGGAGTGACATTTTCACGCTTTTCTGCGGAGCACAAGAAGAAACATGCTTTCAGCACTGGCTGCTGTTTTACCCCGTATCTCTGTACCTCTGAATGGTGTTTCCAAGGGAAATGAACAGTCATCTTCCCTTCCCTTTGGGAAATGGAGAAGACCTGGACAGCCACGTCGAGGGACCTGGAGTCCACACAGCTGCTGAGAGGATGCTCTGGGTTTGTTCTCCTTGACATGAGCTCCAGAAAGGCTGGAGCTGCCTCCTTGTTCACCCTGGAGTGGAAGCTGTGGGGGTTCTCTCTGGTGGCTGCCAGCCCCAGGTCAGGTTGGAAGTGCTGAGGTGTTCGCCCGCCAGGGAGGAGCTTTCACACAGTGGTCCATGAGAGTTGCTGCAGAAACATCCCAGAGATCCCTCTGATCACGTGTTAAACCTCTGCGGTGAATGTTCTAGAGTGGCTTGGGATTTCTCCACATGGGCTTAAGCTCCAGGCACCCACAGGTAGGCCAGTTTGATGAGGCATCTTTTATTGTTGACATCCTATTCCTTCCCCACTCCCTGCACCCCTCAAAATTTTCACATATACATATCCTCTTCTTAGGCTCTGCTTCTGAAAAGCTAGACCAAGACAGCCCCTGTCTTCCCAGCACATAGTAGGTGCTTAGTCACTATTTCTGGAAAGACTTACAGCCACTTGCGCACAGAACTGTAATGAGGACCAAATACGATGAGCAGAGACGTGTTGTAATTATAGAGCACAGGGCAAACTCAGGATGGCCTTTGCCCTTAGGTGGGGTGGGGGTGTGCAGAAGGGGTGCGTTTGCCCCCCAGGCTTTCACCCCCACTGTGGATGCCACAGGACTTGTGTTTGTCTCCATAGTTCCTCTGCACCAGCTCGTCCAGTCTGAATCCCCCAAGGAAGGGACCGTGACCTGGAAAACGTATCACACGTATATCCAAGCTTCTGGAGGTTCGGTATAAAACAATGGATTTCTTGATTTCATTTACATGAAAAGAAATCCGTTCTTAAACCACTGGGCTCATGCTTTATGATTTCTTTAGCAATTACTCTCTGCCAGAGCCATTTATCAATGCTTTTATTTTCCTCCCTTAAAAAATCTAAAGTCTGATAATACAGCCTTTTAAATGGAATCATCCTTTATCTCCATTAAAGCTGCCAGACTCTATTTGTCGGGACTGAGTGAGCAGCAGTATGAACCAGCGAGGGTTCTTCTGCAACCTCGCTCTCTCATCGCCGGGTACAGCCGCAGTCAGCCCATTGGCTGCCTTCAATGCAAGATTTCCATCTCGGTGTGCAAAACATACCTTGTCGTTTCATTCCCTGTCTCTCCCTAGCAAGGCTGGGGTTTTCTTTGTTTTTAAAGAATACTGAGTCGCTTCTATGAAAGCGCTTGTTGGTGGGATGTCTGCGTGTTGATGATTCCACTTTCTAACCCAATGGAATAGATGTTCTCACTGGAGTTTGGAGTGGGGGGGCACCCAGCCTTCTCACATCAGTCTGGAAGGTGGTCCTAGGGGTGGCGGCCCTTCTGCAGGCTCAGGATCTTCCACCAGGGTTGAGCCCTGAGAAGGTAACCCCCAGGGTCTCCTCCTCCTCTTGCAGGATACCTGCCCTCTCTCTATGCAATATCCCTGTTCTTCTTGATGATTGGCAGCTCTGCCTTCAGCAACTGGTGGCTGGGCCTCTGGTTAGACAGGGGCTCGCAGGTGAGTTTCCCTTTGGCAGTGGAAAATACTGTTTCCATAGCTGATGGAGAATCTGAGTTCTCCCAACACCACATGATGGGCTCACTTTCCCTCCTATTCCCACGGTCCCTTTGTGCAAAGTTGAGGTCAGTTGAAATCCACCTCGATATTTCAAGGTGGTTATCTACATGCCACCTTCAATTTTAAAGAGGTGGCTAAAGTACACTGTGTCTGGCAAATGTGGCCTGTCTGTGGGTCACCCTGGACAGGATGAGGACCAGTTTTGCAACCTCTATTGCAAGGCACCCTGAGTTGGGGCTGGCCCGGACCGGGGAGGTCTAACACAGATGTGTGTCTTCCTGTCCCTGAAGAGAAATTGGCATCTTATCCTTGACAAGGCCCAGAGGCAGAGGGTTCCACTTGATTCTGTTCCCCAAGGTCCTTCTACAAGAATGAGACCTGCAAGGTCCGACTCAGCCCCTGGCTACACTGCAGAGCCCTGGGATCTGTCTCCAAGGCCCTCGCCTAGGCCATGGTTCCCCCTGGGAAGGACCGATAAGTCTGTTCTCACTCTGGCTCCAGCTTCTGGCCAATGGTTTCAGAGCTTTCTGGGAGGCCCCGGGGAATGTTGTGGGGTTGCCTGCCCACCCTGCAAGATTACATTTTGGTACAGTTCTGTTGCTATGACAACCAAAGTGAGGAGGCACTGGGGAGATGAGGGCAGGGGAGAGGCAGCTACTGCCCTCCGGAGTTTGGCACAGCTTCCTGAGGTTGTCGTCACAGGAGAAGCCAATGGGTGGCCCGGGGAGAAACCCATGAGTGGCCTGCTCTGCCCAGAGAGAGAACCATCTCTGGAAGGCACATGTTCCCCCATCCTCACTGACACTCGAAGTGCCCTGTCCTTGGAGAGTCCAAAGTTTTGGCTCAAGGTGGAGCCTCCCCAGTGGGCCACTGGTCAACAGAGCGTGCAGCGATGGTGGCGCCCTGGCCCAAGCCCCGTGCACACGGGCACAGAGAATCCTCCTCTTCAAGCTGGGCCTCTTGTCAATTAACTCCCCAGGGAGGCTTCTGCTTTTATGGCTGTTCATCCATCAGCTGTCACCTCTGGTTTACATTTCTGCTGTTGCTGTAATCAGCAAAATGGCATTTAGAAGAAAGATGCTTGTTTGTGCCCCAAAGGCAGTCTTGACTTTTAGCACCAGGCTTGAAGAAAAACGAAAACTGCCAATTCCTCCAGAGGAGGAGGTGGCCTCTCCCCAGAGACACCGGCAAAAACGCGTGCTCTATCTGAGCAGGGCGGAGCCACACAAGCACCTTTGAGTCCTCCCAGACCCCTTGGCTCACTGCCTCCTCCCCCTCCCCACCAGGTCCCTCAGGCCAATGGCCAGTGTCCTCCCAGGTGTCCCTGAGAACGGGAAAGGGAGGGTGCTGTGTAGCTGGCCCGTCATACAGTCTCTGGCCCCAAGTCTCCCCGAAGACATGGTGGCTCTGCCAGGCAGGCAGGTCCTGAACCCCTGACTTATTGGGACTACCTGAGGGCTGCTCAGTTAGCTTCTTGGTGTCCAAGTTTCCTTTGCTTTTGGATCTTCCTGGATCAGCCTCACCTCTGGGCTCCTGAGGTGCAGTTACTGTCCAGGATGGCTGCCCTGTGTCTGCTTTGCTTTTCCTTTATACCTCCTTGGTCAGATGCCCTTTGGCATCATGGAGGCCCAGCAGGACCCGTACAAAGCTCAGAGGCCCCCAAAAGAACCGATTTGATTTGACCAGCTCACTCATTCTTAACAGTTATGCACCTATTTTTAGTTTCTTCTTTTTGGCAAGACTCTCTGGAACATTCCCGTTCTTTGGACAGCTGACTGGTTCTTGGTGCTGTTTCTTGTTTTCCCCCAAAGATGACCTGCGGGCCCCAGGGCAACAAGAGCGCATGCGAGGTGGGCGCTATGCTGGCGGACACTGGGCAGCACGTGTACCAGTGGGTGTACGCAGCCAGCATGGTGTCGGTGCTGGTGTTTGGCATCACCAAAGGCTTCACGTTCACCAAGACCACCCTGAAGGCCTCCTCCTCGCTGCATGATCAAGTGTTTGACAAGGTACAGCTGTGGGGGCTGCACGTGCATCCGGTTAACCGCTCGACAGGGCTGTGCTGGGCTCTGCCGATACCACCTCAAGGAACCCCCGGTCCAGTGTGGGAAGAGTGTCCCAGTAGAAGATGATCAATGGTGAAGGCCAGCTCCAGGGAGTTGTGGGGATTCACCATGGGCCCTCGGGCTAGGATTGGGGTGGGGTGGGGCAGTTGAACAGTTTCCCTACGGACCCCAACAGGAGCAGACACACATAGCTAAGAGGACATCTCCTTTTCAAAGGGTCCTGAGAGTTTCAGGGTCTCAGGAAATGCTCCAGACCCTTCTCATTCTACTGTAGCATTGGGGGAGGGGGGAAGGGCAGGGGGAGAACCCTGAGAGCAACTCAGTGGAGCTTGGCTTTCATTGCCTTTGGGCACAAAATCCCTCCCTCCTGCAAAGGCAGTCCAGGATGATAGGGAAGCCTGGCCCCAGGAGCTCACCCTGGGGCGCCAAGACTGTCTCCCATCTTCACTCTCATTCCTGAGCAGTGGCCACAAGAATGGGGTGCATGCTCACTTTCCAGGGCCCCCTGGCTCTCTGGGTCAGACAGACCCTGGAGCAAAGCTCAAGCTCACCATCCCAGCCCGCAGAGTGCCTGGGGTGCTCTGAACACACCTCCACCCTGCCTCGCTGTCATTACCCACAGATCTTGAAGAGCCCTATGAGCTTCTTTGATACGACTCCCACCGGCAGGCTAATGAACCGTTTCTCCAAGGATATGGATGAACTGGACGTGAGGCTGCCGTTCCACGCGGAGAACTTCCTGCAGCAGTTTTTTATGGTGGTGTTTATTCTCTTGATACTGGCTGCGGTGTTTCCTGCCATCCTCATAGTCCTGGCTTGCCTGGCTGTGGGCTTCATCATTCTCCTACAGTAGGTGACGCTCTATTTAAAAAGGTGCAAACAGGAGAGGTCTGCTGCGCCATGTGGGTAGCTCCCTGGCCCGGGATCAAACTCGTGCTGCAGTGGCTGTGAATAGCTTCATAGGTTGCGTCTTAACCCTTTGTGCCACCATGGAGTCAGCAGCGTATTTCAGTCAGTCTGCATGTTCTGCTCCCCACTCTGTCTCTGGTGAATCTTCTCACACCCCACATCTCTGGCCTGCACCCCAGCTCTTGTATGCATAAATAAATAAATCTTTGGGAAAATAAAAGGAGCAAACAAAACTGATATCTATTTGGTTAATTGCACAAGGACCAGGAAGGATCTGGTGACAGTGAGTGCTTGTTGTCTTCTCTGAGTGGTGGGGCACGTTGGTTTTTAGTTCTGACAAAAATGCCAGGTGCTAAGAGCTTTTAGCCTCCAAGCACTCTTGTGAGGCAGATGTTATTGGGAAGTTAAGTCACTGGTTCCTGGAAACTAGTAACCACGGCTGGTTTCTGTCCACTGTCATGTTCATAACCATGGGGACCTGCCATGCCTGCTGCTGGAGGAGAAAGGAGACCAGGCCTCAGCTCCCCGAGCCTCATGAGTATCCCCAACCACTGACATGTTGAAGAAAGGCCTCTGGCTGCAGCTCTGCACTGGAGAGTCCTCCTGAGATGTCTCTTGCCCAACTTCACCCCCACCCTGGCGGGGTTGCAGGGGACAGCGTGGGTTCCAGTCTCCCAGGAACCCCGGCTCCTCCCTCTTCCTGGGACTAGCGAGGAGAGTTCTCAGCAGGCAGCATGGTAGATATTGTGTGAGGTCAAATATGGAAGACAGAGAGCTCTGCACCAGGCCCCTGCTCTGCAGCACCACCAGCAGGAAGACCTTGGTGAAGACAGAAAAACACTACTCCCCTCAGTTTCTCAAGTGGTCATCATTAAAATATGCGCCTCACTGGTTCCTCAGGGTGCTGGTGACCCAGTGAGTCTACGGGGCTGGGAGCATCTTGTCAGTTAGAAATGGAACACAATGTCACATGCACTTTGAGCTCCTGTAAACCTCAACAAAATGTCTACTGTGTTCCTAGATGAACCCAACCCGAGATGGATATTGTTCCCCAAATTGTAATGCATTAAACCCACAAATCCTGAACCTGCCTCCACCTGTAAGCAGGGTTGTTTGTTTTCATCCAAAGACACCAAACTCACAGCCTAGTGTTAGAAATATGGCCACACGGGGCCTCCCTGGTTGTGCAGGTGTTAAAGACAGAGCACTATCAAGCTATCTCCAGCCACTGCAGCACGAGTTTGATCCCTAGCCAGCCAGGGAGCTACCCACATGGTGCAGCAGACCTCTCCTGTCCCGCCCGCTGCTCCCCTCAGCAGTGTATTTCACTGAGTCTGCCTGTTCTGTTCCCCGCTCTATCTCTGGTGAATCATCTCACCCCTGCACCTCTCGCCTATACCCCAGTTCTTGTATGCATAAATAGATAAATCTTTAAGAAAAAAAAAGTATGACCATGGTGTGGAGAGTGGGTAGAGCCACTGGATTGTGGAATGGGAGACTCCAGAAAGATCAAGAGAGGATTGTGGAATAGGAGGCTCCAGAAATGTGGAGTCTGAATGAGAGATGGGATGTGGCTTGTAGCTGTTAGAACAGAAAAGGGAGGTAGAAAGGAAAGCCATTTCCATGCTAGGCATTGGGCGTAAAGATGGTGCCTTGATTTCCCCACAGCATTTTTCACAGAGGAATCCAGGAGCTCAAGAAGGTGGAGAACATCAGCCGGTCCCCCTGGTTCTCACACATCACCTCGTCCATGCAGGGCCTGGGCATCATCCACGCCTATGACAGGCAGGAGGACTGCATCGCCAAGTTAGTCCTGGGCTGGGTATGCTCCCGGGGCCCCCTACTTCACACCGTACCCTGATCTGATGACTTTGCTGGGAAGGTCTGGGTTGCTGGGTTTCCCTGGAGATGAAGAGTCGCCAGAACCCAGGAGACGCTTCAAGGCACTTGGCCCTTCTTCTCAGTGCCTGAGGGCCCCGAGCATGCAGGGCCCTTCACCTCCTTTATATGTTTCGTGCCAAGTAAAATGTGTACAATTCAGGGAAATAGGAAAAAATAAGGAAAAGGAGAAAAAAATCACCAATAATCCCCCAACATAAGTTTTCTTAATATTCTTTCTTTCCAATTCACTTTCCTTTTCTGAAGTATTTATACTCATTTTTGTCTTGTTGTATTTTTAAATAGCATTTTAATTTATAAATTTTAAAGGCCACAATCCATTTCATTTAGTGGGGATACCACTTACCTTCTTTCTAAAATGTGGGGATTAGTACATTTAGTACATTAGATTAGTACATTTAGTACATAGTACATTAGTACATTAGATTAGTACATTTCTGGGGTCTTCTGGCTTCAAACTTCTAAAACACCCTATAAATAAATTTTATCAACCATAGTAAGTTCATTATGGTGACAAGCAACTCTAAATTTTAGGGATTCAACACAATACATGTTCATTTTTCCTCAAATCACAAATTAATGAGGGCAGTTCATGGAGCAAAGGGGATTCTGTAGTATGCCCAAGAACTAAATCTCTTTCCATCTGGGCTTTTCCATCCCGAGGACCTCAGGGTCTTCTCCAGGAGCTAACTGGAGCTAAAGGGAGAGAGGTGGGTGGAGGGGACCCCAAAGGAAATTTCCATGGGGCAACCTCAATGACCGCTCATTATTTCTGCATATTCATTGGCCTGCTTTTGGTCACATGGGCTTACATCACTGCAAGGAGTGCTGGGAAATGTAGTCCAGCTGTGTCCACAGGCGGAAAAGAAAATGGAGTCCGTGAATTTATAGCACTCTCTGTTACATAAGTTCCCTTCCCCCCCCCATCTTTTCCTTCCTTAAAAGCCTTGTACACATGACAAAGTTTGCATCTAAACCTTGTTTCTGTCTTCCTGCCCTTCATCGGACAGGATCTCAGTGTTCACTTAGCATCCACCTTAGTTTTAGTCCTTTCCACTCAAGTTTGACCTGAATGTCATCTCTCAAGAATTCTGCCTCACACACAGACCCTTCTGATGTCCTGGTCATGAGGAAAGGCTTCTGTCCCAGCTACTCATTGACTCATGACAAACAAAACAGACACAGGCTTTGCTTTCCCACAGATTCTTCTCCAAGGTTTTCCAGAGAAACCTGCAGGACAGCTGAGCCCCACACGATTGATGGGGTTTCCTCGCTTTTAATACTTTCTTTCCTGTCATAGACTTTGCAGAGGGCTTGGGCTTCTGACATGTATTGCTTTTGTCACCAGACAAAAATGCTACAGCATTAAAAAAAGGTTTGAGGTCAAATTCCAATTTGATCCCAGACAGTGCTTTTGCTTCGGCACAATCTAACCAAACACACAGATAAGACCACAGATGACTTCTAAGTCACTTAAGCTGTCAGTTGAATTTGTAGACTTAGAGCTACATGACAGAAACACTACAGTGTGTGGACGAATATTTTAACTAAACTCCGGGAAAAGTAAGTAAGAGTGGAAACGGACAGGAGGAGGTGGCTCAGAGGTGCCTCCTGGCAGGATTCTTTGAGGGAATTTAGAACAGGAGGGGTCAGCAATGCCTGAGGTCGTTCAAACATGGAAAGATTTTCTTTCTTTCTTCCCCCTATAATGTCTTCCAGTTGCTTAGTGGTAATTGAATCCGATGTTCCTTGTGACGAATACTCAGTCCAGTTAACATCTCACCCTTGGATGCGTTCGATCAGAGGCTTCCTTATGTTCTAGCAGAGACTTGGGGTGCTGTTGCTGTGCTGTGTGGAAGTGCGGGCAGGCTGGACTTTGGGAGGCATCTGGTCTGTTCTTATAAATACCTCCTCCTTTTTCTCTGATCCTGTTCTCTAATGCTGGTGTGAGGGAAGGGAGGGGGCAGGGGCACCCTCAGGTGACTGCCCAAGTCTGGGTCACTCTCTCCTTTCTGCTGCTCCGTCCTGCTCATCCAGCTCCCTATGCAGATGTGGTGTGGGGGCCCCAACAGGACCGAATACCCAACAGCTCTGCTAGGCGCTGTGATGGGCAAGCTCTGCCTGGGCCTTCCAGTGGGCTCTGCCTGGCAGCCTCACATTACATTCCCTTGATGTGGCACCTTTTTGCCTCATGCCACGGAACATGGCCTCAAGGCTGCAAGGACTGGCAGGATCCACTCCCCCATACATCTGGGGAATGAGAAACTTCGGGGTGGATCTTGCCCCCACCTCCCGGTGGTGTCATCTCTCTGCCCCTCTCCCCTGGGTCTCTTCTCTTTGGCTCAGGGACACACAGCAAGGATATAAGATGTCACCTTCCTCTTCTTGAAGAAATCCCAGCTTTATTGTAATTTTCTCGAATCTTCATTCTCTGATTCAGGGAAGGAGACCAGTCTAGCCCTGGTCTAGCCCTCTACCATCACAAACACGATGGCAGCTTCTTTCTTGCCCTGTCCCCACCCTTCTTATGGATCAAGGGCAAAAACTCTTAATTCGTTCAACAAGGCCTGCCTTGGGCGTGGCTGACTCCAGGATAGGTATCCTTTGAAGGTGGAGTGTAAGTCCCCAACACCTTTTGTTTTTAGCTCTGAGGTCCAGTTGCCTTTCTGGGAAAGACAGAAAGAGCCTAGTGGGCTCCATACTTATTTGATGGGATTTCTCAAAATACATGCAAATCAAAAATATTGATGGCAGCAGATTTTCAACAGCTTGGATATATGCTCATCTTTGGAGGAGATGACCGTATGATAGTGCCTTTGCCCTTGCTTAAAAATTCCCCTTGCTTTGTTTCTCCCCTAGCCCTAACCCTAAGTCTGTGGAGGCACAATATGATCTCCCATTTTGTCTGATTTCTTAATTTTAGGTTTAAGATGCTAAATGATGAAAACTCCAGCCACCTCCTATACTTTAACTGTGCTCTCAGGTGGTTTGCTTTAAGAATGGATATCCTCATGAACATCGTCACCTTCATTGTGGCCCTGTTGGTCACCCTGAGTTTCTCCTCCATCAGTCCATCATCCAAAGGCCTGTCATTATCTTACATCATCCAGGTAGGGTCTGGTGGGAGATGGGCTTGTCCTGGAGGCTCTGGCATGGTGGACCAGGAAGGGCAGATGCAACAGAAAACCCAACTCTACTGGGCTTGTGGTATAAAAAAAAGCTCACGGACTCTGTCCTTAAGAGGCCTGGTGGTTATGTGGGCTTCAGGCACAGTTGGATCAAGACCCCTGGCTTTGTACACCTCTTGCAATGACTTCCGCCCTGGTTGTACAATGCCGATTGGTAGCTTCTTGGGGCTGTGACAGAGAGAAAGCTAGAGGAAACCATTTCCTGCCCTCGCCACTGAATGAAAGCCCCAACTTTACTCTTCCTGGGTTAATTTAGGCCTCAGAATTAATTAGTGACTGCATGGGATTAAGATGATTAGCATTGGTCAGGGGATGCAGTCACTCTTCATCCTGCCCCTAGGTCACACAGCTGCCCCATGATGGCGAGAGGGAGAAGAATGCCATAGAGACATCCAAATCATAATTACTGATTTCTCTTCTGGGTCACTTTAGTGTTTTTCTTTTGAAAAACAGCAATATTAAGGAGATAATAAAAATAACGGAATAATAGTAATAATGATAGTATTAAAACTGGTAATAAGAGTGGTAATAATAGTAATAATAGGGAAGCTCACGCTATTTCAAGCACTGGTAAATTATCTCATTTGTCCTCATCACAATACTCAGATGGGCACTGCTATAATCCCTGTTGTCCCAATGACAAGACTGGGCACCAGGAAGACCCGGATCCCACAGGATTCCAACCCAGGTCAGCTGGGTATGTTGCCCACCTGAGTCTGTTCCTTGACATGGGGTTCAAGTTTTTGTCTTTGGGAGTTTTTCTGTGCTGGTTTTCACCCTTGACGTTCTGCATATGCATGCTCTTCCGAGACAGTGTATCTGAGCGTGAGCCTTTCCAAATTTATTCTGTTCAAGGCCGTGGGTTCCTTTAGACTAAAATTCAATCTCTTCGGCTCTGAAAAAAAGATCTCCATTTTCTTTCTTGCTTTCTTTTTTATTTTTTTATTTTTTTGCCTCCGAACAATGTCCTCATCCCTTTTTTTTCTCTTTTCTATTTCTGTGACTCATATTGGTTGAATACTGCTTTTCTTGCATTAATACTCTGTTCCCTTTCTTTTATCTCAAAATTTCCATGTTCTTTCCTTATTTTGTTTCTGGGAATTTTCTTTAGCTTTGCCACTCAGCCATCCCTTTGAAGTTTAAATTTGGTGAGCATATATTAATATATAATTCCCACAAACCCTTCATCTCTAAGGTTTTAAAACTTATTTTTTATTATTTAAATTTTTTTTCAGTGCACAGGCACATTTAATAACAAACAATATACTTTCAGACTAATAAGAATCAAAGGCAAAGGTTCATGAAAATTATTTTTTAAAGGAATGTGATATAAAAACATATTTTCTCTGAGGTAATTAGAGGTTCTCCCTTCAGCTGTTTTTTTTTTTTTGTTTGTTTGTTTGTTTGTTTGTTTTAAATCAGCATCAGTGTTTCTTTTTGTTTGTCTGGTTCTTCTCCTTCCATGCTATTGCTTTTGTTCATATGTACTTGACCGATTTGCTAAGAATGAGGGACTGGGGCCTCCCCGGTGGCGCAGCGGTTGAGCGCTGGGTTGCGAAGCTGCCCGCGGCCTCTGCGGCGCCGGTTCGATCCCCGGCTGTTCCCCGGCCACCGGAGGAGGATCCCACATGGTGCGCAGACCTCTCCTGCCACCCGCTGCTCCCCTCAGCAGTGTACTTCAGTCCTTCTGCCTGCTCTGCTCCCCACTGTGGCTCTGGTGAATTCTCTCACCCTCCCGCGCTTCTGACTGTACCCAGTGCATGTATAAACAAAACAAACAAACAAATATAATTAATAAATAAATAAACATGCCTCTATTTAAAAAAAAAAAAAAAAAAAAAAAGAATGAGGGACTGGTTGGATTTTTGGGGTTTCCTCTGCCTTGGCATATACCTTGCTAGGCCTCGCCTCATGGGAAATTTTATAACGTCGGCGGCATGGAAGGTGTTTTCCACAGGCTGGCTGCACTTCAGAAAAGCAGTGAGGGAGCTGGCCTCCAGGCACCCAATGCAAGATTTCAAGAGCTTTTATCTGGGCTACTCTTTGGGAGCCCTGTCTGTCTCCAGACAGTTCCATTTCTTTAGAGAAAAGTATATGTGTACGTTCGTGTATGTTGGCCTAGGTTTAAAGTGTCTGGCTGCCTCTGGTTGCGAGGGAGCAGACAGGTAGCTGCGTATCCACAGACTATCAACGAATCAGACTCTTTGGGCCCCTTCTCATGCCTGGAGCCTGTTTTGTTCTTCTAGTCAGAAGGCGCCGTAAGTTCTTGCTGCACATTCAGCCTCCATTTTATACCAAGGCTAATCTCATCCTGCAGAAATCTGTAAATCTCTCATTCAGTGATATCTCTTCCCAACTTCCTCGCCATTAAAGCTATTCTTTTTTTTTTCTTTAAAATCTCTCCAATTTCATTTTAATGGTATTTGGGGAAGGAGGAGGAGCAAAGATATATTCTCGGGATTCTAGAGTAGGAAAAGTGAATTTTCCATGAGTAGCCAGTTTCCCTTATTGATGGATGTTTCCATTTGTGGCTTCCTTGTAAAATATAAAACAGATAATGCTGAATAGATTTCCTTAATTGGTCCAAGGAAAACATTTCCTCAGCTGGGGCCATGCTTTTGGAGAGGATAGTATCCACTTCCCTTTGTTTTCAAACACTCCTGGGAAGTTGGAGAATTGGCACACCTGAGGTCTGGGGGACCACTTCTTGCTTGACTGGATTTGTGGATTTCTTGGGCATTAATACCCTTTGAAGAACACAGAAGCTGAATGACAGATCTGCCTTTGCAAACAGAGGAGACTCCCTAGATGGTTGAAAAGCTGGTTGGGGTCCCACAGAGCAGGCAGCGAAGGCACAGAAGCAGCCAAGGAGAGGAAGAAGTTATGGGGGCCAGCACTGTGCCAACGCAGGGCTCCGAAACCCTCGGAGGATTGCCCAGGGACTGGAGTCACCGGCATCCTTCAATTTAACAAAATATGCATATGCTCTTCTTAAGGGCACAATTCACTCATTCATTCATTCACCTGATATCCACTGAGCACCTAGCATGAGCTGGGCTTCCACAGTGAACAGCTGGACAGGTCCAGGGAGCTTTCGGTCTGAGGGATAAAAGGAACATAAAGGGAGGTGGAATGAGTATGTGTGCAAGTACATGAATGAGAAGTCTTAAGAAAATGTGTTATGAAGATGATAAATCGGGTAATGTGACTGTCAGGCGGGAAGTGATATTAGACCCCATAGTTAGAAGAGACTCTGCCAGGAGGTGAACTTTTATTTATTTTATTTTTTTAAAGATTTATTTATTTATACATACAAGAATGGGGGTGAAGACCAGAGGTGTGGGGGTGAGAGGATTCACCAGAGACAGAGTGGGGAACAGAACAGGCAGACTGACTGAAATACACTGCTGAGGGGAGCAGCGGGCACGTCAGGAGAGGTCTGCTGTGCCATGTGGGTTGCTCCCTGGCCGGCCAGGGATCAAACTTGTTCTGCAGAGTCTGTGGACAGCTTCACAGTGTTGTGCTTAACTCCTTGTGCCACCAGGGAGGCCCAGGAGGTGGCCTTTTAAAGCTGAGATCTGAATAGTAAAGAATCAGTCAAAGGAGGATGGGGAGGAAGTCTGGGGTGTCGAGAGGTAGGAGCTTGGTGCATGAACTCGGAATTCTGTATGGCTTGAGCAGGGGTAATAAGTAAGGCTCTGGGGTTGGCAAGGATAGACTGTGAAGGGCCTCATCAGCCGTGGGCAGGGGTGTTGTCTAATTCTAACAAAGCATTCCTCAACTGCAGTGCTCTAGGCCTTTGGACTGGACAATCTTTTGTCAGGAACTGTCCTGTGCACCATAGGATGTTTAATCTCCAAGCAGGAGATGCCAGTAGAACTTTTCCTCTTCAAAGCCATGGCAACCAAAATGTCAGTAGACATTTCCCAGTGTCCCTGGGGCCATAACCAGCCCTGCTGAGAGCCGCTGCTCTAAGAGAAATGGGAACTCAGTGGTGAGTCATGCAGGCAGGCAGCAAGGGAGGCTCTAGGAGGGTCTGGGCATCCCATGCCTGCCACCTCATTCACCTGCTCAGGCTTTGCTGCCTACTGCATGTTAAGGCCATTTGCTGCTAGAATTTTCTTATGGGGAGTTTGCCTCACAGACTTCTGATCATGAATACCTCGGTTCACACAGTCTGCCTTACTATCCTCACTCCCCTCCCCTGTCACTCTTCCGTGAATTCTGTGGCTATATAATGCTGAATATAAGGGTAAAGCTGCAATAGTTTGGGCAACATTTTTCATTGACTTATATTCATTGATTTTATTTTTGCCACTGCTCTCCTTTATACTGTTTGACCCTTTTTTCCTTCCCTTCCTTCTAAACTTCAGAAACCTCACCTCATTTATTTTTTTTAAAGATTTATTTATTTATTTATTTATTTATTTATGCATACAAGAGCTAGGGTACAGGCCAGAGATGTGGGGAGTGAGAGGATTCACCAGAGACAGAGTGGGGAACAGAACAGGCAGACTGACGAAATACACTGCTGAGGGGAGCAGCGGGCGAGTCAGGAGAGGTCTGCCCCTACCATGTGGGTCACCTCCCTGGCTGGCGGGGATCTAACTCGTGCTCTGCAGCCTTTGCAGGCTGCAGACAGCTGCACAGTGCTGTGCTTAACCCCTTGCACAACCAGGGAGGCCCTCTCTCTGATCTTTCTTATTAACTTTTTAAAATTTTCTTACATCATTGTTCATTTTTGTGCCATATTTGATTTCTCCCCACAGGTGTAATCCCCATAATTCTCCCACCACCATGGCGCCGGTGAACAACCACCATAAACCCAGATTGCTTTGCAAAATGGCTGTGCCAGTTTACATGCTGACCAGCAGTGTGGTAGAGTTCCTCCTCCACATCCTCTCCAGTGCTAGCTGTTGGGGGTCCTTTTAACATGTGTGTAGGTGTCAGTCTACAACATCTTTATCACTGACGTCATAAAATGTGTTGCCAATGTTTGCTTCTATGTATTTTATCGTTGTGGGTCTTACATCTAAGTCTTTAGTTTATATCGAGCTGTTTTTATGTCTGGAGTTAGAGAGTGATCCACCCTCCTCCTTCACATGTCACTGTCCGGTTCTATTGAAGAGTTTCTCCTTTTTCCACTATAGAACTATAGCTCCTTTGTCATAAATTAAACATTGATATACGAGTAGACTTATTCCCTTCCATTGATCTATGTGCCTATGTTGTTCTAGTACCATAGTGGAGTTCAGTTTCTGCTGTTCTATCGTATAATGTAATGTCAGGGAATATGATGCGTCCATTTCTCTTCTTTCTTCCCTCAGGATTGCTTTAGCTATTGAGGGCTTTTTTTAGGGTCCATATAACTTTACTATGTTTGTTCTATTTCCTTGAAGAATATTGTTGGGATTTTAATGGCGATTGAGTTTAAATCTATATATCATTTTTGATAGAATAGTCATTTTCACTATACAGATTCTCCCCATCCATGAGCATGGAATGTCTTTCCATTTCTTTATGTCTTATTTTCTATCCTTTACTAGAGTCTTGTAGTTTTCGTTATACAAATCCATCAATTCCTTAGTTAGGTTAATTCCCAGGTATTTGAACTTTGGGGATGCAATTGTGAGCAGAATTATTTTCTTAATTGTTTTTTTCTCTTTCTCATTATTTTATATAAAAATGCAACAGAATTTTGTATGTTGATATTGAAACTTGCCACTTTGTTGTTTGTTGTTTCTAATAGTTTTTTTTTTTTTTGGTGTGGAATCTTTAGGATTTTCTACATATAGTATATCATAATATCTGCAACTAATGATTATTTCACGTATTTTCCAGCTTCAATCCTATTTTTTTCCCTGTTATTGCCTAATTACTCTAACTAAAATCTATAGTACTAAATTAAACAGAAGTGCTGACATTGGAATCTTTTCTTACTCCTGATCTGAAAGGAAACACTTTCAGTTTTTCATCATTCAGCGTTCTGTTACCTGTGCTATGTGGCCTTTATTATGCTGAGGTTGGTTTCTTCTATTTGACATTCTCATGTTCTGTGAAACTGCCCTGCGTGTCATCCTGCTAGCCCATTAGAAGGCAGGCAGAGATCTTGTCTCTCACACTCACCCTTGGGGAACCAGCCCCTTGGACAGTATCCAGCTCCCAGCCACTGCTTACCTAATGGAAGAAGACCTGGTCCTGCTTGGAGCCCGCCTGGAGTCACAGGATGACACTGAGCGGACACAGTGGGCCAGTCAGTGGGCACCTCCCTGCTGCCATGGGAGGTGCTCAGGCAGTCCAGAGCCAAGGTAGGCTGCAGATGCTGGGGGTCCTCCCAGCCAGGAGTGGCCCCAGAAATCATGAAAGCAAGTGGTAGAGACGTCCCCATTTCTCCATGACGCCTCAAGAGAGGTCCATGCAGTCTCCAGTGCCCCAGTTGCATCATACCTCAGTCACCCAGAACTGAATCTTCCTTCTTAGCTTCTCCCAGTCACCTGTCCTTTCTGGATTCATCACTTGGATTCATTTCCTGGGACTCCTGTAATAGAACACCACAAGCTACTGGCTTAAAACCTGAGAGCTATATTCTCCCACAGCTCTGGAGGTCAGCAACGTGAGCCAAGGTGCTGTGAGGCATGGTGCTGGTGCCCCATTCCCTCTGAGGACAGATCCTTTCCTCATCCCTCCCAGTTGCTGGTGGCTGTGGCCTTCCTCAGAGTTCCGTCCTTGCAGCCATATCTCTCCATTCTCTCTCTCCGTCACATCTTTTTTTTCCCTTTTCTGTGTCTTCTCCCCTTTCTATCTGAGGACACTGGTCATTGGATTCAGGACCCATCCAGGTAATCCAGGATGATCTCAACATCCTTACGCCTGCAAAGATCCTTTCCCAAAGTGAGCTAATAGTCACTGGTCCCAGAGATTTGGATTTGGACATGTCTTTTTTTAGTGGCGGGGAGGGGCACCATTCAACCTGCCCTAAAATACTGCTGGCACTCAAATCTCAGGGTTGGCTGCTGGGACACCCCAGCTTGAGGCGGTGCCGTTAGGAATCCATACCCCCAGTCTGAACCTTGAGAGTTCTGTGTCTGAAGCAAGCAGGTGGGCGCGATGGTTTTCTGGTGCCTTCTTCCACTGATGATCTGTGGTAACTGGGTTCCTGTTGCTTCTTGGCTATAGGTGGGGTGCAGTGTGGAGAGAGTAGAGGCATAGGACCCCATCAGGTGGCAGCAGGGGGTGGAGACCCAGCTGTTCTGGGGCAGGAGAATTCCCTGGTGGCTCAAACCAAGAGGCACTTGATCAAGTAGCAGAGGGGTGACTGATCCTCACCATTTGGAGAGCCAGGAAAAAAGTAATTACCGTTCGTGCCTGAATACAAAGGAAGTATTTAAGGGCAATACACCCCCAATCAGGAGTGCCTTTACTTCTGTGTACTTGGCTGGGAATATAGGCTTATTTTTTGCGTGGTCCTGAGTGAGGGGCGGAGGGTGACTCACTAGGGCCGTGTCTGAAGGGCACGATGGGGAGCCTACAAGGAAAGGGATGTCACCACGCCTGTCTGTTCATCCACAGCTGAGTGGGCTGCTCCAAGTGTGCGTGCGAACAGGAAACGAGACCCAGGCCAAGTTCACCTCCGTGGAGCTGCTCAGGGAATATATTTCGGTAAGAAAGCAACGGTGCAGGAGGGGGTGGGTTAACTCTGAGATCTGGTCTGTTTAATTCTGAAAGGGATCTTTTTAAAAACTGAAATCTGACCCCAGAATTGCTCTTCTTAAGACCTATATTTATCAGATATTCTGAAGTCCTTGATGTTGTGTGAGTTCATTTTGCAAAAAAATTTCCTCAAGGGTTTTTGTGCACCGAAAAGAGAATTCAGTGGTTTACCTGAGTTTCTAAAAGTAAATGTTTGATTGATTAAAATGGTAAATTGAAATAAAAACAGTCTAACTCTTCTTAAAAGCCTTTAAGTTCAACTTACAAATCTTACTATGCTTGGAAAAGAAGTGTAGCCAATTCTAGCAATTGATTTTTAAGGGCCTTTGAATTGTGTTTGGACCCATTTACAAACTTAATTAAACACTTTTAAAGCATTTTAAACTGCATTTTAAAATTTAATACATCCCATTTCCTCTTTAAGTACCTTGATTATCTGATTCAACAAACAAACTTTCCTGAGGTTCTATAAATCTGATAAATTAAACATCAATAGAGTTTTAAGGTCACATAACAATGCCAATACTGTATATAACAGTAGCTTCTAACTTAAAGTGGTGTTTAAGTCAATTATTCAATGATACATTTTAACTTAGAATCACAAGCTCAAATATTGTTGTGATTTTCTTTCTGTTAAATATTTTTACTATTAATTTTAAAGTTTATAGGAGTTAACAATACTGCCTAGGAAGACAACTATTTTCTCAGCTGTTTGTGGTTTCTAATTGGCCAGTGATTTCAGGCTGGTCAGTGTCCCCCGACAGGACACACCAGTACCCTGTTCTCACGGCGAACAGGGACTTCGGAAACTCAGAGAATGGTTTGGCTTCCAATGTCATCTAGTTGCTCTGCTCTTTAATTAAACTTTGCTTTTCTTGGGTTCTTAGGAAACTTAAATGTCTTTTCCATGTAACACTAAAGACCTCTGAACTAGACATCCTGCTCCTTGTCATTTCGCCACTTGTAGAGCCTTTCTGACTTTTGCAAATAATGACATCATATCTGATAATTCTGCAAATCTCAAGGCTTGGTCTAAATTTGTCACAGAGCTTCAAGGTCACACTGCTGACCTTGCCCAGACACACAGGTGCTAGTGAACTATTCCTGATAGTTGTACAACCTGATAGTTCACAGAACTCTAGCCACGAGACTCTCGTTCACCTTCTCAAAGTACCCAAGCTCATCTTCATTGCAGGGCCTTTGTACTAGCTCTGGACGCTAATCTTTTTGTACCAGTGCTCATCCTGGATGTCTCCTTATTATCGATGCCTTCCCCAACCCTTGCGTTGCTTTTATTTCCCCAGTGCTCGTGTCTATCACACACATTCTATGTTCTATTGTAATATATTGTTTATTATCCTCATGTCTGATTTTTCTTGTTTATTACTTGACTTGCCCCACTGGCATGTGAGTTTCTTGACTATAGTCCTTATTGGTCTAGTTCACCATCGTGGGCACTTAGGATTGTACAATGAATGAAAGAATGAAATAAACATAAGAGCAAATGACTATTGAATCTTCTGCTTTCCAGGCCTGTATTCCTGAATGCACTAATCCCCTCAAAGTGGGGAGCTGTCCCCAAGACTGGCCCAGTCGAGGGGAGATAACATTCAGAGACTATCAGATGAGATACAGAGATGACACTCCTCTTGTTCTCAGCGGGCTGAACTTGAACATCCAAAGTGGGCAGACGGTGGGGATTGTCGGAAGAACAGGTTCTGGTGAGTGAAGCTTCTGATTTGGCTTCTTTCTGGTTGTTTTCTTTGTATTTCCCCTGGGGGTGCTAGTTAAGCCACACTGGAGGGTGCTGTGTGTGTGGTGAGATGACTGGTTTTCCTCTCTCAAATCTCCTTCTCGCCTTACTGTAAATTAGGATTTCAGTTGAATGGGTGTGTTGAGTTGGAAGCAAACACATCAATTTTTTTTTTTAAGATTTATTTATTTTTATACAGGAACTGAGGTACAGGCTAGGGGTTTGGGAGGGTGAGAGGATTCACCAGAGACAGAGCAGGGAACAGAACAGGCAGATGGACCGAACTACACTGCTGGCAGGAGCAGCGGCGAGACAGGAGAGGGCTGCTGCTGCCATGCGGGTATTTCCCTGAATGGCTGGGAATCAAACTGGAGCTGCAGAGGCTGCGGACAGCTTCACAGAGCTGTGCTCAACCCACTGCGTCACCAGGGAGGCCAAATGAGAAGCATTCTGGTGAAAGGAGGCCCAGAGGAGGAGGAGGCGTGTGTTAAGGGCCCCTATGGGGTGGGCAGGTTAACTCTGCTAGGGCAGCCCAGCCGAGGCCCCCAACAGAGTGAGGCCCTTGCATCTGTAGGGCCATTCAGAAAGCAATTTTCACAGCATTAAAAATCCCCTTGATGGGCCTCCTTGGTGGCACAGGGGTTAAAGTCAGCACTATTAAGCTGTCGCTAAACTCTGCAGGACGAGTTCGATCCCCTGCCTGCCAGGGAGCAACTCACATGGTGCAGCAGACCTTTCCTGTCTTTCCCGCTGCTCCCCTCAGCAGTGTATTTCAGTACATCTGCCTGTTCTGCTCCCCACTCTGTCTCTGGTGAATCCTCTCACCGCCTCCCGCCACCACAACTCTGGCCTGTACCCCAGCTCTTGCATGCATGCATAAATAAATCTTTAAAAAAAAAATTCCCCTTGACTATGAGCCTGGATATGATGGAAGTACAGACTGATGTTTGATTTGCTGCTCCTGCTTTTATTGTTCCCAGGAAAGTCTTCTCTGGGAATGGCCTTGTTTCGTCTGGTGGAGCCAGCTGGCGGCACCATCTTCATCGATGAGGTGGATATCTGCACCGTGGGTTTGGAAGACCTCAGAACCAAGCTAACTGTGATCCCCCAGGACCCTGTCCTGTTTGTAGGTACAGTAAGGTAGCTGTTTTGATCGTTGTGCATTCCTATTTTTGGATAGTGAAATCAGATTGACCAGGAACTTTGTGCCACTCAGGGTTGGCCTGGGGCTGTTTTGTCTAGGGCAGAGGCATTGAAAGTGCTCCCAGACACTGGCTGCCTGTGCCAGCCTGGGAAGGAGCTGGGACTGGGATCCTGAGCATGACTTGTAGTTTATGAACCACATTACTAGCAAGCAAGGTATTCAAGCAAGCTGAGCAAGTGTCCCAGTTAGCCCTGGAAAGTCCTGGTGTACAGCCCCTCAGGTTTAGCAATGGCCACTCTCAAAAGTACCCCAGTTTGCACAACAAAACAAATGGTTATCTTACATTTGGATATCCTACTGTTAGGAAGTGCGTGAGTTCATTCCCACTAAGACGGGAAGAGGAAATTTACATACAAGAACTTCAGATAGAAGCTGCAGTTCTTACAGGGCTCAAGATCTGATGTCAAGGCACAAGACACAATATCTTTCCCCCTTAGTCCAGCACAGTGACTGCCCCTCTGGTGGACATTTCTCCCACTGAACACCCAATGAAGGAGAGGGCTGTATTTACAGTTGCATGAAAAACACTTCTTGAAATGCCAATCTCCCTCCTGACAAGAGACCCTCACCCTCCGCAAGACCCTGGCAGCTGTAGATCTGCGTCTTGATTGTTGGGAGTGAATGAATGATAGATTGAATGGCTCATGCTCCTACTCTCTCTGCCAAGAACTTGCATAAGGTTAAATCCAAGTGGCTACTGAGAGGATTAGATGCATCTTCCTGAGCACCCAGCTTAGTGCTACCTCTCGGCAGATGTCACATTTCTCTGCCTGCCACCCTAGTCTCTGCTCCATCACAGCATTGTGGGTTCTTGGTCTCATGGCCTGAGGGTGCTATTTTGTGGACCATCGTCCTGGGCTGGGCACTGATCATGGAGCCTTGGGCCCCTCCTGGCCTTCCCACATGCCGTGGACACCTGCTGCCCCCATCCTCTCTGCCTCAGAAATCCAGCTTCATCTCCTTTTATTCTTTGCAGGTACAACTTGGATCCCTTTGAGAGTTACACAGATGAGATGCTTTGGGAGGTCCTGGAGAGAACATTCATGAGAGACACAGTAGGTCTCGGGGGCGGTCCAGCATGAGTCCACTTCCCAGCACCCGGGCTCCAGATACCTGGCCTGGGTTCAACAAGCACCTTGGCCAGGTTTATTTGTGGGCACCAGACACATGTAGGGGAACATAATCCATATTGACTATTATTAATAGCAATAATAGATAACATTTATTTGGCTTCTGCCATTTTCTGGCCAGAGCTCTACACGCATCATCTCTCATGGTCCCCCCGACAACCTCTGAGGTTCGTCCTCCTACTCCCACTATTAGGGATGAGGAAATTAAGACTCAGAAAGTACAAGCACAGGTTAGTGAGCGGCAGAATGAGCAGATGAGTGCCCTCTAGCTCTGGCAAGAGCCTCATTGGCTTACCAGGACAGAAGCCACAGGAAGGTGAGGGGCTGTGGCTCCCTCGGGGTGTGACTAGAGTGGGCTGAACTCTCTGTGAGCCGGGCTTTGCCTGTAAGAGCCGCACCTGGGTCAGCAGGTGAGCATGGCCGCCTCTGCAGCCCAGAGGGGATTTTTCCCACAGAACCTGCCTTGGTGCGGAAGTGAGCATCGCCCGAGGTTGCTTAGATTTATGCTACTAAATCAGACCCCGTCTTTCCTTGTTGACCAGAGAACTCACCCTCCCATCCCAGTTTTGCCCATGGAAATGGGACCCTGGGCGCCATTGTCACTTGCCAATGTTTCCCTGGAGCCACGTGTGCATCCATTGTGCTCGCTTGGCGTGGTGTCTGCGGGATTCGTGACTCATACTGTGATTTTAAATTATCAATGTCTGCCTACTCCCTGGTCTTTCCCTGGTGCCTGTTTACAATATTGAAATGACTGTTGTTTTGCCCTTTCTTTTCCACAGTAAAATAAAACCTGCTGATGAATGCAAGAGAAGGGGGCAATCAATACAGACGATGCAGGACAGTTTTATAGATCATCAGCATAAATGTGGCATTTTCTGTGTTTTATAGATAATGAAACTCCCGGAAAAATTACAGGCAGAAGTCACAGAAAATGGAGAAAACTTCTCAGTAGGGGAGCGTCAGCTGCTTTGTATGGCCCGAGCGCTTCTCCGTAATTCAAAAGTAAGGAAACAGCACCGAGAATGGATTGGTCAAATTTGGATATCTCCCGTGGCACCACTCAATTCGGGAGGTAGAGCCACGCGTTTGTCTTTCAGCAAAGCGAGAGCAATTGAGCCATTTGAGAACCGATCGCTTTATCTTAAGACAAAGATGTGAGGGCTAAAAATTGAAAAATAACAGCCATTTATATAGCAATAGCACCTGCCTCCCCCAGGACTCCCCCTGGGAGGGCGTGCTTCCACATTCTCTCTGTCCTCCTAAGTGGTTTGAGTTTGAGAAATCTGCCTCTCCAATTTTTCCCTTTCTTCCTGAACAATTCTGAGTTCTGATAAACAATACCCGGGACAGGAAGGAAGGCCATGAAAAAGCTAGGATACAAGAATTCTAAAATTCTGCTCATTTTTCTTGGTGACTTACCCATCCTTGCTTATGGATTTTAAGGAAGGGATAACTATAGCTTTAGAGACCCCATTCTCAGAACCCCAACTGAAGTGGAACCCATTATATGCATGCTCGTCACAGCTCCCTGCAGGAAGGGGAGCCAGGCGCATTTGGCGCCCTCTGTGGCACTAAGCATGATAGGTAGTTTATGTGTTGTCTTGGCACTTCATGTTCTTAAGCAAAAATCCCCTGTCTAGATGAGGAAACGGCGTCTTGGGGGAAGGTAGGTAATTCGGCCAAGGTCAAACGGTGTCAGGGCTGAGAGCTCAAGCTGACTTGGAAACTAGCTCTGTTATTAGCAAAATAATGCCCCTCCAAACACGCCCAGGTCCTGATAGCCCAAAGCTGTGGCTATGTCACCTTACAGGGGAGCCGGGGCTTGGCATATGTGAGAAGGTTAAGTGTCTCTAGAAGGGGAGAGCACCTTGGACTCTCTGAGTGGGCCCAGGTCTTTATGGAGTGACACAGGAATGTCAAAGGGGAGATATCATGATGGAATTAGATGCTAGAGCAACATCAGGAATGGACCATGAGCTAAAGCATCAGGCAGCCTCTAGAAGCTAGAAAAAGCAAGGAAACCTAGAATCTGCAAAATGTGGCCCTGATAGTACCTTAACTTTAGGTCTTCTGACTTCCAGAATGGTAAGATGATAAATTTCTGTTGTGCTGAACCTCTAAATTTGAGCTAATTTGTTACAGCAGCAGTATGAAGTGAATAAAAGTGCTGCTTCATCTTAGCACAGTACATAAAACACAAAATGCATAAATCCTACTAGTTTATAGGGTTAGAATGAGCCACTGAAGAAGAGAAGTAAAGACTACACAGCTTTATTCCTCCAGCAAGTCCTTTCAAGGAGGAGAAAGTGGTGTGACATGAGTTTTATTTTGCTGTTCTTTTTCTCACTTTTTGAACTGGATATTTAGCTCATTAGTGCTCAGTCTTCCTAATTTCTTTTTGTAATTAATGGAGGTAAGGCTATAAATTTCCCTCTGGGCACAGCTTTGGCTTTGTGTGATTTTTTTTCACAACATCCTTTCCTACAGATCATTCTCCTTGATGAAGCCACTGCCTCCATGGACTCTAAGACGGACACCCATGTTCAGAATACTATCAAAGACGCCTTCAAAGGCTGCACGGTGTTGACCATCGCCCACCGACTCAACACGGTCCTCAATTGTGACCTCGTCTTAGTCATGGAAAATGGAAAGGTTCGTCTCACCTCTCCAGGTGCTTTAATGGCTTGAGCTCTGTGGGGGATGGATACTTTCTGACAATTTCAACTCTTCTTCTGTTTCAGGTGGTGGAGTTTGACAAGCCTGAAGTCCTTGCTGAGAAGCCAGATTCTGCATTTGCGATGTTGCTAGCAGCAGAAAACAAAGTCCGATTATAAAGACCACATCAGCTGATTTTAGAGGGGGAAGATGCATGAAATAAGTGGGATGAGGGGGAGGGGCTGTCATCTCAGCAGGCAGCCCTGTCCACGGGATCCTGTACCCCCACAGAACTGGGGGAGCTGGTAGCTTCCCTGCCCCCCAGCCCTTGCCGCCTGGCCTCTCTTAATGGGCTTGGAGTTGGTCCTGGGTGATGAACAGATGTGGATGAAGCTAGTGGACTAAAAAACTGCCCCTTACCTTCTCAAACCTCATGGTCCCTCATGTATCCCCATCAACACCACCTCAGGGCCTGAGAATGGAAACATTTGACTTTTAGTTAAAACCCTGTCAAAGTAAATTGAGTGGGGAAAATGCCCAAGGATGGAGTTTGTCAAGCTTTCCTTGTCCTGTTATCAGAAAGAAAAAGAGCAGAGTATCCTGTTTAACTCTTATTCACTTCTACTTTGTGTGTGTGACAAGTAGTAACTACACAGATTTGTAGCATGAAAGAATGATTACAGTGTTTGGCCAAAAAAAAATTAAAAAATCATATTGTATATTCCTTTTGATCTATTAGAATAAGCAAGGAAACAAAATGTTGGCAGTGGAAAATAAAGTGACATCTTTATATCTTCTATATTTGTCATTACAATGTCGCAGGAAATTAAACTACAGTGAAATGTTCCCTTGCAATTATTTTACTGAAGATATTCCAGTTTCTGTTGTTTCCTTTCACAGACCCTCATTGCTTTCTTCACTGACTTAATAATCACCCCCAAAGTGTTTCCCCAATAAAAGGCTTTCTTTTCAACCTCAAGCTTTGCTATGCTGAGGCAGTAGAGATGTATTTCCAGTAGCACAGGAGTGAGTGCTGCTAATTCATGGTGGCATTTGAAAAAGAAAAGAGAAAATTCTATGGACTCTGGTGCAGCATTTGCTAAGGGTGCACCGCCTTAGCAAGTCTGCTGTTGTTGGTTTCTGGCCTGACCTCCCAGCCTGCAGGCTGAGCTCTGGGTGCTTGCCCCACATGGCAGCCAGATCTGTCAATCCTCACTGGGCACAGAAACCCATGCCAGCTGGGTGGGGGGAGGGGTGCTTTATTTTCTATCAACTCATTGCCAGTCAGACTGTCCATGGTTTTGGGAAGATGTTTCCTGAGGACATGGGACAGCCAAGGCTACCAGGATCTTTGTGGCTCATTCAGATCCATCACCTCCCACCAGCTGTTTCAGCTCACACTGCCCTGGGCATGTACTGTCCAGAAGAGAACACCAAGGCCCATGGTGACAGCTGGTGAGGCCCTGTGATAAGTCAGGCTAAATGAAGTTTTGCATTTTTATGAGAACAATTTCACTGAGACGTCATATCACCTCATGAGATGGGCACTTTCATTATCCCCATTTTATAGAGGTGGAAACTGAGGCTTGTTGAGGATAGTAACTTAGTATGTCTGCACAGGAAGGAGGGACAGAGCCAGAGTTTGAACCTTAACCTGTCTGGCTCTAGGGCCTCTAGCCTGTTCACAGTAAGCCCACATGCTCCTCCCTCTTGGCTTGCTAAGGCACAATGATGGCCATCAGCATCACACACCCAGGGAAGAACAACTTCCAGAGGGATGGCCGGTGTTTGCTTATGCAAAGACATGGAATACTCTCAAGGATTTCCCCCCTCTTCCCTTATTGCCACTGAAATGGAGACACTACATTGAATAATAATAAACAATGCTTAGCCAGTATTCCTCAAAACACAGGTTTTATTCACTGACTCTTTACCATATCCCTGTGGGGAGGCACAACTGATATTACTTTTATGACTGATGAGGAAACATGCATTGAGAGATGCCACACAGTGAGCGAAGCCTGAACCCAAGCACTAAACTGTGTTCCTTGATTCCATGTAATGCTCCTGGAAACTCGCGATTCCAGCTGGGAAAATGTTCTGTGTTCAGAGTTGTAAAGCCTGCGTGTCAGTTAGGTAACAAACAGCCCCAGTGTTTATGAATCAGTTGTGCTTATATTGCTTCTCATGCTTTCCACTCTGCTACCCTGCCTGGCAGAGGACAGATAGACATGGCAGTAAGAAGTGACATATGCCACTTTATCCACATTTCATGGAAAGAAAAAAAAAAACAAGAAAAAAAACAACTCATGGTTACTCCTGAGTCTAACAGAGAGGGTGGCATGAACTCTGCCTCCAGTGAGGGTCACTTTGAAGCAGACCAAGCTTGTGTCTACAGGAAGTTGCATTCCTTTTTAGGAAGAGTAGCAGAGGATCTGAGATACATTACAACCTACTGCAACCTGGTTTGTGTCTTGGTTTTGCCACTGAGTGGCTGTGTGATCTGAGAAAAACAGCTTGCCCTCTCTGATTCTCCATTCCCTCATCTGTAAAATTTGAGATTTAGATCACGTGCAAATGTCCTTTTCAGTCCTGACTGTCGATATTGGAGACACAAAAACAAAGATAGGAAAACAGTTTCTAAAGCATCAAGAGTGAAATTCAGATTTTCAGAGGGATTAAATTGAATATTAACTATTTTTGTAAATGTTATATTTATAAAGTAAATTGAAACAAAGGTTTCTTTTTTTTTTTAAGTTGAACAAAGTTTAGTCAAGATCTGAACTTTCCCTTCATGCCTCTTTTGATGCTCATTTAGACATAAGAAACTCCTTGAAATTTTATCCTGGTACCCCAGTTTTGCTTTGCTCTGTTCATCTGCCTGCCTACTGAGTGATGCTATGAACCATGTTATCAGTTAGAACCTTTCTTGATAGCCTTTGTTAGATGCCACAGACTAGAATATGTTACTTAGAGCATTGTTATGATAAATCAACAACAAATTGTAGTTCACTGTCAATTTTCCTTTTAGATTTCCTGAAAGTAATTTTGAAGATAGCAGAGGTGGGCAAACTATAGACCATGGGCCAAATCCAGCCTGTCACCTGGCTTTGTAAATAAAAGATTACAGATATTATAAACTTGACTGGGATACAGTCCTTCTCATTTGTTAATGTAGTAGCTATGGCTGCTTTCACATCTCAGTGGCAGAGTGGAGTAGTTGCTACCAAACACACAATCTCAAAGTCAACAACGTTTACTACCATTGTCTTTCCAGAAAGAGTTTGCTGGCTATAGGTTTAGACAATGGCTGGTGATGCAATTCTGGTTGATGACATACAAGAAGGATGTTGCCTGGGTGGGGTCTGGGAAGCATTCTCTCCCTGTGCCTCCCACTTTTGTGCTGGGGCAGCTGCTGACCAGGGAGGTGAGAAGTGACGAAGCAGGTCCTTGCTGTACCCGGTAGCTGCTGGTTTGCCCACTCCATGGTCACCCACCTCTCGCCATGTGAGAGGGTGCTATTTTCCTGTTGTTCAAGCCAGCTGGAGTTGACTTGCTGTGATTTGCAGCCCCAAACATTGAAATTAATGCAGAAGAGTCCATGCTGTTCCTTTCTGGGGAGATGCTCTCCTGACCTGAGGATATAGGAACCCCGCTCCCAGCCCTGAGGTCACACCCATCTTCCCCTCCTTAGATGAGGCCCCTACGTGCAGCCGTTCACCTCCAAGCAAGGACGGCTTCCCCATCCTCTTCTCCCCCACAGCTTCTGGCCTTTTATGAACATTTCTCTCCCCTTCCTTCCCTGCTGCCCAAGATCACAAGGACTCTGAAAGAGCTCACAGATTTTATTCTCGCTATTCAAGTGCCCAGATCTGAAACAGGCCCAGAATTGTTGGTAAAAATGTGAAATATTCTTTGCTAAGGGCTGGAATCTCTTTGGCTAGAACAGCATGATTCAAAATGAATTGAAAAACGCAGGAGGTCAGTTTGGGGTCAGATGGACGATCAAAGAAATCACTTTTCTTTTGGCCCTGGGTAGAAGGTCACCTCTGACTGAGGCTAAATTGAGCACTAAAACCTTCAAATAAATGCTGATTTCCATGGAGAGGGTCTGCCTGACTTCATGATGCGCCTGTTCCTGGCTCCTGCTGAAAGCTTTCTCTGGCAGGACTGGCATTAAAGGGCCAGGCTGAGTCTGTTTGTCTGGCTTCCGCACAACACTGGGCTGTAGCCAGGCTGATCTGTGCCCCCGCAATCCAATCCCGTCTCCCCCACCAAGCTCTGGGGGCCTCTGGAGCTCTGGGCCTCCTCCACCTCACAAAATCACTCCCAAGGAAACTTCAATTTGCTGTGTGGCAGTTGTTATATATTTCTTAAAAAAATTGAATGGATGTAGGTACCAGATTAGTAGGTGCCAGGGACCATGGGGCCTGGGTGGTATGCAAAGTCATTGTTCTCAAAAAATTGTTATATTGAGATGCATGTAACATAAAATTTGTCATTTTAACCATTTCCAAATGTTTATTCAGCAGCACTAAGTACCTCACAACCAGCATTGCCATCTGTTTTATTATTATTATTTTATTTTCTTACATCGTTTTTCATTTTTTGTACAATATTTAATTTCTCCCCTCAGGTGTAGGCTCCATAATTCTCCTACTACCACAGTATCATCATCATAGTGCCTTGTGCTCATCCCTCTCCTGTTTTGACTTCTCCCCTTCCCTTCCCTGCTGTACGCATTATATCTATGGTTTACCTGTGAGTTTTGTCTTTTCCCTGATCTTTTGTCCAGTTTCCCTATATTTCCCCTATGAGACCATCCAATATTTTTCTTTTTCCTTCTGGTTTATTCCACTTAGCATAATCCCTTCTAGCTCCTTCCATGTTGCCGCAAATGGCTTGAGTTAATCTTTTTTGATTGCTGAGTAGTATTCCATTGTGTATATGTACTACATCTTCTTGATCCATTCATCTGTTCTGGAACATTTAAGTTGTTTCCATATCCTGCCTGTAAATAGTGTTTCAGTAAACATAAGAGTGTAGTTTCCTTTGAATTAGTGTTGTGTCTATTGGCTGTGCTGCCCTCCATTTCCACACCTTTTTCATTCTCTTTCTTGTTCTCCCCAGCTGAGGCTCTATACCCTTGGAACAATGACTTTACATCCCACCCAGGCCCCATAGCCCCTGGCGCCTACTAATCTCCGTATGTTGGAATTTGACTCTTCCGGGCACCTGATGTAAGTGGAATTGCAACAGGGTGGTCCCCAGGAAAGGGGGAGGTTCCCTGCCCCACCCAAGGGAGGGTGGAGCTGAGCAGGAAGAGGAGAAGCTGCAGAAGAGACTGAGGGAGGAAGGAAGCAGGATGGAGCCAGGAGACGTGGAGGAGGCGCATGGAGCCTAGAGACACGTAAAGAAACTGCGCTTGTCTTTTGTTTGTGGACTGGGTGACACAGATGTGGGTGAGACCTGTGGGGAGGTGACAATGACAGCTTTTATCTGGATGTTGATTTTGCTCTTTTCCTTCCGGGCTTGTCCAGTTGTTTGTGACCCTTTTCTGTGGGTCCCCACTGGAAGATGCTTTAGACTTGTGGCAGGCTTTGGGGCCTTGCTCTGGGCCAATCCCATATGGATGGACTTTTACCCACGAGGGGACGGGTAACTTTAGGTGCTTCATTTAGAAACTAGACTCTTTGCCTTACCTGTATTGTTTCCTAGTTTTATTAAAGTTCCTTCCCATTAAAGTCTCCTATGTTTTGTGTTGATGCGGCGGATGGCAGAACCCATTTAGAATAGGCAGGTTTGCGGGGCTTGGGCTGCCCCTCTCCCTGTCCTATAACAGATTCACACAGTGTTTGTCCTCTTGTGACTGGATCATTTCTCTTAGCATGATGTCTTGAAGGTGTGTGTCAGAATTTCATTCCTTTTTAAGTCTCTCTTAATCATTTTAGTTCTGGTTTGTCTCTACCCTTTAGTGATGTTGAGCACCTTTTCATGTGTTCATTGGCCTTGTCTTTCTCTTGAAGATAAATGCACACAGCATGTAGCAATCCTATCAGAACAGAAAGCATCCTCCCATCTTGCACAGTTCCTTCTCTAATACAAAATCTTGAATGAATATTCTTCTGTCTAATTCTGGACAGGAACTTAGAGACCATGACTTTTGCTATGGGCTAAGCACCTGACATTTGGCTCATCATGAAGTCTTTGGAACAACTCATGACATAGAATTGGTCTTCTTGTTTGCTCAGAGAGATTATATTACTGCCCGAGGTCACCCAGAGGGTAGGGAGAGTAAGCAGGCGTGGCACCCCAGTATCTCCTTTTAGTCCAAGACTTCACCATAAGTTTAGCAAATGGAGACTCACAAAACCTAAAAAATAGTCCAAGTTTATCCAAAGAGTGGCAGCATAAAGATTCTGAATTTCAGGTACTATGTGCATGATGCCAAATTGCATCCAATTATTTTCAAAAACTTTAGAAATAAAGGAAGTAAAAAAAAAATAGTAGATCTTTTCTCCAGGGACTTTAAAATATTATTGGGGAAATGATTTAAAGTGCCAAAGACCACATAGTAAAATGCCGGAGAACAGAGTATAAGGTTAGATGTGAGCTCATTCTTTCATTGTTTCATTCGCTCATTCAGTATCTCACCTGATCATTAGCATTTCTGATCCTTCTACTTAAAATAAAAGCTGGAAGGCCTCCTAGGTGGCACACGGGGTTAAGCACAGCACTATGAAGCAATCAGCAGCCTCTGCAGCACGAGTTCAATCCCTGACTGGCCAGGGAACAACCCCCCATGGCGCAGCAGACCTCTCCTGTCTCTCCTGCTGTTCCTGCTCTGTCTCTGGTGAATCCTCTCACACCCCTGCATCTCTGGCCTGTACCCCAGCTCTTATATGCAAAAATAAATAAATCTTTAAAAAAAAATAAAAGCTGGAAAGAACAGATAGTCCTTGTAGGACAAGCCAGGACCATGAAGGCCAAGGATGTTCCTGGTTGGGGAAATCATCCAAAGACCTGGAGGTGAGGATGAGTCTGGTGGAAGGAGACAGCAGGTGACTTCCTAACTAGAGCAAAGGACTATTTGGAAAACTGTCAAGTCCTTTACTGTTTGCCTCTCCAAACATTCGGAGACCACCAGCGGCTGCTTGGCTACAGTTGGCGGTGGGAGAACAGTTTGTTGTAGAAACAACTAGGGCAGGTGCTGGGAAGAGCCTATTAGCTTTCCAGGGAGTCTGGCCAAGGAAAGGCAGGGCCTCCATCAATCCCACTGCAGAGGAGCCAACAAGCTACAGGGGGACAGAGATGGCTGGGTCCGCCACATTACACCACCCCACCGCCAGGGGCTGCTGGGCATCCTGAGGGCAAATTGTCTGTGACACACGAAAGTCACCTTCGCCAGTCTGGAATGTGCCTGCTGCCCCAGAAGCAGGAAACTCACCCCTGAACAGGCAGTGGAGGAGGGAGGAGAGCCAAGTTCCTTCTGGCACATCCATTTCAACTGTGAGCTTCTTTGCTTCTGCAGTGGGTCAATCAGAGATCATCTTCATAGCATGCTCAATTAGAACATGATGAGGCTGCTCTGTGCAGAGAGCAGGCTGGCAACCAAGCCTGGGCTCTTTAGTAAGTGGTCAGAAAGTGCTACAGCACCAATCAGCTTTTTTATTTTCTCTGATATAGGTAGGCATTTTATTTTTTTTAAAGATTTATTTTTATTTATGCATACAAGAACTGGTTTGTAGGCCAGAGTTGTAGGGGGGTGAGAGGATTCACCAGAGACAAAGTGGGAAGCAGAACAGGTAGATCTACTGAAACACACTGCTGAGGGGAGCAGCAGGCGAGACAGGAGAGGTTTGCTGCGCCATGTGGGTCACCGCCCTGGCGGGGATAGACGTCCTACTGCAGTGGCTGCCAATAGCTTGACAGTGCTGACTTTAATCTCTGCGCCACCAGGGAGGCTCTGGGTGAACATTTTATAGCCCAGTGTCTTCCTCTAAGCAAGGTCAACATGTTCATGTCTGGTCACCTGACCTGGAAGGCAGGGACATGGGCACAGATAAGCAAGCCAGGGTGGGGATTCTAGGAGACCATGTGGTTATGCTGCCCAGACCCCACTGGTCACTTATATGACCACGTGCTTTGGCTTCCTGCAGTCCTATTCCTATGTAGATTCTTCTTTTTCTTATTCCCAAGATCATCTGCAGCTGCTGAAACACTGTAGAAGAACCTAGACATGCCCATTCCTGTTGGGGAGCCTACCTCAGGCAGTAGCTCTGAGCTGAAAGGCACAGCTCCCTGGTTTTGAGCAATTCACTTGCAGTGTCACTCAACTTCCAAATCCTGGTGTGGAGTCAGGCTGAAGGTTGCCAACCCCTGCTGGACTTTGCCAGAATCTGTACCCTTTTGGGGTTTCTCTGCTCTCTTGGCCTATTTACTCACGGCCCTAACAGATTTTCCCTGAAGGACTTGATAAGTTATAAGAATATCAATCCTTGTCTGAGTCCATTGGGGGAATCCTACTGAAGACAGGGGTCAAAGAAATCTGAACTCAAACTTAAGCCCATGATTTCAAGTCTCTAGCACCTCTTGGGGGACAACTACCCACTCTCTTCTTAGCCCAGCACTGGGCAATCCGGAAAATGCAGACCCTCCATTTGTCTTCAGGAGTGATCAAGCCAGTAGGAGTCACATTCTTAGCAGGTAGAATGGGGGGGCACCCTGGGGTCCCCCAACCTGCCTGCTCTAAGTGGGTTCTGCCATCTGCTGCATAAATACAAAACATGCTCTTAGTGTGTAAGACCTTCAACAGAAAAGAACTAATACAATTAGAGTGCAATAGAGAGAAGAGAAAAAATATAGTTAAAATAGTTTTCGATTAAACACCCAAAGTTACCCATCCCCTTGTGGGTAAATGCCCAGCCAAACAGGGTTGGCTCAAAGTAGGGCTCTAAAGCCGAAAAGCCTGCCACAAGTCTAAGACACCTCCTGGTGGGGACCATAGGAAAGGGGCAGAAGAGGTCAGGCAAGTCTGGAAGGAAAAGAGCAAAATCAAAATACAAGTCAAGATCAAGGCTGCCATTGTCAGCCTCCCCACAGATCTCTCATCCATGTTTCTGTGTCTTTCAGGTGTCTCCTATGTGCCCCCAAATCCCTGGTGCAAGTCCACGGCTGAGAAGCAAGGGCAGCTTCTTCTTCACAGGCCTCTGCTCCATGTGCTTCCTGCAATCTTCTTCTTCATCTTTTATTCTGTCTTTTCTAGCGTCTCCTCGCTGCTCAGCTCCACCTTTCCTTGGGTGGGGCAGGGAATCTGGAACATTCCCTTTCTATGGATGTCACTGTTACAACATCTCTGTGGGCTGTGAGGGGTTTGAGGTGGGAGCATGTCCCAAGCCAGGCCCATCAGAGTCAAGTGCAGGATGTCAGCTGGAACCAAGGAGGAATAGGTGAGTTCTGCTTCTTGGAGAGTGGGCACACATGGAGGCTAAGGGTAGAAAATTTAGGATGGAGGCATTACAAGGCTGGAAACTGGAGGTGGGGTGGAAATGATTAACATACTTGTTAAACCTGCTATAGAATGAAGAATCCTTAGGCGCCAACTGCTATGGCAAGACTCAGATGCTACAGAAAGTATCCAGAGGCATAGACCAGAGGTGGGATGTGGAGATGGAGGCCATTGTAGAGAATCACTGGTCCAGACACATTAACCAAATCACATCCTAGAAGCAATTAATCCAACAATAGATAACAATCCCACAAAGGAATGAGCCCCTCCCAAAGAGATGAACGCAGCATCTGCAATGTCTGCACCGGCAGGACGCAGCTCTCCTGCCCGCCTGTGGGCGACTCTAACAAATCTGTGCTTTCAGGGGATGCTCTTCCTGCCTGCTCGGTCCCTACAAGGCCCCCTTCTTTTCTATTTTAAATAAACATGCCCTCTCGGATATAACTAAACGTTTCTGCCTCGTGGAGAAACCCGCCACGTGCCACTGCAGGGGAAACTTTCCTCAGAGGCAATGCAAAGACCACACTCTCTGAACCCAAATGTCTCCAAACTGACATCAGGGACATCTGACTCCCTTAAGTTTCTAACCATTTTTGATAACACAAGAAGAGCATCTTCCTGATAATGGCCCCAATACAGGGGAAAGCAGACCCAAGGGACAAAGGTGTTGCCATGTACCTGGATGTTGCTCTTCTGCTAGATAGATAGCAGGTCTCTTGCCAGGTGCTACTGATGGTCTGTCTGGGTGCTGAATCCCAGTGGCCCCAAAGCTTCCTAACCCCCACAGTACCCAAATGTCCCCATGGAACCAGGCCCTGCAGTTTGATACCTTGAAAGGTAAAAGGACCCTCCCCAGATGGTCTGCCCAGCCCATGGGGCCAGGTTGGGGCCGGCCATTCTCGAAGGCCCAGAACTCCCTGCACAAAACCTCCTCCTGCAAGTCAGTCCCTGGATCTTGGCTCAAATCCAAGGTGGCCCCCCTACTATACTGTCCTACCAGCATCTGGAAGCACATAATCAACAACTCTTCAGCGCCTGCCATGGCCAGAGGCTGTTTGATGAGCATTGGCTGGACAACCTCAATTAACTCTCACCAGAGCTGGGTGAGCACAACCCGGCTCACTAAGGCACAGGCAAGTGAAGCCACCTGCCCAAGGACCTGGCATTGTTAAAGTACCACTAAGTTTTATTAGTGATTTTTTGTCTTTAATCTCCTTTCATCTTCACAACCATCTTCTAAATTGGAATTATTATCCCTTGCTTAAAATTGAAAAAAAAAAAAAAAAAAACCCACCCAAAGAATAAAATGTTGAAATAAATTGCCTATGGTCAAAGAATGACCCAAGTCTGTGGTCATTTATAAAACCACAGAAGTACAGAGTTGGAAGAACTGAAAGAAACCACATGGTTCTGAGTATCTCATCAAGAGAGCCAGAGGCTTGAAAGAGAGGCTTGCCTGAAGCAGGTCTTAATCTTTTCAGTTCTTTTATTATACCTTCTCCTCAGAGTGAGTGACACGGAGGCACCCCCTCCCTACCTCCCCTCACCCCACACAGCCTCAGGCAGCACAGAGCTTAAGTACACTCTTATCCAGAGGCTCCCACCCCAGTGGGGCCTCCCTCACCTCAGAGGGCCTGTGTGCTCCAGGGGCCCTCTGATGAGCCAGAGTGGATTTCTGCTCAACCCAAATGGTTTTACTTTGCCTCTGGACATTTCCTCAGCATCCAAGAGATGGTTAGGTTTCCATGAATTTTGAGGAGAAAAGCTGAGGAGGGAGGCCAGCACAAGATAAAGGGCCCAGTGCCCTTGAAGGGTGGCCAGGGTGCCCCTGTGCCATGGGGATGCCTGGGGCTCTCTCTTTTATGGGGCAGCAGGGCAGCTGCAGCCTCAGGCCCTGTGGGTTATACCAGAACAGAGAAGACACAGAAACCCACGCAAATGAAAATTACCAACTGCACCAGAGAAGCAATGAAGAAAGGGAATCAGCAGGGGCCAGGCCAACTCCAAGCACTTGCTCAGCCTCTCTCCTCTCCCTTCTGGAAAACTAACACGCGTGCATTGATGTCTATCTCCTGAGTCAAAATCTGCCGCACAAGCAGAATTAATGAAGGCAAAAGCATGAACATACATTGTCTTAATAGACTCAAGCAAAAACCAAAAAGGCGAAAGTAACTTCATAAATGAGTCTACACTAGGAATGAAAAGAGGATGCATCGGGAAGGGGTAGGGGTGGGAAGACCATGAAAATGATCACCAAAAGTTATTATTTGTGGGCCTCCCCTGGTGGCGCAGCGGTTGAGCACTGGGCTGCGAAGCTGCCTGCAGCCTCTGGAGCACCGATTCGATCCCCGGCCGCCGGGTGAGGGTCCCACATGGTGCACAGACCTCTCCTGTTGCGCCTGCTGCTCCCCTCAGCAGAGTACTTTGTCGGTCTGCCTGTTCTGTTCCCCGCTCTGGCTCTGGTGAATCCTCTCACCCTCCTGCGCTTCTGACTGTACCCAGTGCTTGCATGAATAAACAAATAAATCTTTTAAAAAAAAGTTATTATTTGAAGCCCTCGGAGACAGCAAGCTCAGATGGGAGCTATCTGATTACACATGAAAACATGGCAGTCATTGAAGGGATGGGCACCAGACAGAATGAGGATGAGCACAAAGGAAAATTTGAAAATCAAGAGTGGAGGGCATGCCACTACAAATTGCTTTTTGCAACTGTGTGCAAATGGAGCCCCTGTGGGCACAGTTCCACCAAGAGAGAGGTGAGTCACTGATAGGTGTGAAGGCAGGAGGCTCCCTCAGTGGGCATCTGAGCCCACTTACACATGGGGGTCCTGACAGGGTGGTAACTGCACTGGACAGACAGGCCAGGCACCAGCCAGATTGGAGCAGTGATTCTCATTTCCCAGGACAGATGGTGTTTCCTAAGGTGTTTCCTAAGGCTTCAATCTTCACAATTTCCTAAGAATTCTTTGGAGCCAGGGCAAAGGTTTTCAGGCTGGGCATCCTTCCATGGCGCTAATTTTCTTGATTTGGGAAGAAATGGTTGGGAAATCTTAGTGCCTCTCTATGGCTCTCAGTGGTCTTGTAACAGAGTGGACCCCAGGGAAAAGGGAGGTTCTGGGTTCCCTGCCCCGCCCAAGGAGACTCTTTATCCATGAGTCTCTCCAGCTTTCTGGAATTTCTGGTAACACATGTAAACGTCTCAGCAATCAATTTCAAGTGTCACAGGTCTTATTGACAGGGAGGAGGAAACGCTGGAGAGGGGACTGAAGGAAGGAAGCAGGATGGAGAGCCAGAAGGAGACTCGGAGGAGGCACTTGCAGCAGAGAGACATGTGGAGAAGCCGCACTTGTCTCTTAGTCTTGGACTGACTGAAACAGAAGTGTGTGTGAGACTCGTGGGGGCTGACAATGGCAGCCTTTAACTTGATTTTGATTTTGCTCTTTTCCTTCCAGACTTGTCTGGCCATTTCCGTCCCTTTCCTATGAGTCCCCACCAGAAGGTGCTGTGGATGTGTGGCAGGCTCTTGGGCCTCAGTGGCCCTGCTTTGGGCCAACCCTGTTTGTCTGGGCGTTTTCCCATGAGGGGATGGGTAACTTCAGGTGCTTGACTTGTAAACTTTATTCTTTCTCTTGTCTTTGTTACACACTAATTGTATTAAAATTCCTTTTCATTAAGGGTCTTATGCATTTGAGTATGTTTTGTCTTGATGCGGCAGGTGGCAGAACCTATTTAGAGCAGGCAGGTTTAGGGGTTCTGGGGTGCCCCTCTCTGTCCTGTAGCAGTCTCACCAGACTTTTTATCTGCTCCTCTGTTTTCATCTGCCTACTTTTCTCAACCCCCTTACTGTAAGAGGGATTTTTGCAATTCCTTTGCAATTTTGGTTTAAATTGAATGGAAGTGGTACATGTCAACAAGGATGGTGCACGGAACGGCCAGTGCCAAGGCCTCCAGTGGTCATTTCCACTGTTTTGGCCACATTCCAGATGGCATTCCAATTGGGGCAGCTTCCATCAACGTTCATTTCTTTCCTCGCTGACACAAGGATGGAGGACTAAGCTTTTGGGGTCTGGCTCCTCGACCCCAGCCTGACTCAGCATGACCTAGCATATTCTAACATGCTACCTAGTAGGCACCAACCACTATTCTAACTGACACTTGTGAAAATCATGATACCGGTATGCTGTCTTAAGGTTTGATTATTTAAATTCAACAAGCATTTATTGAGTATTTACTAAGTTCCAGGCTTAAATTCCATGCAGTTTCGGGGCTACTGAAATGAATAAGATCCAGGGTCTCTCCCTGTGTCTGGGGAGACAGGTTCATCAGTACATAATAATGATGCGGTGGCGGGGGTGTGGGGGGGAGATTTATTGTATTGGGCTCAAATGCACCATGGAGAAATCAGAGAGCTCAATCCCACAAGCTGGGGTGGGAGTGGAGGCCACGAAGACCCTACAGAAATAGAGTTCTTTGAACCTGTTGGTCTTTGAGAAAGTGTACGGCTATATCAGGGAAAGAAGCTTCAAAGAAAACTCAAGTTAGGGCCTCCCTGGTGGCGCAGTGGTTGAGCGCTGGGTTGCGAAGCTGCCCGCAGCCTCTGCAGCGCTGGTTCGAGCAACGGTTCGATCCCCGGCTGCTCCCCGGCCACCGGAGGAGGGTCCCACATGGCGCGCAGACCTCTCCTGCCGCCCGCTGCTCCCCTCAGCAGTGTACTTCGGTCCTTCTGCCTGCTCTGCTCCCCGCTCTGGCTCTGGTGAATTCTCTCACCCTCCCGCACTTCTGACTGTACCCAGTGCTTGTATAAATAAATAAATAAATAAATAAATAAATAAATAAATAAATAAATAAATAAATAAATCTTAAAAAAAAAAAAAATAAAGACCAAGAATTCCTTTAAAAAAAAAAAAAGAAAACTCAAGTTAAAGAATTGAGGAAGATTGAAATAATTTCCTTTTCTTTTCTATTGGGCTAATCTGCCACATCATCTGCACCATCCCTCCTAAAGGCTTTTCTTCCTCCGTCCCCTCCTTACCACCCACCTCCGCAAAACAACTCCAGTCCCAGGCTAGGTTGGTGACCCTCCTGTCCACCTCCACACACTCTAGCCCCGGCACGGCAGCATTTTGTCATTTCCCCATGTTGTCTTCCCCAGTGTTTTAGAACCTCTTCATGTTAGGAACTGTCTCCTCAGCAGAAGGTTTGGCCTATAGTGGCTGCTCAAAATTTTGTGAAAAAAGCAAATAAAAGTGGGAGAAGCGACCAGTCTAATCAGAATCAACTCAAAGTTTCATCAGGGACCTAAGGCCATCTGCTTCTATCCGGCTCCAGGTTCCAGTTGCAATGAGAAGGTGGGCGGAGGAGACGGGGCGAGGGTGGAGGGGATGGTCTACATACAGCAAGAGTCGAGGGGCCTCGAGAAAAGGGCAGTCAGGTGGGAAAAATCTGCTGGGCCAGGAGAGGACTGACCTCATAAAGCAAAAGGAAGGCAGCGATTCAGTGTGGTGAGGTCGCAGAGGTGCCAGGTGCTATTGACTTGTTAAGTCATTAGGGCCTTGGCTGTTTTTTTTTTTTTAATTTATTTATCTATGCATACAAGAGCTGGGGTACAGGCCAGAGGTGTGTGTGTGGGGGGGGGGGGGTGAGAGGATTCACCAGAGACAGAATCGGGGGCAGAACAGGCAGACTGACTGAGGGGAACAGCAGGCAAGTCAGGAGTGGTCTGCTGCACCATGTGAGTAGCTCCCTGCTACCCACTCATGCTGCAGTGGCTGCCGATAGCTTTATAGGTTGCATCTTAACCCCTTGCGCCACCAGGGAGGCCTCGGCCTTGGCTATTGATCAGAGAACTGCAACTCTCTCCTACGATTTCTAATTTATCCACAAGCCTCTCCAGCTTTCAGGAATTTCTGTTAACACATGTAAATATCTCAGCAGTAAATTTCAGGTGTCACAATTCTTATTGACACTTCTCTCAGGGTGCAACCTAGTGCTGATCTTATGTCTGGGAATAAACAGATGCTTGACGAGCCCTTGCTCTGGGTGAGGCACAGAGCTAGGAGCAGCGGGACCCCAGGGTCGGCTGCCCATGTCTTGACGCTTGAGCAGTTATGGTCTACTGCAGAAACAGATGTGCCTTACACTGTCGGTGGCTCCTCGGGAGGGCTGGGGACAAGCAAGCCCAGTTAGCATCACGCATTAGGATGGCCCAGGGACTGGAGCCAGGCTAGGCTGGTGTTCACCTGGAGGCTTAGGATAGGAGGGAGCCAGAAGGGGGAGAAAAGCTATTTTCTAAGGACAGCAAAGATCAATATCAAGGAAGCCATTTGTGTGTGTGTGTGTGTGTGTGTGTGTGTGTGTGCCTGCTCAAGTTCAAGGAGAAAGTGCAGAGCCGCAAATGGGAGAACTGTTGAAAAGTCAGTGTCAAGGAAAGACTGGAGTGGAGCACAAAGTGAGGATGAGGATAGGAAGCAAGAGAAGATGCCAGACATTGTGTTGTGAAATGGGCTGGAGGAGGCAATGCCTATTTTTATTTGTCATTAGCTATCCATTTTGGGGTGGGTGGGTTTGTTGAAAAGCTTAGGGTCTGGAAGGACAGTGGGAAGAGATGGGTGTGCAGAGTGTAGAAGTCAGGCTTCCAGGTGGGTGCTAAAGCCATGGCAGGGGCTGCGTCATGGGGAGAGGGTTGTGCTGGGAGCAGGAGTGCATCTTTCATCTTTGGCTCTAAGTTCAGAAGCTGGGCCTTCCGGTACAAACTAAAGCACGGCAGATGCGGAGGAGGGGAGCTGGGAGGCATAGCTAGTGCCGGAGAGGCCAAGCAAGCAGAGAGATGGAGGAGAAATACTCACACTCCCCCCTGGCCTGCTCTCCAGTCCAGGACTGGAGAATCAAAATGAAGACTTTAAAATGACACATCAAGGTCAAAAGACTTTAAGATCGCCTCCCCCCATGCACGCACCCCCACCCCCAACCGCCGCCTGCACCACCCAGAGTCCCCGAGGCTGTTAGAAAGGGGGCAGCTCTGGGGAGTCCACTGCCCCCCACCTCTTATGTGGCTGCTCCTTATGCTTCCTTTTATTGAGCTTCCAAGAACACAGGCTGGCTCGCCTGTCTCCCCCGTCCACTTGGCTCATTGCTGTAGCAGCTCCAAACCTTTTCCCCCAAACCATACAGACAAATTTTTTTTTTTAAAAGATGTATTTATTTATTTATTCGTTCATTTATTTGTTTGTTTATTTATTTATACAAGCACTGGGTACAGTCAGAAGCGCGGGAGGGTGAGAGAATTCACCAGAGCCAGAGCGGGGAGCACAGCAGGCAGAAGGACCGAAGTACACTGCTGAGGGGAGCAGCGGGCGGCAGGAGAGGTCTGCGCGCCATGTGGGACCCTCCTCCAGTGGCCGGGGAACAGCCGGGGATCGAACCGGCGCTGCAGAGGCTGCGGGCAGCTTCGCAACCCAGCGCTCAACCGCTGCGCCACCGGGGAGGCCCCATACAGACAAATTTTGCCGCGGACCAGCACAGCAGTAGACGATGAGGCCACCTCAGGGTTGAGAGAAGCGTGCAGGGTGGTCAGGGCGTCGGCGAAAGAAATGACAAACAGACACACTTCAAGAGTGAAAATCTGAGTGTAATTTTCTTTGAGTTTGTGACCAGTATATATATGTTTTCCAAAAGCACAGGAATGAATATCAAGGAAATTAGCTTGCTCATGGGCTCAGTCTATCACCATCAGGGAGGTGATCTACATAACAAGCAATGACCATTATAGAAGAAAGAAGGAAGTTTAGAAAGACAAATAAGGGATTAAAGTTTGTAGTTCTAGGAAGAGGGATAAGATTTTTAGCATTCTTGTAGTGGTTCTTCGTGGTCGTTATCTTTTGATAAGCTTCTGCCTTTTCAGGGAACTTCCGCTGAACTTCCTCTGCTTCAGGCTGTTTTTCGCTTCAGGCTGTTCTCCCGCCGCGCTGGTTGCCCAGCCGGATCTAGGGACCGTGGCGAAAGCCATTCCTAAAGATCACTGCAGCGGGAGGTGCAGCAGGTATGTAGGGTTTTGCTGTTCTTCCCCTGCGCGCTGGTTGCCCAGCCGGACCTAGGGCCGGTTAGCCCTAAAGGTCACTGCAGGGGAAGGTGCAGCAAAATTTCATTTTTATTTCCCCCTCCCTGCTCCTTTCTCCAGATTCTGTGCTACAGAGTCGATCTTTGGGGCAGTGTCCTTCTCAGAGAGTGGGGAGCAGGCCCAGCCGGAACGCTCATTAGTGGGGAGCAGTCGGGAAAGATGGGGAACATTCATCTTTGAAACATTTTGTCTCATCCCGTACGAACAGACCAAATGGCAAACGTGAAGCAAATGCCTGGCAGAGGTCTGGGATCTAAAGTCTGCCTTCGGATATCACAGATATTTCCTGCGACCGTGCTGTGGGGTGTCACAGAGAGAACGTTTCATGTTTTTCTAGGGCAAGATAAAGCGTCCCAGTCCACATGGAAATTTAGAGGACATCTCTTTGTGCTCTGTGGCGGTGGGGACTTCAAACGTAGGCGAACCCCAGCGTTTCATGATCGATTTCCCTCCTCCCTGCAGCCCCATCTTCAACTAACATCATCAAATGCCTGTGCTTTAATGGCTGGGCACACCTCGC